CTCGCCAACGCCACGGCCGTCTGCTCGATCGATGGCGCCTCCTTCTTCCACGATTTCCCACTGCATTCGTACTCGCGTCTACTTCATCTTCGATGGAGGGAGACACGGCCGACTGCGACTCATACACTTGCCGCAGAGAGCGTCGCAATCGCCAGCATTGGCGACGGCGTTCCTCCAGAGCCTCCTGCAGCTGGTCAGCCACATCGGCTTGTCCTACGCCAACAACATCGTCATTAAGCGAACCGGTGACGAGACCTGGTCCTATGAAAACGTCCGTCAAGTACTCGACCTCCTGGAGGACGCGGAAGTCACGCTGAATCTCAAGCCCACCTGGTGCGGCACGACGGGCGTCCCCGTGCTAAGCACCCTTTGGTCGGCAGGCGGTATTCGCCCGGCTGATGAGCGCATCGCTGATATCCTTGCGCTTCCCACCCCTAGCATACTGAGCAACCTGCGCTCGGCAGCCGCGATGGTGCGATAACTGTCAATGTTTAGACCTAACCACGGGTTTCTGCTAGCGCCTGTACCGTTACATCGGACGAAGCCGAGGTCGCGCTGGAATGCTGATGTGCAATCGGCCTGGGAGGCAGTGCGGGCGGTGACAGCCGCGGCCTACTCGCTTCACTTCCATATGCCCGGCGAGCAGCTAGTCGGACGTACCGACGCCCCGCTCGTGGATTGGAGCGGATCACGGTTTGTCCGCCGAGACGGCGCCAACTATCCGCTGACCTTTAACTCACGAAAATGGGAAGGTGCCCAGCCACCTACAGCATGGTACTTCGCCAAGCTGTCGCGCTCAAGGGGCCGAACGCCTGCAGCCTTTCTTCATGGGCGAGTCAAATGTCGGTTACGAGACTGACAGTGCGGCCGCGCCGGGTATGCTTCATCATGAGGGCGACGATCATCTCACAGCAATCACGAGAACACTCTCCAAGCTTGGGGTTAAAGATCGCCAGTTTGTTCACCTCCCCGGCGTTGACAATGTAATCGCTGACGTGGCTTCCAGAACCCCGCCTGCAGTCGTCTCACCGGTCGCACCTATGGCGTCCGCAGCGCGTTTTCCCTCAGAGGAGCACGTGCCCGTCGCGCAGCAAAGCAAAGATTCGTTCTGCAACGCGCAGCGAGGGGAATGCCGCCAACTCTAGCAGGCTGCTCGAGAGCCTACGGCCTTTCCTCGCGCCGACATGCTACGCGACAAGTTGCAGCCGTTCCGCATAAGGATGACTTACTATAGCATGTCGAAGTCTCGACGGAGGGTGACGCGAGCGCAGATGCTAGACTGGTGGTGGTTGTGCCAGACTTTAAGATCGAGCTCATCCTGCGATTCGTGCACGGGACCACTGCCCACGCACGGGGTAGTGCCTTGTCCCCGCTCGCCAGAGCACCTACTGGTTTCCATCATTGGCGACGAAAGCGGCTCACTTCACGCGCCGTTGTAAAGAATATCAAGCCTCTCACAGCGTGGCGCCGCCGCGGGCCGCGACGGGATTCGCCAGTCGACTGGCGTGGGCCAACACGTTTACGTGGATCACGGACACAGGGTCCGCAAAAATTCTCATCGTCCTAGTATATCAAGCGTCGTGGTACATCGCGGCCAGCGCGGTCGACTCCCGTTCAGTGCCCTACACGGCCGCTGCGTTGCACGCTCCTTGGCTCCGATCCTATGGTCCGCCCGCAGCATTGCCTTCAGATAACGCGGTAGAGTTCACGCTCAAGGTTGTCGCCGATTAATTGCGCACTCGAGGCTGCACGCTCGTGCCCTCCTCTCCCTGCAAAGCGTCCGCGAACATCGCTGAGATGGTTGCCAAAAAGGTGAAGGAGGGCTTGCGGGCATGCATGACGGATCCGCGCTTCACGGCGCTGTTGCACTAAGGCGGCTGGTCTTGTCTGCTTGAGGTGGCCGTGCATGTATTAAATACCACCCACTCGGAGGCAGCAGGAGTACAACCTGCAACCCTGTTCTTTGCCCACGCGCACCGCACGCCTGCCGATGCTCACGCTCCCAACGCTCTCCCTCTCGTGCACCCGCATCCCGCGAATACTCTCTCACCGCTGTCTAGCGCAAACCTGGTCCGCGACGCTGCCATGGACCGCCGCGCGGCACAGCGGCATGTTCATTTCGATCGGCAGCAGCAGCGCGTGCGAAGGTCATGAAGGCAAGCTGGTGGGCGGGGTCGCTTGGACAGAATCTGCTCTGCTGAGGGTCTCTCCTTCATGGCCAAGCAGGTGCACGACAGTGGGTACGCTCTGGCCGATGGGCATAGGACTATTGTCTCGGGTTGCACGCACTCCCACCGGCGACGGCATGTTACCTAGCAAGGTCATGATTTTTATGGGGAGGATTACATGACGATGCATTCATCCCTACCGTGGTACTGGCCCCGCCACCGGCACCACTCTTCTAACCCAGGGTGGACTATGGTATATGAACGTGTATATATTGATTGCTCAGACTTGTATGAACCTAGCCATTATCCCTGCCTTTGTAGAGTGCCTCTCCACCCCTACCCATTGGCCTACTGTGAGCGCCGACGGCCTCTACCAGCGGGCCGCGCGGCCACCGCCTTGGCAGTGTGCGGGGGGTTAGAGTGGGCGGAACGGAGCCCAGCATGACGAGGCCCAGTCCCACAGACAGGCACAGACGGGCACAGCGAGGAGTAGATCAGAGACAGTGGCAGAGCCCCACTTGATGGTCTGGACCCGCGCGCCACAGCAGCCGGCAGGCGTGCGAGGCCACCTTGGCTGCCAGGCCCAACTCTGGATCGGAACGCATCAAGCCGCGCCCTTGATCTTCCCCTCCAGAACAGCAACTGGGTGCAGCTGCGATCCGCTGAACAATGCCCACATGCGCGAGGCCACAACGTAGCTCAGCAAAGCCGCTTGCGATGCTCTCCATTCTGTTTAAGGTCGTTGAATTGCTTTGACACATACTCTCACCTCAACAGGTCTATTCCTCCCTTCCTTCACGCTCAAATCCACTACGAATCCTCTACGTCTTCAAAGCGTAATTGCATCGGACCGAGAAGAAGTGCATGCTGCGAAAAGGAGTCAAGTGCGAGCGAAAGGGAACGGACAGTCACCGACGGACGTGGCCAGACCCGGAGCAACGCAGAGCAAGCGACTGAGAGGTAACAGTGAAAGTACTAGCTTCCGCCGACGTGAGCCTCCCTCCATCCGCCACCTGAAAACAGGGCCTGTGCATTCTTCATCTTTCCTATCCACAAAAGCTTGGAGCCCTCAACTGGTCACCCAACCTCCGCGAAACGAACCGCGGTCAAGCTCGTAAAGCAAACCCGAGCATTAGGTTTCTCACACGATGGCCGACTTTGTCAAGCTCTCCATCTTTGGCACAGTCTTCGAAGTGACCACGCGCTATGTCGATCTCCAACCGGTCGGCATGGGTGCCTTTGGCCTGGTCTGCAGCGCCAAAGATCAGCTGACGGGCACCAGTGTGGCGATCAAGAAGATCATGAAGCCCTTCTCCACACCTGTCCTCAGCAAGAGGACGTACAGAGAATTGAAGCTGCTCAAACACATCCGGCATGAAAATGTAAGTATGGATATGCTCATTGCGTCTGGACTCCATGGGTAATATCTGGGACAGGAGTAGGAGGCTGTAAGAGTCGAGTGGAGGAAAGGTAACATGAAGACCGTCCTGCACGATCGTTTGCGCTTGCGCCGTCGATGAGATGGGTCCCTCATTTCGGAGGTCTGAAACTGGGTTGACCCGGTGTATTTGCTGGAATATGGACTTTCACTCGCTCGTAAGCGGGTATGAAGGTGCCGGAAGTTGGACAGTTTAGAGTGGCTGGTGAGAGATGCTCTATTTCGTGTCAACGAGCAGGCAATTCAGTCGTTCTCTTGCGCTTCGCTGCATTCTTGATGCTGATACTCTCTTCTATGCTTTCCAGATTATTTCATTGTCGGATGTCTTCATCTCGCCCCTGGAGGACATCTACTTTGTGACAGAGCTACTCGGTACCGACCTGCACCGCTTGCTCACCTCACGACCACTGGAGAAGCAGTTCATTCAGTACTTCCTCTACCAAATCCTCCGCGGGCTCAAGTACGTGCACTCGGCTGGCGTCGTGCATCGCGATCTCAAGCCTTCGAACATTCTCGTGAATGAGAACTGCGACTTGAAGATTTGCGATTTCGGCTTGGCGCGCATCCAAGATCCCCAGATGACCGGATACGTGTCAACACGCTACTACCGGGCGCCCGAGATCATGCTCACATGGCAAAAGTATGACGTCGCCGTCGATGTTTGGAGCGCAGGCTGCATCTTTGCAGAGATGCTCGAGGGAAAGCCGCTGTTCCCCGGCAAAGACCACGTAAACCAATTCAGCATCATCACTGAGTTGCTTGGCACACCACCAGACGAAGTGATCAAAACAATTTGCAGCGAGAACACGCTGCGCTTCGTCCAATCGTTGCCGAAACGCGAGCGCGTACCCTTCAGCCAGAAGTTCCGGAATGCGGACCCGCTCGCGCTGGATCTGCTCGAACGCATGCTGGTGTTCGACCCAAGGACTCGCATCAGCGCAGCGGAAGCGCTCAGCCACCCATACCTCGCGCCGTACCACGACCCAACAGACGAGCCAGAGGCAGACGAGGCATTCGACTGGAGCTTCAACGACGCTGACCTCCCTGTCGACACATGGAAGGTGATGATGTACTCGGAGATTCTAGGTGAGCATGCGAGCCGTGCGTGTGCGAAAGGGCGCGCGCGCCGATCCTGACAGCTCCTCTCTTCTTAATCCTCCGTGACCAGATTTCCACAATATTGACAATTCGGGGCAAGATGAGGGGCCTGTACCGCCACTGCAAAGTCAGGCGGCTGCATGAGTGCGATACTCGGTCACAAAATTGTGCAGTCTTGAGGAAAAGAAGTCAAGCGATGCGCACACAAAGTCGCCTCCATGAACGAAAGAATGTACAATAGACGCCCGCTGCGCGTCGGATCGCTGCGAGGACGCAGTCATGAGGCGTGAAGCGGATCCTCCCAGTGACCATCGACCACACTATCCAACGACGACAATTTGGCGATGCACGCGTTCGGAAAATGCCCTTCCGCAACGTGCAACTGCACCCATCAACACTTCCAGGATACACTCTTAATGCGAGAGGCGTATACCTCCGCCTGGCTGTTTCACATCTACACTACTCAAAGGACTGCCCGTCTCGACGTTTGCACGACGCTCGTTTTGTCGATATACATCGACTATCATGTATAATCCAGAGCTTGTTCGTCGTACACGTACATTACCTATACATGCACCATACGCCTTTGCAGCTTTCACGATGCCACCCTTGCGCATCTCGTCCGCTTCCTATGTCTTGTTGGCTCTGATCATCTGATTGTTCGGCTTCGATTCGCGCGCCCCGGCAGAGGCTTCAATGAGTTGTAACCCCGGTGTGGGGAATCCATGTTAGGGCAACCGACATGCATCACTCTGCTAAGAGCTCGAGATCACATGCCCTTCCAAAGATTGAGATCGACCTTTCTGTCTTGCTATGTTATGTCCAGTTGGCGTCTTTCATCGTTTCCTGTGTGGGGGGCGCTTCCGAAAAGAGCTGACATGAAGGACAATCGCAGTCTTGGCTAGACGAGCGCGTGAAGGGCCATCCACCGCAACCACCGATGCTTTTGGAGGTCCATTCAACTCAACGACTCGAATGAGTTGATGTCAGAGTGCGTGCATTATCTTTCGCTGCAACAAGCATGTTCACTGCCCTCAAATCAACAGGACCATCACGCAGAAGAAGGATTCTGCGTCGATGTGAGGCACTGACCAAGTGACGCCAGACAGGAAATTGGTGCGCGCTGCGTTTCGTACATTCCTGCGCCGAGATGGATGCGTCGGTGTATCGCCCGCGACTGAGGCAAAGCAGCTGGCAGCGGGCAGCAATGTCGAACAGCTCTAGACGAAGAAGAAGCGGTCCCAACTGCTGTGCGCGATCCCGTGGCGCTTTGGCTGCATTGCTTCTCATCATCGCGGCCGGCTCGACGTCTGGCACTTCAGCGGGTCTGGTAGACGGCACCGCATCGCCTTACACCCTCACGGATCTGAGGGCTGCAGAGTCGACCATCGACATCACGTCGGCTAACGGCGCATTCTTTTCTCTGCCAGCTCCGACGGTTGGTGCGAATACAAGCGCATATGTCACGTTGTCTGCCTGCTCGGGCCCCGAGATCTACCCACCCGCCAACTCGAGGCATAGGTCCGCCTTCGACCGGACGTACCTGCGGCTCGTCGTTTCAACAAACAGCTCCAACGCGCAGCCGCAACCCGGGTCTGAAGATGCTTCTGTCTCGCTCGCCCGGGGAGGCTTCGCAGCGAAGGTATTAGACCCGGGGGATGCACTCGATGGCCTGTGGATTGGCGTCTTTCCCCCCAAAGACCCGCACGGTTTGACGGGGAACCTGACCTTCGAAGTAACTGCATCATACAATGGTGAGTGAACAGGGAATACAAAGGAACAGACCCCCGATGAAAGGCTAACAGGTCTTCGCTGCTACATTGTTCAGCTCCGCCGCTCGGGTACACGTACGCCGGCTCCTATGACACTGGCTCGAAGGACAACGTGTATGTGCTCGGCTTGGACGACACTGATTATGCAGGTGCCATTCTATCTGCTGCTCCCCAGGAGGTGCTCAGTGGGGCACCTCCCAAAGCCGGCATCATCTTCAGCGAGACGCAGCGGGCTCCTTCGTCATACTTCAACAGCTCGGCGTGCGCGATTCGCAACGCATTCTACGCCTTTCTGGACTCCGTACCTGATGCACGGCGCACCGATATTGTTCAACTCAATTTGACGAGCAGAGGGCTGCCAGCGAATGCAGGTGCTCAACGCACGCAATTCAAGATCACCGGCTTGCAAGCCGGGACCAATTACACGGCTTGGCTCACCTCTGACCCTACCTTTCCACCCTCCTCACCAAACTTCTTCTATGGACCAGCGGTCAAGTTCATGACAAAGAGGAGTGAGTGCTCTTGAATTTTGGCGCTTGCGCAACGTACAGTCGAATCTAATACATGCTGGCTCGTTCACATTCTCGACGCAGACACCAATTGCCGCCTTGTCTCGGACGTGTCGTTTTGCCCAGATGTAGCGTATGCAACCGCTATCGGGCCTAGTATGACGACGGCTGCGGCGCTGTCGAGCATCAACGAGACTGTCTCTCCGACGCTGGCAAATTTCACCAAGACTCTACACACGTTCAACTGCGACAACACCGATTTCGGCATGTACTCGTACATTGCCACGTGCGACGACTGCCAGGCGGCGTACCAGCGGTGGCTGTGCGCCGTCGCAATCCCACGCTGTGTCGATACTCCCACGGACGCAGCGACGCAGAGCGCGGCGAGCCAGAACGGCAGCGATCTGACAGGCGCATCGACTGGGGTCAACGCGCAGCTGCTGCCGTACGTCGCCACGCGTGAGGCATCGAGCCCGACGCGCCTCAACACGTCCGTCGGCACATTCCACGGGGCATGGGGCGAGCTGCTACCGTGCATGGGCGTATGCAACATGGTTGAGATCATGTGTCCGCCGCTGATGCACTGGCTCTGTCCGCTATGGGACATCACCGCGCAGCGCGACTATGGCACTTGGGCAGATGCCAACGCCGCCGGTTTCGGACAGGGTGACAACGGAGGCGCCGGGGCCAACGGCGAGCGGTGGGGAGGCGTGCAGCGATACATTGCGACAGATTCCTTTGGGAATCAGTACTGCAACCCGCTCGGCGTCGACTTGGTGCTGAGGCAGAACAACCGCGCCGCACGAACTAGTGGGGTGCATTCATCTCTTGCCATGGTTGCAGGCATGCCGGCTCTGGCAGCTGCGCTCTGCATTGCCATTCTGTAGCATATGACATACATAGAGGTCTTACATCGATTCCGATTTTCATCGCCCTTGCCCTTTCTCTACAGCCGCCTCTTTCGCATCCTGCAACCTTTTCTCTCTGCGCCGCTTGACATCCCAATTGTGTACGCGCGCAGTGTTGACCTCCATCGTGGTGATCTGGTCGCGCAGAAACTCGAGGTCCGCTTTGGCTCCTTGCAGGGACTTCTCGGCGCCGCTCAGTTTTGCGGAGAGCAACGTGATGGCTTCTTCGATTGGGTAGGTGAGCATCACATTCGCCTAAGGCCGTCGTGTATGGCAAATGACATGCCAGCAGGAGACATAGAGAGAGCTACATTGTCAGCAGGTTCTTGTCGTTGGAAATGGGATGCGCGTGCCGCTCACCCCTAGCCATAGATTGACCGTCTCGACATTCTCAAGCGTCGCGCGGGCGTACAGCGTGTCGTTAAGCTCGAATGTCGTGTCCACCGGATTGGGATCGTCCTGGAAGGCGCGGGGCGCGAAGGTGCCAAGGCGAATAGGCGCAGAGTAGAAGAGTAACAGCTGTCAGCGTCAGCCTTTCCCCTAGCGCTTCTGGACACAACATCTTCCCTGCAGGTACCAGGTTTGGAGGCAGATGGACGGACGATTGTACTCACTTTGCGAAGCTTGAGAAATTCGACCATGCGCAGTGTATCGCGTATGTCCGGAATCTTCTGCTCGAGCACCGTCTTGCGTTGCGCTGTATTTACCTCCATGAACTTGTATTTCCTGCCGTCGTCAGACCCAAATCGGGGACATGTATCTCAGTCAACAAGATACATTGGCTGGATTCGTTGGCGAGAAAAGTGAAACAGGCCGAGACGCTTACTCACGAGACAGTCTCTTGGAATTTGCGGAGCGTCGAGGCGACCGGCTCGTCTGGCCCCCCTAGAAATTCTTCGACATCGGTCTGGAGTCCGGCCAGTGAAACCCACGAGGGAAGTGGGAAGCATGTTCAGCAATGATCCCTCGCCCGACGCGAAGTGCTTGACTCACGATGAAAGGCGCAGTGGGGATGCCACTTGTATTCGCGCTCTGATCTTGTGTCTCTTTCGCGAGACCATTTGAAGAGGATGAGGAGGAAGGTAAGGACGATGAAGCTGACGCCTCTTGTCTTACCGCTACTGTTGCCGCCGCTGGTGATGAAGATGTTGGTGCTGATGGCCCTGACGACATGATGATGTCTCGTCCGGCTCGCTGCCTGCTGTTACAAGGCTCCTGGGGTCGTTGGTGTCGGGTGGAACGCGGCGCTTTGAGACTGGTGGGCAAATGTAATCGGAGCACCGGGCCGAAAAAGCTTGTCAGATGACGGATGTGGTGTTCATTGGCCTTGCGAGTCCATTGGATACTATGAACATCGCATCTCCAGCACGATCTTCCAAGGCTTCGGTGCCTTGGCACAGCGGGTCCAAGGAGCCAGACTTCGGAGTCTTGCGGCTCACCTATTTTTTGTGTTCACGTGACTCTCATTCGGTGCAACTCGCAAGGATGTTTGTGACGCGCGTGACGCGTGAACGCGCACACGAGTCGCGTAACAAGAGCCTCCCTTGCGGCCATTCCACGGCTGCCGTGCTGAGGATGCATGCACACTTCTCCAGTGCCGAAGCTACAACGATCAGGCATTCCGCCTGACCTCTGTTAATCTGCACGCAACCCCCTTGTCCGTTGATGGACCTCCCTGGCCCCTGCTTCTCGTTTGCGCCCTTGTTGGTCGCTGTTCAGCGTTCTCGGCTTGACATCTTCCACGTGCCTATGTATCTCTCGCCCGTCACATTCCACACACATCTGCCTGCAAATGCGGCATGCAAGTCTCAAAGGCCGCAAGAGGCCTCGAGTGGCAGGGCGTCGCGTTGGAGAGACTGTCATCATCATCAAATTGAGTGGGTCGCCACTTGGACCTTCTGGGTTTCACAACTGGGTGCTTTCTATGGCGGTCGGATCTCCTGTGCCAACCCTGTTCCAACTCCCACCGCGCCCCGCGCTGCATCTCTGCTATACCTAATACGTGCGACTTTCGGAGTGCGAACGCGAACTGATGCTCGAGGTGATGACCTGCTTCGAGAACGGCCTGTCGAGAAGACACTCCTGTGGCATCTGCCGAGTGTCGCTCTTGCTTCGTAAATCTGGATCATCGCACGTGATGCGCGTACACACGGTCTGCAACACGACCGTTCTAGCCGCAGCTTTACTACACCTCCAGCGCGTGGAAGACGGCGACCTATGGGGCAGCGCGTGAGGTACTCCAAGTGCCCGAGGGAGAGCACGAGACGCGATGAGGCTCTGCCGTTCTGATGCGCTGCAGCTCGTTCGTTCACGACTTCCTCCAGTCTATTCTGTCAAGTGCATCGCGTTCTTGCACGCTTGACTCACCTCTACCTCCATCCCGTCTGCACTTCCCCATCCTCAGGGGAGGATTCGCTTCGTTGGGTTGACGGCGGTCATAAGCACGATATCGCGAGACGCAAAAGCCAACAAAAGGCGCGCCGATGGGAGTTGTGGAGCGCAGAATCGTTCATTCATTCACAGACGCGCATTCGAGCTGTGAATCGCACAGCACGGCAGGTTCCCATCTCAGGTGTAATCGTCGGCCACCATCCTTGGCGTTGAGGTGCGTTGCTTCACCGTAGCTCACGCGCTTACGAATGACGGATAGATTCGTCATGTAATGCTTGTATGCGCGGACGGACCCCTTGGGCCGCACATCTCAGCTTGCGGAAACATTCGCTGATACAGTCGGACTCTTTTCGTTCCATTCGCCCTCGCGCTTCAACTTTCACCATTTGCCGACTCTGTTCCTGTTCGTTGATCATGTGGAACATGCAACGCGTTATTCCTCATTTTGCGACGCGAATTACACTCTCCATGGTCGATACTTTCAGTGGGAAGCTTGTACGCCGGCTTACACTCAGCTCTGCCTCAACCAAGGGAGACTCGAGCACCCTTTGATCTCTTCACCCGACCCCGCGCTTGGACTGCGCCTGCCTCGTCCCTCTCCTTCCCACTTCTGCCTTTTCACCTGCGCCTCATCGTACATCGGTCCGCCGTGACGATAAGGGCTTAGTGTCCCCTCCTCCGGTGTTTTCTCCCTACGCATCGGCAACCACAGTCCCTTTCCTGTGCACCGTACTCGCCTCGATCGGACGCATATACTCGATTCCCCACCTTTCCATCGAGCCCATCCATCTTGAAGGACAAGAAGGTCGCACTTAAAAATAGACGGGCAGCACCGCAAATCTTCACAGTCCAGCGACTGGTGTCCACGATTGGAGGCAACTAGTAAAGGGCCTCTACGATACCGCCTTCACTCACACGCCCAGCCCCGCTCGTCTGCATCCATCGCCCAACGTTCGCGTCACCATTGTTCGTCCAACTTCGTAAATCAGCATCCTTGGTCCGCAAGCATTCATCTATTTGTCTTACCAGTCAGGCTCAATCGGCATCGTACATCGAGCATTAGGCAGTCATCTGCAAATGAGCAAGCAAACCAGCTTGCAGTTCGAGAGAAGCCATTCATCCATCCTCGAATTTTTGGTTGTTTCCTTTCTCCCTTAGTCACTTCATGTTACTTGTCTCTCAATCAAGGCGCCAAGCACCGTCGCTCCTTGATTTGCATAGTACGCCTCGAACTCGCAAGCAGATCAGCGCCGAGCCCAAGAAGCGATTCCGTTCTATGGACTGGGGCGCCCGATCTTCGAACAAACGACACGGTGAGTCGCTCTTCTTTGTCTCGCTCTTCGGGCATGTTCCAAGCACAACTTGCGAGGCTTGCTATCTGATCCTTTAACATTCTTCCTGACCCGACCAGCATATAGCGTCTCACGACTCTTCACGCCCGTTCCCATACGCAACATAAAACCATGTCTATGCAGCATCCGCAATCGCTGCGCTCGCGGCGCTCCTTTGCTGCTGCGACAAGCACGGCACAGGAATCACCGTTACTGTCACCGTTGATGCAACCGAGGAAGCTAGCAGCATCCTCGCATGTCAGTACAGTCTCAAGGATCCCGTTGCCTTCGCTCTCTATACATCCCCATCACCAAGATCAGCAACAAATGCACATCAATTCAAGGTCAGCACCTACTTCACCTGCGCATGCGTTCCGGCCTCTGGCTTCTCCGCTTCGCGCTGGTCCGAAACACCCTGCTCTGGCTTCCGCCACACCGCTGCCGCGGCACGCTTCACCTTCACCATCTGATCTCACGACCTCCTCCCACGATGATGGCAGTGGTGACGACGGTCAGGACAACACTGTGCTGCCTATTGCCAGCTTTCACAGTTCACTGCCGCCGCCAACAGCGCCGGCGGTGGGAACAGCAGCTGCAGTGACGCGGCAAGCGGCTGGTGCGATCGCGACGGCTGACTTTGAGCGCTGGAAACGGTACCAGCAAGGCTTGCTCCTGCTCTCGCCCCCGCCGTCTTCGTCTCCACTTTGCGACTCCGATGCAGCCGCCGCCGCTGACGCCGCTTCCGCAATGCGTGCGGGCGACTTCGGCCATGCAGCCAAGCGCCCAGACGTGGCGCATCGCCGCCCAGCAGCAGCTCCAGTCGCGCGCAAGCTGACAGTTACAACGAATGAAACCCTCACCCCATCGCCTCCAAGGCCCTCGTCCCTTCCGCGCCCACAGAGCCTCACTTGCACACCGCAGCAGCAGAGGCAGCCCAGAAGTATGCCTTTTGGCTCCTCGCCTGCCGCTTCCCCTGCGCCCACGCCGTCGCCCACGCCGTCGCCATCGTCTAGACCTAAGCCTGGACCTGGATCTGAGGCCCGCAGTGCGACGCTGCATGCAGGGGCGAAGAGCGACGCGTCGGTGCCGGCTTTGGCCGCAGCTGCAGCTTATGCTATCAATAGACCGACGAGTGTTGGTGTTCGAAAGGAGCTGGAGACAGGGAAGGAGCTGGGTGGCATCACTACTAACACCAGTTTGAATGTTGGCCCGTCCGACTCACCCAAAGCAACCTCAATAGCAACGCCGTTGCAGACATCTAGAGATAGAGCTGGTGCCTTGCCTGTGTCCAAACTTACGCCGGTCCAGGCGGTCAGTCCGATCGCGACATCAATTTCGATCTCGAGCAAGGCGAGGTCGAAACTCTTTTGGCGCTCCAGCAGCTCAACTTCTCCAGGTACTGCGACAAGTGCCCAACCATCTTCGACCGGTGCGAGTGGGAATGCTGCAACCGCTTGTCCTGCTGGTCTAACCATCAGCTCGCCGACCAATTTTCAGCACGTCCAGTCTGGTAAGGCTGCTCTAGATCCCGTCGCTGCCTTTAGCAACGCGCTCGACCTGAGCGGTATCAGTCCAGAAGGCGATAAGTCAATTGGCGTGCAGCTGAGTCCGCGTCCAATCCCCGTACCTCCTTTTCTCAAGGAAACGGCAACAAAGAGCGTGCCGAATACGCCGCTCTCGCTGAGAGCTCGTCCGCTTCTAGCGCTTAGCGCGGAGCCGGCTTCAGCTTCGGCTCGGCATAGGCTGCACATTGCTTTGGGAGACCGGACGCATAGCAACGATACGGCTGATGCGACCGGGTCCACGGCTACATCTACCTTTGCAGGTTGGCCCCGTCAGGACCATGACCCTGAAAGTGCGAATGCCAAAGGCGATATGAATCTCCTGCAGCTGGACACGGTGGAGGCTTCCCCCATCAGGCTCGCTGGAGCCGCAACGCTTGCTCGGAGGGCTGCCGTCGCCGATGCTGTCCTGGGCAGTGGCGGTGCCAGTGGAGATCCTCCTGTCGGTATTCGTCAAAGGCAGAGCAGCAGGGAACTTCCGCTCGCACTCGCCCAACTTGAGCGCGAGCGCTTACAGGAAATCGAGAGTGTGCCGGTGCACATGCCAAACCCTGCCTCGCTCACGCAGCCGTTCGGGCTTAAGGGCCACCCAGAGAGGCATCAATTTTTGGTGGAGGGGGTGACTGAAAGCCATCGCTTGGCTTCGGACGGTGTCCAGTCGGCAGATTGTCGACTTACGTCGTCGCCTCCCTTGCGCCCGGATGTCTTTGCACTTCTAGGGCCGCAGCTGCAGCGTTCCAAAAGTGAGAGCGTCTCTTCATCCTCGCAAACACCGTCGCCGCAGGCCAGTGCAGACAGGGATTCTTCAAGCTTCTTTGTGCCGAGAAGTGCGGGGCAGAGAAGCCCGTCAAATGCAACGCCGTTAGCCCTGCCTGCGCGGCGCTCACTTGACGAAAAGTTACAGTGTGCCAAAAACGGCATCGCCCGACGCGTCAATTACGCACGTCCGTTCCGTAAAAGCAACCCTCCTACTGAACCTGATGCACAGGCGCAAGATGCGCTGCCTGCCATGACAACCCCTACCCGCCCACTGCTGCCCATGCGGAGGTCGAGCTCCACGGGCAGCATTGCACGGCGTATCGCCCAGCGCGACCATACGCCAGATCAAAGGCCTATTGCGTCCCGCAGGTGCGCCATGCCTGCGGACACTGCTGCATCATCACATCATCGCCAAGTGCGTTCTCAAAGCGCTATTAACGATTTGCGACCTGCTGCCCTTTCGTGCGCTGCTGTGGCCACTGCGACACCGTCTTCGCCTATGATTCTACCGGCAGTTTCGACCCCGCCAAAAGCATTTGCTCAGCATACATCTTGCGCGTCCAGTTCAGGCGAGAATGCGACGCCTGGCTCGTTTGACACTCCGTCCACTGCTCCCCGCGCTCTCACAGCTTCCCCGAGCACTGCAATGAGCGACACCGAGTCGCCTCGAACAAGCATGAGCATGAGCCCTATGCAGCCTCTCGCAGGGCTCGCATCTGTCGGACCTCGGTCGATCTTCGCGAAAGCCCTACCTAAGAGCAAGCACGCATTCTACGAGGACGACGCGCTCCTGCCTGCACCCGAACAGTTCACCGACGCTGATGTCGACGTGTTCGGCAAAAAGGCTGCGCCTGCTGCCGCTGCACGAGTCTATGAGCAATGGCATTTGCCTGGTACGACACATGATCGCCTTCCAATGGCTACCCCAAGCATCTCGGACTTGCACATGCCAAGCTACGTGTCAGCAGCCTCGAAGAAGTACGTGTTCATTCAGGCTGTGCCAGCGCACGTCCAGCATAACTTGGACGTCGGCCACCGCTCGTCAACTCAATGGCCCGACGTCTACGAACTGAGCTCTGTCGCCAGTGATGACGATGCTCGGGTATTGGAGGGCCATCTTGACGGGACCGAAGACGGCTTGGGCAATGTTCAAGTAGGAGATGAACCATTCTCGCGCACCTCGGCGTCGTCGGATTTGCTTTCACGCTACCTCAGCCTTCAGAGTCAAGCAAGCTTGCCGGAGGAGAGCATCAATGGCTGCACTGAACTTTCAATCGATGTCCAGCTGCTCGACGTAGAAGGTTCTTTCGATCCCATCGCTTTCAAAGAAGGGCGTTTGAGACTCGATGTCCGATGGATGGTCAAGCTTTCCGGTGATGGAGTGGTTCATCAAGCTCAGTCTTTCCAAGGCACCACGTCCCTTGGCTGCCAGCGCCGTGTGCGCACGACGTCTATGGTTCAAGGTTGGCCCAGCAGCGAAGCGCCAATCGCGCCCGAACTTAAGCCTCGTTCACTTGATGACTTCAAAGGGACTCCACACTCGCGAGCTAGCTCAGATGCACGAAGCTCAGGCCTCCTGAGTGCTTCACTGCTGCCGCATACTCCGCGCCTCCCTAGCACACCCCCCAGTGGTTCTACTTTTTCGCCCAGGCCGTTTCTGCTACCGTGCAGTGCTGGTACCCGGAAGCGTCAAGAATCAGCGCTATCGAGCCTGCCCTCTGTCGTTGACCCTACTTCCACCAGGCCGGAAGGTACGCCCAGGCAACGGCAGGTCAGTGCTGGTAACAGCACATTTGACGGTAAGTGGGCGTCTGTTGTCGAGAGCTTGGCAGTCTTACTAACATGCTGAGCTTCTACTTCTTTAGCACGCAAGATGTCGCCACGTCGCCCTCCATACAAGAGGTCCGACACGTACCACCCGTCTTTGATCGCGTTGCCTCCACACAAGCAACCCCACGATCCTTTTTCACCCATGTCATCTTCACCCACACGCCCTTTATTCGACAGCATCAGCGAGCACAACACTGAGCATACACCGCGTAACCGCTTCTCGCGTCTCGACCAGCCCATCATGGAGGTCAGTCCTCCGGCAGGATTATACAGCGCTAGCACCAGTCTTGCAAGCATTACAGGCAGCGCTATGACCTGAAAGAGGCTTTGCAGTTGCATTCGTTCCCTCACTCTGCTTTCGTTCACAAGGAACTCAGCCTGCCTTCTTTTGAAACATTCTCGTAGACCGCATTATCCGGCAATCACTGGGCAAGATTCCTCTCTCGAGTAATAGATACCGCAAGGCAATGGTTTATGAGTTCAATGGATTTGATGGCGCAGAGCGTTCTGTATTTTGTTCGCACTTCAATTTGTGCAACCATGTGCAGTGCCAATATGCTTTGTGGCATCATCTATTGCTTTTTCTGCTTCTGTTTTGGCTCCTTGACGACGAGCCATAGTGTGCAGAAGATGACGAAGGCTGTCATGGTGCTGAATGCGCCGCTCACATATGGATACGCTGCGGAAAGGAAGCGTGGGTGCTCGTCATGGTTGAACGGCCGGACGGGGGCAGTGTCACGCGTCTTGATGTAGGACCAGCCTTGCCGTTTCCAGTCCACGTGGAATGTGAAGACGCCGTGCCGATCCGGCATGCGGAAGCTGGCGCTGTATCGCGTCGTCGCGTTTGTCTGCGTCTGCCCGGAGGAGACGATAGTCTGCGGCGCAGCAGCGGAAAGCTTAGTGGTGACGTACGGGTCGAGCATGACGAGAGAAACCTGCAGGTCCAAGTCGCTCGGCGCGGGTTGCCATCCGCCCATAGGGAGATGCTGCGCGAGGTCGATGTGGAAGGTGACCAAGTCTTTCACGCGATACACGGCTTGCGCATCTTCGCTCTCCTCGTATTCGGGACGCGTGTCTTTTTCATTCAATCGGACGCGGTGGTGGCTGGTCGACGCCACGCGCAGAACAGAATGTTCTTGCATCGCCCAACCGAGCGCATCGGTTGCGAAAGCCAAGTTGGCAGTCGAGGCGTACCTTGCGGTGGGAACGAAGCGAGGCTGATGAGCACTGGGAAAGGGGAGAGCAAATGGGCAGCCGATATTGATTCAAACTCACCTGGCGCCGTCAGCGGCACGCAGATCCTTGGCATCAATGAACGAGTTCTTTAGCATGTCCAAGCTGCCGAGGAACAAGGCCCTCGCCGAGTTCTCCTTGATCTGGAAGGCGCTGACCAGGCTTGCCACTTGTCCTCCAGTCAAGATGTCCAGGTTCTCCTCGAGGGGAACAGCAGACTTGTCTTCCGAGGGCGGGCCCTCTGTTGAGTAGGATGTAGCAGGAGCATGCAAGAGAGGAAAGGCGAGAGGCAGCGCTCCAATACGGTGAGCGACTCCGCGGAAGAGGATGGGAGAAGTCTTCAGCTGCTCCAGTGTCTCTGACGAGAAGACGTGGGCATTAAGAACTGCGCCGCCTGGCGATAGCTTGCTCTGGGAGGTGCTGCGACTGCCGCCGCCAACGAGAATGGCGGTATGATTTCCCGTGTCGAGCTTCGTCTCGGTGCGGAAGTGGTCGATGAGTCCCGTCCCGCGGGGTTCGACGTCCAGGTGGAACTCCCTGGCGAAATCCCTATTGCCCTCTGTTACGTCGCTATCTAACCCAAAGATGAGATTCCCACCTCGCCGCATGAATTCAACGATCTTCTGAGGTGAGAGGTCCGAAGTCGCGCTCGGAGCGGTGGAAGGCGTCCAGTAGAAGAGGTGGTCAAAGTCGTTGAGCTCGTACGTGGACAGTTGTGGAGTAGCTGCCTTGGCGGATCGGAACGTGAGCTGGTACCCTTTCTCGCGCAGGCGGTCGAACAGCTTCGAATATGCCGCACGATCGGCCTCGGCATCTTTGAGCACGACCAGCGTCCGTACGCCGACAGCTGAGGGCGAGGACGACGATAGCGATGATGATGCCGCGCTTACCAAGACACTGCAGAACAACAGCAGCGCCGCCAGCAGCGCAGGGAGACGCATAGGCAGCATGATGGGCCAGGTTGCGCAGCGGCTGCACTTGCTCCTTTCATAAGCTAGCCTGATTGAAGCACGAATGCGCAAAGGAGCGGCCAGGGAGTGCTCCTCTTTTCAGTGGTACACATCAAACAAGCTGGCATGTGTTTCGTGTACAGGTCAAGCTACCAACCAACTCAAAGATGTTCTCGCTTCGGGGGGGGAGGAGATTGGGTCAGCCCGCATGCAGTGAGCGAGTGCCAGGCACTGCACCTGTGTCTGGGTACCGTTCCGCCCCTCGCTCACTATGTACTGCCTGTCTGCTCGTCGGGAGGCTTTCTTCTACATGCTTGCTATCTTGCTCTTTCCTCGAGACCTCGAACAGTCCCTGCACAGCCCGCCAGGAGATTCTTGCTGCATCACGGGTGGACTGCGAGCGACAGAAGTTCAGTGCCCTCAGAAGTCATGTCGAACGAAACGACTCTGACATCGCCCAAACCCGCTGCTTCGGCAGCCGCAGGTCCAAGCCTGGCTGCACAGGCCTTGCCGGTCACTGCAGCAGCGGCAAAGCAGGCTGCAAAGGAGGCCAAGGCAACCAGGAGAGCGCAGGCCAAGCAACAACAAGCTGGTGCATCTGGGGTGGCAGCGATTGTGCCAAAGACGGCTGCGACTGCCGCCGCAACAGCGCCGCAACAACCAGCACCGCGATTCAAGCCCGACGGTACGCCTATACTGAGTCGAGCAGAGCGAAAAGCCAAGGCAGGTTCCGATCTTAATGCATCATCTGCAACGTCCAGAAGTGGTCCATCGGGGCAGGCGCACGCAGCTGGTCAAGTTTCGGTTACTGCTTCAGGCTCTTCGAAACAAACTCGTCAGCAGCAGCAGCAGCATCCGCACGGCAAGGCTCACGCACATGGGCAAGCCTCATCATCCCATCCCTACCCATTAGCATCCATCGCATCGACGTTGTTCGGAAATGTGCACATGCCGCCTTCTCGCTCATTACTCTCTGCATCTCTCACCCAGTCGCTCCATCGCCGGACGATCCACCCGTCCGTTCTTCTCCTCGGCACACTGCTCTCAACGTACCAGCTGACGGGGGCCAATGCGCGCGCCATGGCCGTCCTCCTCGCGCTGCGCGACTTTGTTTCAGATTACAAGACGCCAGACGGGGCTACATTGACGCGTGACTTGGTCACGAGGCTGAGCAGTCAGATCGCTTTTCTCAAGGAAGCCAGGCCACTGGGCACGAGCGTTGGCCACGCTATTCGGTACCTTAAATACGAGATCAGTGTCACGGATAAGGACTGGGACGAGTCTACAGTGAGGGTTTCCAAAAGTAGAGGTTACACATAGCAAGGCAAGAGTTATCGCTCATATGTCCTTTGATCCTTTCCCCCTCAGGCAAAAGCGCATCTGCTCTCTCGCATCGATCACTTTATCCGCGATCGCATCACCTATGCAGGGCGCGTGATCCAATCGCATATCGGATCCAAAATCCGCCCAGGCATGACAGTCCTTACCTACGGCCGCTCGTCGATTGTGGAATCTACCTTGCTCTTTCTACGTCGCTCTGGGACCAGCTTCAACGCGATCGTTATCGATAGCGGGCGACCGCTAAACGAGGGGCAAGCAATGCTCGCCACACTCTCCACAGCGGGGATAGGCAAAGGCGGCGAGAGCGGAAGTCTGACATTCGGACCACTGTCGGCGCTCTCAACTCTCATGCCGCGCGCCGACCTCGTCCTGCTGGGCACAGCCTCGTTGCTCTCGAACGGTGCGCTGTATGCGCGAGCGGGGACCAGCTTAGTCGCCATGACGGCCAACGAGCTCGGAAAGCCCGTCATCGCCGCATGCGAGACGTACAAATTCAGCGATCGTATACAGCTCGATGCATTCGCAGGCAACGAGGCGGGTGGAGCAGCCGATTTGCTTGCCGACGACTCAGCGGCTGGCAGCAGCGATGATCACGGTCTCAACTCTGCACTAGTGGCATCAGCCGAGGCCGACACTGTTGGTACAGGCAGCCAAGGTCTATCAAAAGGCGCGGCTCTCAACCTGGCAACGACGGCCGGCCCGTTGACGATCGGTCAAGCAAACAAGCTACGAGGGAGTCTACAAGCCGTAAATCTACTCTACGACATTACCCCGCCGCGTTTCGTCACCGCTGTTGCGAGTGAAGTGGGATTGAGCGGGCCAGAGAGCGTCGGCGTCATTCTCAGAGACTATAAGAGCGTGCTTTTCGGAGTCTGAAGTTTTGTGGTAACTAGGACTTAGATCTTGCGCACACTCTGAAGAGAAATACTGCATCCGCATTGAATCAGCTTTGGCACACACAGACATTATTCAAACACAATGTTGCATAACGATGTCGTGAACGATGGGCCCTGCTGCAATGATTGCGCGGGCCACATGCGAAGTACATAATACAATGAAGGTAGTGAAAGTGATCAAATGCCCTAATTCCCGAATCCCCGAATTCCCGAATGCCAAACTATGCCCGTCACTTTTAAGGCACACCTGATATGCGTAAGATGCTCGCCCGCCTGTCGCAAATGGTGATGCGTGATGCAGAATTCTGCGACGAACGAATGCTGTTGTATTTGTGTGTTGATGCAACTGGGACGGCGGAACGATGCTGTTCCTTCTTGATATGTGTAGCGCTGCAATGAACGAAAGGAGATGCTGAAAAGAAAACGAATGGCCTCTGGCCGGAGAGAATGGATGTTAAATGTTTGATGCTACTGTTAGTTCGTTGGCTGCGATATGATCGTGCTGCTTGCGAATGGTGGAGGGCAATGGAAGAGTCTCATGGAGCCCAGTAGCCGGCGCTGCCGGCAGCGAGCGGAGACACGGTAGCAATGAGCTCAGGACTCGAGTTGATAGCGATCTGACCAAGCGGCTGCCGTTCGACCGATGGGATCAACTGATGCGCGCCATGCCGTTGCTCGAAATGCGGAAAGAGAGCCGAGTGATTGCAGGCGTGCATTAAATTCTTCTGAAGTTCGAGCTCAAAAAGGAACGGCGCGCCGAGGTGCTGGCCTGGCATGGTGGGTACGCCCTCGCTGATAGTGGATCTGCGCTTGACGGCAGCTTCAAAGCGGGAGCGCACTGTCGGGAGGGTTTCGACCATCTCTGGCGATGCGCTCATGTTGGCCGAGATGGCTGCGGCGGCGGCCGCTGCGGCAGTAGCAGCGGCATGAGGGTCGTGCTTGGCTTCACTCTTGCCTGCATTTAGATTGTTGAGACTGCGAGCGGCGGCTAGCAGCTGTGCATGGGACACTGCGCTGAAACCGTTGGGACGGTAGTGCGTTTTGAGATGCTGCGACAAATTGTCACTGCGACCAAAAGACTTTTGACACCCTGGGTACGAGCAAGGGAACGGCTTCTCTTGCGTATGCACCTTGTTGTGCCGCTTGAGGTGCTCCATGCGCTTGAACTTCTTGCCGCACCAGCAGACGTGTACCTTGTCCGAAGAGCTGACGATTAGTGGCGGCGGTCCAGATGGTCGCTGACGGGGGCGCTTCATTGGTTTGCCGACAGAATTGGCAGAGGACGTGATGGACACGGGTGATTCCAGGCCTGGGAAAGTGAACTGGCTGTGCGGCGCGCTCCGGGGTATACTGGCCGACATTCGCTGGTCTAGCGGCGTAGAAGGCAGCATGAGCGGCGTCAAGTCGACTGAGCCGTTCTTGCCGACCGAAATAGGTGTCTGCATCTGTACGGTGGGCAGCGACTTGCGGGTAGCAGATGCCGGTGTTGTTGGCACTGCAAAGTCGCCGCTTGCTTTGCTGTTGGCTCGATAAGCTCCCGGCCGGCTGGGCGTATGAATGGAAGCGGCAAATGCTGGAGCAGATGCGATGCGGGCCATAGCGGTGGCGCTGGCGGGCATATCGGAGTAGTTTGAGTAGCGGTCGCCCTTGTGGAAGTTGTGCGCGGGTGATCCGTCGTCTGGAAAGCCGCCGTGCATGGATGCATGGTGCAGAGACGAGCATTCATTGAAAGGCGACGTGGCGACGCTCGTGTTGAAACTGTCAATGCTGTCCGTACGCCGGAGGCGGTCAACGCTATGCGAGCCGTGCAAACTGTCAAACGGTGAAGAAAAGTCGCTGTGCGACGTGGCAATGCTGGAAGCAGGGGTGCCATGCGCCGAATCTGTGCCGTGCGTCAAAGGCATCACTGTTGGATTGAGGGAAGGGCCGTTGCTGACGAATGGCGAGCCGCTGGGTGTTCCTGGCATAGCCATACCGGATGACTGTTGACCGTGCAGAAGAGAGATGGCCGGCACTTGTCCCTCAAACATCTTTGATGAAGGTGGCATCGGGGTGGACTCGTTCTCACCATCGTGGCCACGAAGGTGCATGGGTACAGGCGGCGCCGACAAAGAGTACAGGTCCGAGTGGAGAGATTGTGAGCGCTGCGTAGAGCCGCTTTGGACCTCATGGCCGTGACTCATGGCGAGCAGGTGCGCATGATTCTGCAGCATTGTCGGTGGGTTACCCTCGTGATCGTGGTGCTGGAGCTCTTCTTCCTCGAGGGCAAGCGTACGCCTCGCACCGTCAGGGGTACCAATGAAGAGACCGGAAATGGACCGTGACATGCCGAACGGTGATTCGCATGGCTGTAGCTGGTGGTTGACGCTACCGCATTTGCTATGGTTGCTGCCAAATTCGCTGAGATCGCTCGTGCTGCCGCTCGACTGGCTGTATGCGGGCCCGAAGAAGTCAATTGATGGATGCAGCGCCTCCGTAGCGACATCGAGAGCCGAAGAGACGGAGGAAATGCTAGAGCAGGAGCTCATACTGCGGTGGCCAAGTGATGACCGATGAGAGAAACTGGCCGGCACGGCAATGCTGTGACTGCCAGATGCAGTTGCAAGATGGTCGTCAGACTGTGCGCCGCTTCGTGGACTCTGACTATCGCCCCGGAGACCACCATGGCCAGGGTTGTCCAGGCCGGGTACGACAAGACCGAGCGAATTTTCCTGTCCTACAGGCAGATCAGCCAAGGGTGAATGTAAAGGTGTGGTGCTCAACGAATAGTAGGGCTCGTTGGTGGCTGTGTAATAATTCGGTGATGGGTCGCGCACTTGTTGTTGGCGGTCGACCAGTATTGGGGATGGCGAGGAATCACCGTGAGGGCTCATGTTGAACACCATGCCTGTCAACGAGGGCCGCATCACACATGGTGTCAAACATACATTCCTTCGTTCTTCGCCGCTTAGCCCTATACTCACCTCTGTATGCTCGCGCTGTAAAGGAGGACGAGCAGGAGTGGTGAGCGTGTGCGAAGCAAGGGGTGCGGCAGCTGCGACGCGTGTCCTCAGATCAAGTCAAGTGCTGTAAGACAGGACCGTACGATTCGCCTGACGGCGCGTAAGGAGGTGGTGTTGGATTGGTGCGCTTCGAGTTGGAGATCTGAGCCACAAGTTGAGGCGGTTTGGAATGATGGATGTAGGGAGGTGGGGATGTGATGAGATTGTGTTGCAAAGGATTGCAAGGAGGACTTTAAGGGGTGAAGCGGTGGGGGTTGTTTTGGTTGCGAAGAAGTCCATGTACTACCAAGGGGCCGCCGGCCGAGGCGTGCGATGTCCATACATATGCTGGCCAATCATTTAATCGTAATGATTCATGTATATCCTGCAGCTCCTCTGTGATGATTTGAAGTTCGGGATCACAATCACACAGACTCCAGTGGACACGGATGCAGACGGGTGAGCAGCAATCTTTCCGTCCAGATACACACATACAACAGGATACAACACGATGACCGTGGGTGATGCGGTGATTGTGGCAGTGGTAAGATGTGGGCCGCGGTCCGGGGAATCGCGCGATCTGCGTGGACAACTGTATCTTGTAGATGGATGAGAAAAAAGCCGAAACAATGATAAAGGTAGCGTATTTACCACAGAAACAAGCAAAGCCTTTCTTAAAATTCTACGGTCACACAGTCCAAACACCAAAGAACAATATGGATCGCGTTGTGGGACTAGCGCCTGGCTTCGGGCCAACACCGCGCGTCCGCATGTATTAATGTGTAGCTGAAACAGGGCTGACGGGGAGCTGGTCGTGTCCTCTCCAAGTCCATTCCCATCACTCTATCCATATCCATGGTCTCATCGGCTCACATGCTCATGCGGGACGCCGTATGCACGTACATACGCCCACGCGCCAACCTGCTGTGCGGACGTGAACGCGCCGAGCGAAAGCTTGATACCAACAACTGCAACACTGTGATATTCATTCGATACATACATGCATATATGAACACATTGATGCGGAGAGGTATGTAGTTTGCATACCCGTGTATATTGTGTACATATCAACGCACTTCCTGCAACTTTGCACAGTCTTACGCTGTGCAGCATGGGCGCTTGTCCACATGTCACATACCTACATATTTACATACATACATACGTGCATACATAAGAACGGGGGAATATCGCACCCCCTGTTGGGCAGTCTGACATAGCCTGGCGCTCCACACGGAGCCTTTAGGATATTATTGGATGGCAGTATGTCTGCCCTAGTGCAAGGCATAGGCATGCAGAATGCTCAGAATGGCTTTTGGCCATTGGAGTTTGGAGGCCAAATGACGAAATGGCCCCCGGGTCCCAGGCAAAATGCAGCAGGCTGGGCAGTGTGCACTTTTCTGTCACCAGTCAGCACTCATGATACACATACTCGTACATAGTAGCAGATACATCTAGGTAGTGACGACTGTAACCTGGGCACTGGACCGCCTTGGAGCGAATCGATGACATTTGACAAGCAATGATCATCACTTGCTCTCCAATTTCCCCAATTCTCTCCTGCTCTCTACGCTAGTCCCGAAGCCAAGTGATCTCAAGCCTCTTTATTACAAAATTGATGAATATTTTCTTTGACAATTCTCATCATGTCAACACCTATGAACAACACGCCCTATTCCGCCGATCTCAACGACAAAGCATATCAAGGCGCAGGCCATTGCACTTGGCGGAAGGCCTGCAGGGATGCTGCAAGCTCCAGTCCCGGAAGGAAACATGCAGAAGAACCTTTTTGAGCTCGTGCTCCTCATGCGTCACCGCGACTCGTCAAAGCGTTAACAATGGCTTCCAACGCTCCAATCCAATGTTTTAGTTCGGACTGCGAGTGGGTACATGTGGACCTGGTGAGATTCTAGGTGACCCGGACTACTCCAATTCTATCTCAGCACAAGACTCTTCAGCCTTCTAAATCGAGCCCAGGGAGGTCGGCAGGAACTCAACCGGTCATAAGACGCCCGGATGCCGAGCTGCCTGTTGGAATAATTTGCCACCGTTTTCACAAGGTTGAGATGCCTGGGTGTGGGTAATGGACGTCAAATGTGAGCCTATTTATGTGCCAATTGAATTGGAGCCGACGAGCGGTGTGCCCCGTGACATGCGCGTGACGTGTGCATGTTTTTTATTTAATTCACGAGCTGTAATACTTTCAATCATCGACCACAGGACAGTTGCATTCAGTACAATTGCCGCCGTTTTGTAACTTACAGGCTGCATGACCAGTTGGCAGCATACATGACTGCGGTCTCATTGCACTCCGCAGTCTTCTCATCTTTCATATCTCCCATTCCTTAGGCGGCGAAGCTGCCAAGCGCCAAGTCAAGGCTCATCGCTTCATCGATAATCAGTCCTCGACTCTTCAGTTTTGCGCTTCATGATGAAGCTTCGAGCGGCGTCAAGTGCTGAGCGTCATCCTATCAGGCACCAGTAAATCCATTAACAAATACATATCAGAAACAGCCAAGATATGATATAAGATCTCAGAGCTTCATGATAAACCGGGCTGAGCTTCACAACCTGCTTGAATATACCCGCAATACTGATCGCCTTGAAGCTGTCTTCGTAACAATCTGGAGGAAGTCCCTACTGCAAACACCACGATGCGCCACGATTTCGAGAGTTCCATCGACGATGAGACAGGTTGAGATCTGAAATCTGATTTCTCAAACAGCAGGAACCTGAGAGGGGAAAGAGCACAGTAATGTGCCAGACTGAGCCTAGCACAGCTGACAGCGGACGCAGGGTGCAGGCAGAAAGATCTATGGCTATTGGGGTCTATTGTGGTTGCGGGACCTGTGCCATGGGCCCATGGCGCATGCCAGATCCCTTGGGCAATCACTGCGACATGCTGAGGAAGATGGGGTTCTTTGAATGAGGGGGAAATCAAAATTACAAAAGAATTGGAAACATACATACACTGCAAGGGAGCTGAAAGAAACATGCGATCATCGGGAACAGCACGACGGATTGAGTCGGTGATCGGTGGGAACTGGAAAGTCAATCAAATGCGTTAACATTGTGACATGGGTTGATGTTCGCATGTTGATGGTTGACATTTCACATTTGACAGCTGACACCTCGATGCCCATATCTATTTACATACTACGTTACGAGGCCTGGGCTGGTGGGCTGGCGTGTGTGGGCTGACGTGATTTATCGTCATTGAGGGGGAGACAGCGTTAGGCTGCCTAAAATGGCGCGTCCGCACTCATCTGGAGCGATTGATGACTTTTCACTTTCTCACGCCTCGGAGGAACGCATAATGACCCTGCGAAGCCAGATCCTGAAAACTGAGACGGGAGTCGGGGCAGGCCGGAGCGCCCGCATGCTTACCTATCATGTAAAGCAACATGCAATATTGGGTAGGGAGGGGTACGCACTGGCGCAGTGACTGGCGCTCCCGCCTGCTCCGGCAGGCTCTCTTCCTGACACTTGGCAGTGAGTACATACAAGCATGCAACAAAGGCTGATTGCCCACTCTCCACACTCACCAGCATGTAGCAACATTTACATACAAGGTCGCAGATCTGAGCTAATAACCTTCAATTGACCAGCCACCAAAGAGCCAGGCACGAAGGCCCCAGCCACAGACAACACAGGACTGACACAGGCTTCCATTGCCAGTAACCGCCGGCAATCCATTCTGAGGATTTGATCTACAATATCGGATAATGTCCAAAAATTAATTGATGTTTGGTCATGCGATAATACTACGTACTTAAAATTTTATGTATTGTGTTCTTGTTGATTGATTCAATGGCACAAACGTCTTTCTTGCACAACCTGCACGCAGAGATACCATACGCAACCTCTTCAAAATATTTATTGAAAGCAGACAGAACGTGAAGCATGGATCCTGGAACATAGAGCTTTTCAAATCATCAGAGCAATCTTCACTAGCCACTTATCTCGTCTCGGGCTACAAATGGCATGCATGCATAAACATGTGTTGTCTACATTTCACAGAGCATGTAACTTTGTTGAGCGATGAATTGGCACTGGCGTCCGGCATCACCGCATTGAAAATGGGTGGCTGGAAGTCTGGGCAGGTACCGGCTGCTCTGGGGCTGGGTGAACTGCCGAGGCACGGTGAGGCGCATGCTCAATGCTAGCGGGTTTATCGAGTCCTGCGGGGAATGAAGGCCTGCCGCCCTACCCACTGTCCGTCTTGTCAAGTGATGTCTAAAATATATGTATTTCCGTATGTAAGTAATAGATTTCGGGCCCCCAAATCCCGAAACTCGAAAGCAGGCGGCGAAATCATGCCCCTTCATTGCGAGTCACCTGCCAGTAGCTACGGTACGTAACGGGCTAGGTACGTACATGTGCCACTCAAATCCTCGCATGCTCATCACCTGTCACATCTCACACGTCACATCTCACATACTCGGTACTCACGACTCAGAATGATGTGCTCATTGCACAGTAATCGCTACTCACCTACTCGTCGCTCACCAGCGGCCACTCGAGACAGCCCCACGCCAACTCCCAGGCCACAAGGTCCCCGCTGGCCTGGCTTGCACCTGCTTACTCGAGCATACTACAACCCCGCTCACCGCTTGCGACTTGAGTCAACATTGTGTTGCAGCACGGTAGTAGTCGGCAGTGTCAATCATTAAGTACCAAACATCAAGCATTGAGCATGTAGGTGAAGTTGGTCATCGAGCATGTACTGGTTGAGTTCCAACCTTGTCAGAAGGTCAAAATGATATAAAATAATAAGAAGCTGAACGAACCCGCCGACGAAGTGGGCTCTCGGTCTACATGCTCCGGTCGAGGTGCTAGGCTTACATGGGAAGCTGTTACTCGAGCGTGGCGTAGACGATGAGCCAGCCTTAGGCATTGGGCGGTGACCGTTCAGCGGGTGAGCGTTGAGTATTGAGTAAGCATCGAGTATCCAGCATGGAGTATTCCGTACTTTACGATTCATTATTATTGCTTCATCCTCATGCTGCATGCCCATCCGCTCATCGCTCGAAATGCAGATTTCAGATGTTCAGATATTCTCCCAAGGATTTCAACTTTTCACAATATTTCAACATGCAATTTCATCTGACATGCTGGCTTGTGGAGGCTGCATGTAAAGCCGAGCGTCTGTCGCCTCTCCGTGTTAGCTTCATCATCATAGGATGAAGATGAAGATTTTATCAGCGGAGATGTTTGGATAGTATCGCTTATCATGAAATCAGAATAGCTTACGCACATAATGGGCCGCTGCGCCTGCAGGGTCCAAGCCGCATGAATGACCAATGTGTGATTGTATCTGGCAGGTGCGCCCTGTGACTCACGCGATCGTGATCGCGAGCAAAAACGCCAAGTCGAAAAACGAAAGTTCCAGGCTTCCACAAATGTTTCCGAGTCGCCCTTTTCCATATTTCACTTCGAGACCCAAAACTCGAGCCCACCGGGCACAGGTCATGTACATTTTTGGTTTGCAAGGATGTATTGAACAAACGAGCTCTTGTTGGCCCATGGAGATTGGTGCCGTGCGCTCGCAGCAACGGCCAGCCGAGGACAACGTCGAACCAGTCGGCCCGCCTCACGTTTCTGTCCCGGACGACGTGAGGTCGCTGGCCGCCACGGTCGCCGTCGCTTACGCCATCTGACCGGACTGGAGTCGAAACCATGACAGACCCGGTCGCATCAGCATGCATTTCCATGCCGAGTGTAGTACAGAGGTAGTGCGAAAAAGCGCATCTGCGGAGCCGGAGTCGACAATAACTATGACCGGGCGACCCTGGATCAGGCAGGGGAGGAGGGCAACGGCTGTGAATGGCGACGGTCGAAAGGCGAAGATGTGTGAGCGCGGCGGCGAAGTGGACAAGGCCCGCTGGGAACGTATCGCACCCCTCTGCCGGTTGGCTTAGCGCTTCCTCTTGTTATTGGCCTTGCTGCTCGTGGCTAGCGTCAGAGCTGCTGCACTTGCAAGGCAGTCGGCCCATCTATCATAGAGCGAGTGCGAACAGCCGTTCAGGAGGGGTGTTCAAAATGTCGAGGCTAAGTCGTCGGCCGTGGTGAGAGTGGCCAGGAGCAGTGTGGCTTGGGTCGCGGGAAGCGCGCAGCGAACAGCGAACAGCGAAGGCGAACTTGTCGACGTCTGACAAGTAAGCAACCATCTCGGACTAGTACGTCAGGGATGTCGCCAGCAGCGGTAGCGGTATACCGGTTCCCGCTCACCACTTCACGGCGGAGGCGGGCGACCGCGCTGGTATGATCGACGCCTGCCTCGAGTCGGGTGAGGAGTTGGTTAACTGAGATAGAGGAGCCGAAGACTTCCAGACCCTTCGACCCTCTCGGCTTCGGACCGAAGACATTGAACAGAAAGTGATTGTAGACCGGGGTGATGGCCCACAGGCGATGGCTACCTCCTTGGGCCACTTGGGCAGGTAAAGGGAATCATCGTCGTCCTCCCGGATCTTTTCCGCTACAGCCATGAAGCCCCTGTTCAGACGAACGTTGTTGTTAGGGTGTGTGGTCTCCCCCTCGGATTTCGGACCGCTCGTCGCCGGTGCCAGTGCTGCGATCGCCCTGCGGAGGGTTGGTCGCGGAGTGGGGTCGGCCCTTCAGCTGCATCTTGACGAAATTTTCGGTTGTTGACGGTTCACGAAATAATAGAGGGACTTCAATGAATTGCGTTGCGACCATCGACGCTCACAGTAGGAATGGGCAGGGGTGGAGAGGCCCGCTACGATGGCAATGACAATGGCTAGATTCATACAAGTCTGAGCAATATACACGTGCATATACCATAGTCCACCCTGAGTTATAAGTGTGGCGCCGATGGCAGGCCAGTACCGCGGTAGGGCTGAATGCATTGTCACCTGTTCCTCTCCGTCCTTCACAACAGCTCTTGGTACAGCCTGCTTTGGATTCAGTTCTGGGAGCAGAGTGCTTGAGCGGCCTGAACGCCTGAACCGTGATGTGTGAGATTAACGCGAACACGTCTCAACGCGTCGTTGAAGCCAAGACACTTTCAGGACCGCCCCAGGCGGCTCCAGGTTGTTCCCAGGCTGTCGAAAGTCCAGCAGTGCCCTGTACATGGGCCCAGGGCTAACCCACGCATGGTGCTCGTGGCCTCATCGGGCTTCTGCAGCTGGGTTAGCGATGTAGCGACGTGCAGTGCGCAGGCCTCATTAGTGCGCCAAGGCGCCTGTGAGGCTCGAGGATTTGAGCAAATCCTCCCCTTCTTGCACACTGAATCATCAGAGTTTGGGCTAGAACTCATGAAGGTTCGTTTACATACAGTAGGATGAGTACTCCCGAGTACTTGGCCCGGAAACTGTGTAGGCCTCTGCCTGAAACCCCAAACTCCTGGTGATTTTGGAGCCTTTTTACACCGAATCTTACCGTGGCCCGGAATATCCGGAGAATTTCCTTGTCTGGGACTGCGACCAGCCGCTCAAGGAGTTTCAGGTTCATAGGGAGCGTACCATATGCCATCAGCATACGGCAAACATGGCACATACACACAAATTGCATGTGTGAACAGTGACCACAAGGGTGGTAACCGGTTGGTCACAATGATAAGCACAGAAGCACGATGCGTGCAGCAGCGTTCGCCCGACGCTGCAGGAGGACGCATCAGCCTCCCCCGAGAGGAACGGGGATTGTCGCAACGCGACGACTTCAATCTGATTATCTGAATGGTCCATGCGTATGCATGTAGCTATCCCGTTCTGCTCTGAACGGTGCTCGGATACCGGGATCCTTTACCGGTTGACACTGAGCAGTCTCACTATTCCCACAGCGGCCAACGGTGAACGATCAAACGATCCAGGATCAATTAATTAACATTAAATGCATCAACGACCAAAGATCGGCGAAGGCTTGCCCGGTGCCCCCGACGAGCTCAACAAATCGGACCGATCACCGACGTCAAAATAGGCCGAGCCACCAAGGTCCCGCCATTTAAAAGGCCCCGAACAACAGATTACAAACCACTTGTACGTGGTGCTCCATACTTCATGTTGGAACAAGCCGCTTCTACGCGAAGGGCGAGACATTATGATTGATGTCAGAGAGAACAAGCTACCAAGCGTTCAATAACCAATCGCCAAGTCGTTGCGCTAGTAGTACAGTCTTTTTTCCTTCTTTTCAACGCTATGATGAGTGTGCCGTTCTCTCTCACGCTCTCTGACGTGGGCAGCGTTCTGGCAGATCCCCACGCAGTTACTTCGTTACGTGACAATGCTCTTCTGCTCGAGTGGGTGCTCTCGGTCTGGTCACATGTTGCGGAAAAGTAGAGAGAACAGCGCTCACTGACCCCATCGCCCACCAGCGTAGTTATTGTATGCAGGGTAGCTGCCGTATCCGCTGTTCTGGCCGTAGGCAGAGTACTGCTGGTAGTAAGGCTGTTGTTGCTGTGGCTGCTGCTGTTGAACACCCTGTTGGGGACCACCTTGCTGCTGCTGCTGCGGCTGCTGCTGTTGTTGCGGTGCGGTGCTGCCTTGAGCATACTGGCCAGCAGCAGGGCGACCGCCCTGCGAGGTGAGGGACTGCGCGGGTTTGCTTGAGTCGTACGCGCGGTACGGGTCGAGCGAGTTGTGGATGCTAGCTGGTGAGCCACCTGTGCCGTTGATGCCGGCCGCGCCATTCTTTGGCCCGCTGACTCCCTGCTTCTGGACCCCAGGAGACTGGCCAGGCATGACGTTGCCGAAGGAAGAACCAAAGCCGCCAGCGGCTTGGTTGTTGCCGCCATAGTACTTGGAGTAGTCCGTGGACGCATTGGACTGTGCGCCGGCGCCGCGCGAGTAGGCGTTCTGGCTGTCATAGCCGCTCGTGATGCTGCTGGCGGTCTGGCCGTAGTTGCTGTAAGCAGAGAGATCGCTCTGCGACTGGTTGTACGGCGAAGCCATCGTGCCCGGAGTGCTCGGCTTGGAGAGATGCGACTGCTGCTGTGGCTGGCCGCTGTGCTGATTGTACAGCGGGTACTGGCCGTAACCGGGTTGGCCGTAGGCATGTTGGAACTGGTTAGGGAGGTAGTAGCCAGGGTAGTAATATGGCATCACACCAGGGAACTGCTGAGCTTGGTGCTGCATACCCGCTTGTTGCTGCGGCTGCTGAGAGCCAGACTGCGCCTGCTGTTGCTGTTGCTGCTGTTGGTGGTCGAGTCCTTGACCGGTCGCCTGCTGCTGGCCCTGCTGAGCAACTTGCGCCTTGCCATCATCAGTGCGAGCGCTGCTGAAGCCGAGCGAAGCATTCTGGTCGTAGCTCGAGTAGAAGCTGGCGAGTCGCTGTGCATCGAGGCCGCCGTACATGGCCGAGTAGTCCTGCAGCAATTGCTGTTGCTGCGGCGCCTGCTGCTGCTGCGGAGTAGTTTGTGCGCCGAGGCTCGCAGCATACGGCGCAGCCTGCTGGGCCTGTCCGGGAGCTTGTGACGGGAAGCCGTATGGAGCTGAGCTGTACGCATCCCCAAAGCTGGCGAGCGCGGAGGGCTGCGGCTGAGCGGCAGCCTGTGCGAATGAGTCGGTCTGCTGACCCTGGTTCTGAAGGCTCTGCGTCTGGGCAGCCACAGCGCTCTGCTGGAAGCGGTCGTGCAGGCCTGCGCCTGGCTGCTGCTGTTGTTGATGCTGCTCTTGTTGCTCTTGCTGCTGCGGTTGGTGGGTCGGGACGGTCTCCTCCAGCTGTTGCGGCTGCTGCGAGGTCTGCACGACGGGTGCATCTGTCGCAGCCTCCGCCGTCTCGGGTGCGTCGGCCGCGTCGATGTTGAGCGAGCCGAACTGGACGCCCAGGTTGTCGAGCGCGGCTGCGCCGCAGGGCATAACGACTGGCTGGTCCTGCTTGGGACGCTGGACATTGCGCGTGGCAGAGGCAACCTTGCCCGGTGCAGGCTTGGCTGATGCGGCTCCCGCTTCAACCGGGACCGCCGGGGCGGCAACTTCTGCTTGCGGGGCGCTCAGAACAGGAGCAGCTTCTGTTGCCGCTACTGACGGCAATTCCACAGAGGCCTCAGGGATGCTTTGCGCAGACTCCAGCTGTGTGGCGGAGTCTGGAGCTGCGGGAGCCGGGGCTGCGGCATCGACGGGAGTGGTGGCGGTGGCAGCGACTGCCTCTGGGGCGGAGGCCGGTGCTGATACCTGCGCGGGTGCGACAGGCGCGGGCTGAGCTGGCTTTGGTGGTTCAGCCGGGCTATATGCCGGCAGATAGGGTAACTTGTCAGTTCTTCTTGACAGCAGGACTCACGGTGGGGGTACAGCTTCCACACCACTCACCGAGCGATTTGAGCCCACGACATGCCGACCTTGCTCGCCTTTGCCGCTGCTGCTGGCGTAGGCTTGGAAGGAGACGAGGCGGGTACAGGCACGGGCGCGGGCGCCGCGACGGGCGCTGGCTGCGTCGCGACTGTGGTAGCGGGTGTCGACTGGGAAGGCTCGTCACTCCAAGAGTCTGTAGCGGCCGCGGCGGCTGCCGGTTGGGCGCTCCATGAGTTGGCAGCCTCCTGGTCTGCAGCAGTGACGGTTGGCTCCGCGACTGCCGCGGCCGCCGCGGCGACGGGCGCTGCTGTCTTCGGTGCAGCCTTTTTCAGCCTGTCGGCCCAGCTGGGGCCTGTGCTGGTCGGAACTATGGGCGCCTGGACGGCCTCTTCGGTTGTGTGGTGGCCATTCACCTGCGCCGCATCCGCTGCGCCGCCGCGACCCCCGACCATACCACCTCCTCGACCAGCACCGCGTCCAGCGCCGCGGCCACCTCGGCTGGCGGTGCTTGCGCCACGCACAGGCCGACCTCCCAAGCTGCCGCTGCCACCACCGCTGCGAGCAGGGTGCGCTGTGGAGGCGGCTGTTGACTCTGACGCTGCAACTGGGGTAGTGCTCGAAGTTTCTTTCTTTTGCTCCTTCTTTGGCTTTACCGAGGAGAACTGCTGTGCATGACCTGAACGTGCAAGGGGTTAGAAGCGTCAATAGAAGCGTCTTTGGCAGCTGTCAAATATGGATGTATTGAGTATCATGCACCTTCTGAGATGAGTCCAACCGCAAGCTCGACTTCGCCAGCAGCATCTTGCAACACAAACAGGAGCTCCTCATCGGTCCAGTCAGGGAAGAGCATCTTAAGTTGGCTGAGCTGCTGTGGGTACTTGGACCGAAGCTGCCTCGCCGCCTCCGACTCATCATCTGGAATCTGCTCTTGCTGTGACTTGGCGCCACCGCCTCTGGTTCCTCTATGGCCGCCTCTTCTGACATACCCGCCCGGCCTGCGGGGACCCCCGCCACCAGGTGCCGGCGTGGCAGTCTCTGCTGCTGTATTCGACATTACTTCTGCTGTGGCTGCTGATGCTGTGTGGTCCTATTCGACTCTTTGGCTATGGAGTCGCAGAGAATGAGGGAAGGATGCGACGCAATAGCAAGCGTCCGCTCTGCGGCCTGGAGGTTGGTCTGGGAAGGAAGCTTGAATTGGGGTGTGAATGAACCACGGCCCGGGTGCTTGCCCTTCTTTCCGCCTTTGGGCCCCCGGTGAAATGGGCAGCAATAAGGATACTGCTGCGATGATGATGGCGCTGGTAAATGGCTGGTTGCAATGCAGTTGAGGGTGTGTGGCAAAAGAACGAGCAAGCGAGCAGGCGATCGACCAATGGATACGCGAGGTATGGGCGGACTGGATGGACGCACGTAGGAAGGAAAGGGAGAAGAAAGCGAACGCTGCGGCGGCTGCGACGAGCGCCAACTCAGACAGGCACTGCGCCCGTCTCTGCTGAGTAACCCTGACAGACACAGTGAGCCGCCTTTTCGTGCGGGACAGCAGCCGCGCACGACTCGCAGCGCATAGATCGTGTGCCACTTGAATCCAGTCTCCTCGCATCGCCCCTCTCAACGAGCCTCTCAGCAACCACCCTCTTCCTCTGCGCACATGCTGCCATCTCATCCACTTGCTCTCTTAGGAGCCTGTTTGGCTGGTGGCATCGCCACAGTCTACAAGCCTGTCAGCGGCACATATCGACGGCCCACAGACTCTTGCAGGGCCATGCCCGTACCCTCCGTGGAATCTGGTGATATGAGCAGGATCCCACGCAACCACCATCTGCTTGCAAACAAATTGGATTCTTAAAAGACACAGCCCGCTCATGTTGGGTGAAAGATGGATTCGTCTATGCATACGACGCGGGACCCGTGAAGGATCTTATAATCGATCCAGTGCGGTTCGGTACTAAAGCGATTTGCTGTGAGGCCGCTGAGTGCACATCCCCGTCAATGAGGTTGAAAATCATTACATAGGAAAGACGAAGGGGCGCATACAGGTAGATCAGCGTCACAGATCCACAGCCCACAACGTCTCCGTCAGGTGTGCCCGCCATCCGCCGTCCCCTGTCGTCTCTCGAAGTTTTGAACGCGGTCCAGCGTACAAGCGTCCGCAGGATGTATGCTGCACATATGGCATGTCTGCCTGCTGCGGCCGCTGGCAAGGTTCTGTAATAATAGTTCTGTGGTCGTCCACATTGAGCTCCTCTGTTCAAGCAGAAGGCCTCCGATGTGAAACAAGATGCTACGCTCCAGGGCACCACATCCGCAGGGAACATGCAGGAACTAAAGACTGGAGAGCGTTTCGGTCGGTGGGTTGGAGGCATGAGCACAATCTCCCCTCACCGGGTCGTGCATAGTGAGAGTGAGATAGTGAAAGAGTAAGGGACTCCCCCTCTGCCTCCTTCATTCTCCCCCGGCCGATGTCCGACGATGCGACGCCATTTATATGGTATCCCGCCAGTCATGGTACCTGTGCACCACCCTCTCGCTCTCGCACCACATGTCAAGACACAGCAGGCTGTCCACGCTTGCAACATGCATGGCACACACCAGGATCCTTCGTGAGAAATCCTGCCAGGACTCTGGGCTGGACATGACCGGTCACCAGGCTGGCTGTTCCCCCTCGCCATAGTCCAGCCGAAACCTAGTCCGCGAAAAAGAGAGGCCGTCCATCCCTCATACAGCTACGCTATTCTCTACTACGGCCAACCATGTCTATAAAGGTGCCCGGGACGAGCTGCGCGATGACTGCCGCTGCGATCATGACCGTATGACGCGGTCCTCCGCGGACAGCGCGAACAGTTCGCCCTCACCACACAGATCAGACGCTTGCCCGCTCAAACGGCCAGGATGAGCTCGATTGCAAGTGCAACTGGCCACTCGGCCGAGCAGCAGCAGCAGCAGCCGCCATCGCCACTTCAACAAGGCAGCCTGGCCAGCAGCTGCAGTGGAAGCAGCGTAGGCAGCATCTCCAGCAGCCAAGGCGATGGTCGCAACTCGCGCAAGGCGAGTTCCAGCCAGCTGCAGCAGTCAGCCCTGTCTCCCATTAATTCCGACATCCGGAGGCGTTCTGTGCATAGAAAACATCCCGAGAAAGCGGGCATGGCAGCAATAGCGACCGCCGCGGAGAGACCGAGCCATATGTCACAAGAAAGCTTGCAGGCCACAGCCGCTCCACTGCCAATGAGCAGTTCTACGATGCTTCCACCACGACTGGAGGCTCGCACAGCATCGTCGAACAACAGCTCAGAGACGTTGCAGCGGCAGCATCCCCCAGAACGTGACCACAGCGAGGCAAAACATACGTTTGATGCCGCAGAACAAGCAGATGTGCCGCCAACGTCCCTCTTTCCGTGGACCGCACCTCTACCGCACCAGCATCAACCACCACGATCACCAAAGGGGAGAGCAGAGCGCCACTTTCCTCTGCGGATACAGCGGCCGCCCTCCCACATCTCGTTGCTCGCAGACTATAGCATGGCCGCTCCGGTGCCCAGCAGCCCCGGCTCGGCGCGTCTCCCTCCTGCATCGGCGTCGTGGCCCACCTCCTCACCCGGCTCCGGCGAGCCGCGAGGCAGGCAGCCGTCCTCGGCGCCCTCGCATCGCAACGCGCCTTCGCTGGAACGGCACGATGGCGCCGCACAGCCCTCCACAGCCGCTTCATCCACCGATCAGGCGTACACGTCGCACATGCAACTGCAGCAACAACAGCATTTGCTGCTGCAGCTTCCGCACGGGCTCAGGAGCCCACCTGCAGCAGGAGCCGGGAGGGGAGGAGGCGAAGTATCAGCAGCATCGGCGCACCAGTCCTTTACCAGCCCACAGGAAGCGTCATTGGCCGACTCGTACACGACAGACTACTCGCACAGCAGCGCAGTGTCCGGCGCGCCGCCCTCGCGCGCTGCATCGTCGCTCGGTGGCATCGACGCCGACATCAGCAGTGTTGGAACCGGCAGCGCGCGCAGCGACCTCAGCGGTGGTGGAAGCCCGCTGCCCGAGGTAGAGAGGAGCGGCCTGGGAGCCGGCGATGGCGATGGTGAAGGTGCGAACGCTTGTGCTGCCGCTGGCTTTGCTCGTGGCGACGACGATCCAAGGTCAGGTTCGATGCGTGAGTCCGTTGGTGACAGCAACAGCGTCCGGCCCTCTGCGGGCCCGGTGCGCAGCAGTAGCAGTAGCAGGAGCAGCCATTTTTTCTTGGGGCACCACAGCCTGCACGACGAGCACGATCACAACCACGGTCACGAGCCATACGGAGGACCCCTTACGGGTCTGTCGGCCTCGACACCGCTCACAGGTAGCACAGGCATCAGCCAGCTGTCGCTCATGCATGCGCTGCCGCCCTGGGCGGCGGCGCACAACAGGATGACTCGCAACGGGCACGAAAGCAGTCGCGGTGGTAGTGATGGCGGCAGCAGGAGCAGCATTCATGCAAGCGCGGCGGACGCAGCGCTTGCAACGGGCACGGGCGGAAGCGGCGGCTTACTTGCTTCATCTTTCAGCCGACGCGCGACAGTGGAAAGCAGCGACTCGCCCATGTCGGACGCAACGAGCGCGAACGACCTGAACGACAGCGACCAAGCGGGAGGAGCGCGATCGCAGGCGGCTGCTCCATGGCGGAAGCAGCCTGTACAGGGCGTCAGGGGCTCCCTTACTCGGTTCTCCATCGGACACGGACAGGAAGCATCAGCACCTATGCGCGCTGCGACACAGACACCTGTCCAGCAGCAACAGCCGCTGCCGCCCGGGATGCGGTGCCGCGCTGAAGCGATCGAGCCGTGGCAGCTCTTCGCCCGTCTCGAGCGGTGCTACGGGCCGCAGCGCCAGGAAATGGGGGCGCATGGAAAGGCATGGATGCACCCTGCTACGATGGGCAACTCGTGAGTACCCTGCAAACCATGGCTGCACATGCTGGCGTCGCCCTTTCTTTTATTTCCCGCCCTCGTTCTACGCGGTCTTGGTCGCTGACTGCGGACTCTCACATTACACTCTTTGCGATCTTTCCGTGAACATGGATTCCACTTTTCCATGTTGGCTTGTACTGATGGCCCGGTCCTACGATATCCCCGGCGCTTACGACCCTTTTCAGCCTCAACACTCTACATAAAACAACAACGACTGTGACAAACGAGACGAGCCGCACAGCAGTAGATTCTAGGCGGCCAGCAGCAGCAGCAAATGATGATGATTCTGGGCCGCCTGCTGCTACGTCATCCCTGCCCGAAATTCGTGATGATAGAGCTCCTCAACCGCCCCATCATCATCATCATGCTCATCAGCCGACGCCACCTCCGACCGTCGGCCAAGAGCGTCGGATCTCCAGCGGCAGCCGCCATCTCGATGTGAGTGGACCATTCTTTATTTTTGCAACCCGTTGCGTGCTCCCATGCAGCATGAGAGCAGTGTGCATCTCTTTCTTTCTTTTTGGAGCTTCGCGGCTTGGCTCGCATGGCTGTTCGCTCCACTCCCCCCCCATTCCGCGGTTCCGCCCTGCGTGTCCTCTCGGCATTGCTGCGCTCTCGATATGTGTGGGCGGGCAGAGCTAACGCCCCAGAAAATGAGAGAAGACTGAGAGAGATGTTCTGCTGGACAGCCGCCATGGTTATACAGACAGACAGACAGACAAAGGTGCGGGCGGCAGACCCAGCCGGGGAATGGGGTAGACGCTGTTGTTGCCTGAGCGCGCCCCGGCCACCCACTCTTCCCCTCTCAGGCAGAATGGAAAGAATGAAATGGTTGCGTGGCGGAGAGGTGTGGTATGGTCCGGCCTCGTTTGATGATCGTGTGCTGACCATTGTTGCGATTGACGTCTCATGTTGCTTCTTACCTTGGCTCGGTACCCCGCGCCCTCCACATCTGCTTGTTGCCGGCTGACTCTGGCCGTCGCCTGCTGGGTGGGTGGCCCTTACGCTTATCTCTCACTTTCGCCGCCGTCTGTTGCAGGACCCGACCCGTGCACAGGCAGCACTAGCAAAGCCAGAGACACAAACAGTCGTAGACTCCCTGGCATTGTCTCCATCCTCAACACCAGCTAACCACCCCAGCAAAAACAACAACGGACATCCCGACCGGCAGCAACTTGGAGTGTCACATTTGGAAGCAAGCAGTACCACTAACTTATCGTCCGCACCATCACCTCAAGCAACAGCACATACCACACTCGTTACCTCCTTCGATGTCACCTCTCGCGCACCGCTCTTGATCCTAGACACGCGCAACATTTCCGATTACTATGGTGCAAGCTCGACGAAAGCAGGCACCACTACCCCCATTTCCTACACTGCTGCAGCAATATCAACCGCTTCTTCTTCTCCCTCTGGCGGCTTTCGAGTGGCAGACCCGCTGAGACGCTCCTTGCTACCAGGTGCAGCACCGACGCAAGGGCACATTGCCTTTTCCGTGAACGTCAACCTGCCGTCCCTCGTCGTCAAGCGCTTGAAGCGTTTCGGAACGGACCCAAGCGGCGGCCCCTCGTCTTCCGGACCTTCTGTCAGCTCAACGCAGGCGGCAGCCGGGCACACCAGCGCCACGTCTCGGCCCACTTCATCCACATCCGCGGCAAACCGCGGCGGTGCTGGGCGATTTGGCAGCGCAGCGCCAGGCGGCAGCGGAAAGCTCAGCCTTGGCCACGGGTTCGGTGGCGGTGGAGGATCACCGCAGGAGTTCGCAGCGAGCAAGCAGGGCGTTCTGGCCATCGAGACCTTCATCACCACCTCGATGGGCAAACGACGCTTCGAGTCGATCGTCCAGCAGGCATACCTAGCCCGCCGGACCCGGAGTCGCCGTGGTGGCTCTGGCGGGGGAGATGCAGCCATTCCTGCAGCGTCCTCACCATTAGACGCTGCGGCCGGAGGACCAGCGGAAGACAATGGCAAGCAGCCACAGTTCTGGGATGTGGATATCGTGATAGTCTACGATGACCCTATGCAGATCGCCGATGTCAAGGCGGGCAAGCAGCATCGCCAATCAGGCATCGCTCCCCCATCATCAGCATCTCACGGTAGTGGTGGTGGGGGTGGAAGTGGCGGCTTCGCGCCGGGTCTCGCCGGACCGAACTCCAGCAAGGCGGCAGCGACCGCCGCCGCGGAGGCGGGGAAAGCACTAATGCACGTGCTGGAGCGAGTCGACGCTGCGGATGCGCAGTGCGATGCGATTGACGGCGCATATACTCCGCAAAGTGGTGGAGGCATCTACTTCATCAACGGTGGCCTCCAAGCGGCCATCGCTGACGAGGCGGCCTCCGGCTGGTTACGCAGCGGTCCGGACGATGCCGAAACGCCACCGCTCTTCTCGGATGCGGACACGCACAGCGAGGCGGACTGCATCGGCAGCATGAGCAGCAGCAACAGCGCAGCCGACGCACTGCAGATTCCTCTCTCGTCTCCATTGCAGCCTCGATGGACGAGCGGCAGCGGCAGCGGCAGTGGCAGCAGCAGCAGCAGAAGACGGTCCATCCACGATTCCCCGCAGGGCGTCAATGACCCGCCTCCAGCTCTGTCCCTTACCATCGGCGACAGCGCAAGGCTGCGCGACAGCCCGATCGGCACGGCTGACGCAGGCTCCAGCAGCCTCTTTGCGCGGCGCAGTAGCCGCTCCAGCTTGCCAAGTCCCGCAAGCTCTGCCAACCATGCAGACTCTGACACGGCAACTATGGCGGAGCCGACACCGGAAGCGGCAGCAGCGGCGACAGCAACAGCACCTGTTCATGGTATTGTTGGTGGTGTTGGCGGCGGCAGTGGCGGAACCTTCGCCACGAGTGTCGTGGCTGGACGCGCAAACACGATGCTCGCTCCGCCTACTTTGTCACCTAGCCTCTTGTCCGCTGCATCAACGCCTGGGCGCCGCAGGACGCCACGGCCTGCGCTGGCACGTTTGGACACGTCAGAGAAGGTTATGACGTTCGGCCTCGACTCGCGCCAAGCTTCTGCCAACAGTCCGCGCATCGTCACGACCTTCAGCAGCTCCGATATGGGCAGCCAAGACTACTCGTCCGCCGCGGGCTTCCACATTGCGCCTCCTGCGGACACTTCTCGAGCAACGCTTACAACGGCAACGACGACGCAAGAGCCGCCGAGCAGCTTTCAGGCGCTGTGCAGACAGCAGGCTCAGCATCCGCCATCGCCATCTTCGTTTGGCGTGCACCGTCTGCCGTGCTCCCATGCGCCGAACGGAAGCGCAGTCGGCGACCTGCGCCGTGCGTCGGAGCCCCACAGTCCGTCCTGCCGCAAATATGCATCGGACGAGTTCAAGTTCAGCATCAGCTGCATCCTGCCAAATTTCCTGTACCTCGGCCCAGATATTCAAACGGAAGCGGATGTAGCGCAGCTCTCGGCGCTCAAGGTGCGCCGGATCTTGAACATGGCGATGGAGATTGAGGATGGTGGCAAGAAAGGGTTGAGGCTGCGAGAGCGCTTCGACAAGTACCTTCGCATACCCATGCGAGATACTGTCGAAGCAACCGGCGTGCAGAGGTCGATCGAAGAGGCTTGCAGGTATATTGGTGAGCCCTACACCCTTCATGTCTGCTCCTCTCTTGTGTTTCACACTGCTTACTGATGTATCGTGTGCACGCCTCGCTTCCAGATGACGCGCGGCTTCACAGCACGCCTATCTACGTTCACTGCAAGGCAGGCAAATCACGTTCCGTCTTGGCTGCCATGGCCTACCTCATTCACGCTAACCACTGGACGCTGAAGCGCACGTACGCCTACGTCGTTGAGTGCCGCAACGCCATCAGTCCTAATATCGGCTTCGTCGCAGAGCTCATGAAGTTCGAGGAGAAGGAGCTGGGTCTCAAGAAGCCAAAGGGACTCCTTTCGGGGCCTTCGGACATTGGCGACACAGGTGGCGCTGCCGCAGGCGAAGAGACAACGAACAGAATTGCCTCAAGCCGGAGCTCCTTGCCCGCGCGTCCCACTCCGAAAAAGCTGATTACAATGGAGACCGTGCCTCCTTCGTCTGCTTCATCAGCAGCACTAAGCATTGGGACTGCCGACGGCAGCACAGGTATCAATGGCGTCAGCACGGGCGCAGGTGCAGGTGCAGACGTGGGCGGTGGCGCAGGTCCTCAGATAGCGCTTGTGCCACCACGAGGTGCGGCCCTGCCCTTTTCTGCCCCGAGCCTGATGATGAAGTTTGCCGCACAGCAGGAGATGATCAACACGGAGACCGAGTTCAAAGGTGACGACGGACGTTATCGTTCGCGCCGGCCCCCTGTCAGCGATCTGCACGTTCCGTCGCGCAGGACCACCATGGCAGGTATCGACAGTGACAACCTCTTCGCTCAGCTCAAAGAGCATGGCCTCAATATGGACAAGGGCGTGTAGCGTCCTTACACTCTCTACCCTGCTCTGCCGCACTCCGGCCGCACGCGTATTCGCTGCCGACATCACCGTTCTTTCTCCCGCACATCACGGCCTACATGCTCTGCGCATCGAGTGGTACACATACCGGTCTCGCAGGCGGCCTCATGTTCGCGTACCTTTCCCGTCGTCCGCCCTCACCCTCCACTCCTTTCCGCTCAAATACACTGCAGACAATCCGGTAATCCAAGTCATTTGTAACAAAGGTATGCACGCAGGTGCGGATCGTCGTGAATGCAACACAAGACTCTCGCGAGTAGCGGCAGCAACCGCAGTGAGCGCCTTGATCCCGAGTCACACATCTGTACTACAACCGTATAATGGACGATTGCATCAAGTTTCGCACCACAGAATTCTCGCTTCCGCATGCACTTTACGGTTGATAAAGTACAAGCCAATGGTGTGGAAAGGCTACTTGAACGCAAGCCACTTTTACTTAGTGAATCTGTTTGGATCGGTACAGCACTTTTGAGATGTGTATCAGCAAGGCCCTTCTGAAGGACAAGAGCGCTGCCCGTGATGCAGAGAGCTTTTCAACTTACAGATGTACGCAACCGAGTCCTCCCCGCCACCGTCGAGCATGGTGATCTTTTCGCGCGAGACAGTGCTGACTTTGTCGTCGTCAAACTGAAGGCAATCAGAAAAGACGGTCAGTATGAGTAAGCTGAAGTGGAATGGAGGGCACAAGAGCAGTAAAGGAGGCTGCGTGTACCAGGCGTACCTTGTACCACTCATCGTTCTGCGATGCGCCGACAGCGTCCAGATCGCCCAGCCTCTTTGTGTATGCCTCGTTCTTCTGCGAGACTGCGCCGTCGCCGTGCTGCTCTGCATCCGCAACGGACTTCTTGACCCAGCTAATGTAATGGCCCGCGTCGGCTGCTGCACCCTTGTGCGTGACGATGCCGATGAGTTCATACAACCCGGAGGTGTTCGCGCCGATGTCTGCCAGCAGGTCGGTGTCGATCGTGGCACGCACGTCGGCTGCTTCCTTCTCGCGCAAGGCGAGCTCTTCTTGTTCGGTCAAGACTTCGCCGAGCTTGGCCCCTGCGGCGGCGCTGGCATCTGCCGAGCTGGCCTCCGCTTTGCCGCTCGCTGCTGCTCCATCCTTTGGCAACGCTGAGGAAGCGATGTCGACAGCCATGGCATCGCTCGGTTGAGGCGGATCGGTGCCGGCGCTTCGACCAGCGCCACCCGCCGCTGCCATTGCCTGGTCCGCCGCGTCCTTCTTGGCCTTTGCGCGCTTCCTGATCTTCGCGCGTTCGTCCCTCGCTTTTTCCACTTGCTTGATCGACTCGGCGGTGTGCTGTACCTTCTTCTTGAGCTCGTCGCTGAGGAAGTCGGTCGTATCGAGATCAAAGGGGAACTTGACCTTGCGCATGATCTTGGTCTTCTTGCCGATATCGCGTCGCCAGAAGAAGCGCACGAAGTGGCAGGCGAGATAGGAGGGTAGGCGGTTGATGCGCCTTTGCTCATTGTACACCACTGTGCGGCCGAGCGTGGGGCTGTTCTTCTCGATCTGTTGCGTCAGAGAGTCGGAAATTCCGGATAGCATCTCGTTGGTTGTTCCGCTGATGTTGCACTGCAGCATGGTGAAGGATTCATTGCTGTAGCTCGCCTCTTCGCTTGGCGCCTCTGGACATGAGCGCTTGATAGCCATTTCGCCGGTCATGTATTGCTGGACAAACTTGCGCGCAGCCGTTGATGTAGTTACCACAGAGGTAGAAACTGCAGGCGAGTCGGAGGAAGGCGGCGGCAGGCCGGGAAGAGCATTTTGCAGAGCATTGATAATACGGATCCACACTTCCTCCGCATCCTGCTGTGCATAGCCTCCACCCACACCACCGGGGCTGGGGCGCGACATTTCTGCAAACTGCGGTGCGACTTGCCGAAGGATCTGCGGTAGTGGTGTCCGAAGAGGTCAGCACGTGCACCAGAGGCCGTCGCCATGGAAGCAGACATGATGATAGCGCTGATCTTTACAGATATACTCACAGTGAGGAAGGCGAAAGGATGAAACGCTTCTGTGGTCTGGTTCATGCTTTTGAATAGGTCTCGTAACGAGGCCGTCAAATTGGACTCTCCGTCTGCGCCACCAATGGACGCTTTAAAGCTGTTCGGGTAGGAGGAAAGGATGGGGTCAGCTCAAAGTACTGGAAACATTGATGCATGGCGGAGAAAATGCTCACTTTCCCAGCGCAATATGCAGTTCTGGAATCGCCCTCAGAACCTGCAGTGTCGAATTCAGGTAGCACGTGTTGCCTAGGTTAGTCAGGCCCGCCTTCTCGCGCGTGACAATCGCAAGCTGGCTGTCTGTCATGTCCTCGACGAATGTGACCGGCTTTATAGGAGCCTTGGGCAGCTCTCCTGCTGTGCCGATGACCATGAAGACCTGGCCGTTCTTGGCACCTAGCGAGGCCATGTCGGTCTCGTCCTTGAGCAAGCCACCTTTCACCATGACTTTTTGTCGGTCGACGGGGACACCCGTCGCGGTGTGAATGGCCGCTTTGAAAGCTGATGCTGGCTGCGAAAGGTCCAGTGTGAGCTCGTGCTGGAGAGGGGGGAAAGAAGATGCGGCACAATCACACATGAGCGGGCGCAAGTCATTCATCACGAGACACTGCCACTCACGAGCTTTCCATTGTGCTTGACCTTGACCTGCACAGCGGAGGCCATTTTGGGCATTTGGCACTGCGTCGGGAGGGTTAGATGGTGAATAGCGAGCGGCGTTTGCGGCTGCTATTACTCGAGATCCAAGCAACCTGCTCTAGTTGTGCCATGCCATATCCAAGAAGAGAACCACACACTTACAGGCGTCGACGTGGGAGGTACGTTGATGGTGGTGCACTAATGACGTGTCTGTTGGAAGAAGCGCACCCCGCGTATACAACCCTATTCTGCGGCCTGCCACAGCCAAGCCTTTTTGCTGCTATACGAACAAAAAATTTGGGCAGTTCCGCTCAAAAGTGTGTCGAACCAGCAAAGGATGAAAGAAAGTTGCACTCAGCTTGTCTCGCATCTCTTATTGCAGGGACAGGTTGGATTCCAGGTTATAACTCGGTCGGCGAGGCGAGACAGCAAGGACGTATAAAGGACCGACTCCTGCCAGAAGCGCAAGAGGGGACTTGAAGCACAGCAAGTCGCAGCGCCTAACCTCCACGGTTGATCCGGATCCGGCTTCCCAGGCGAGCGAACGCAAGGGAAACGCAAAGATGGGCAAGCCAACGAAGCGTACCAAAAAATTCATCAGCACAAAGCTCGATTCGCACATTCAGGCGCGCAAGCAGCATCAGAAGAAGAAGAAGCTTGCGCTCGTCAATGCAGAGCGCAGAGCCAAAGCTGCCAAGTCGAAACCCCCCGGAAGCGGCGGGAGAGCGACACTCGACGAGGATGAGTTGAGGTCCAGCGACGATGGCGAGGCAGACGAGGACTTGCCGGCTGACAGCGATGATGGGCAAGCAGAGGCCGGCGAGGGATCAGGTAAAGGTCGCAAGGCACTAGCCGAAATGAGTGTGGATGAATTCCTCGCGCATGGGCTGGATGGCGTGGCCGGAGATGAAGACGATGACCATGAAGATGAAGATGTTGAAGACCTCGAGGACCTGGAAGAATTGGAAGACGAATCTGGTTGGTCCGGAAAGGGCATCTTATCTCGTGCAACGACCAGAGCTGACATGGTCCGGGTTCTTTAATTGCAGATGAAGAGGGAGACCACATAGCCGACCTTACAGCACTTGCGAAAAAGGACCCAGACTTCTTCAAGTACTTGCAAGAAAATGACGCCGATCTTCTAAATTTCAACCCAGACGTCGACATGGCCTCAGCCTCGGATGACGATAAGGACAGTGCAAATGAAGACGAAGGATTAAAGGGTACGAAAGCAAACCCAAAGTCGAAACACGCCGCTGCCGAAGCAATCGAAAAGCAAGTCGTAACGCTTTCGATGCTTCGCGAATGGCAGCGGGCAATCTTACAGCAGCGCTCCCTCCGCGCCATGCGGCGCTTGCTCCTTGCTTTCCGTGCGGCAGCGCAGCTTGGCGCATCTACATCATCGGCCCCTATGCCAGCCGGCTCTGGGGTCAACGCGGACGAGTCGGCAAAGGAGATGAGTAAGCGCAAGCGCAAGGCCCTTAAGAAGCAGCGGCGCGTCGAGCAAGGCGGCGTAAATGGCGATGGCGAGGGCGGCGGGGCCGGAGGCTACATTGTGCAAGACGCACGCGTCTACCAGAAGGTCATCCAGACGACGTTGAAATACACACCACTCGTCCTTGCGCACCACGTGCCGTACAAGGAGATCTCAAAGAACGGCGCAAGCAGTATTAGCGCCGGGACGCGCTACAAGCTGCCGACGCAGTCTAAAAAGTACGCCATGCTACAGCGTCCGATCCAGTCCTTCTTCTACAACCTCACCGTCCTCCTTCGCTCGCTACCGGACGGGCGGAAGCGTACTTCCTCCGCTCTCGATGACGGCAGCGAGGACGATGAGGGGGAAGAAGGTGGCAAAAAGAACGGCAAGGGCGCAGACGGCGCTCTGTTGGGCTTCGTGGTTGAAGAGAGTAGCCGGATGATTCCGTATATTGTTGGGAACCAGAAGAGGAAGATGGCGAGAGATTATATCAAGGTGCGCTCCCGTGCATGCATGGCACAGAATAGCTTAGAAGCATTGATACTGACTCTACAATGCTATCCCTCTTGGTTCATCTGATTTTTGCGCGCGCAGATCATGCTTGACCTCTGGTCCTCCGCTGCCGATGGTGTGCGCGTCTCGTCGTTTCTGGCAGTCCGCAAAATGGCAGCCGCAGGCGATGCCGACATGCTGGATCTCTGTCTTAAGGGGACATACCATGCATTTGTGCGCTCAACGAAGCTTACCACGGCGCACACTTTGCCCTCCATCAATCTAATGAAGAACTCCGCATCTCAGCTCTTCTTGCTGGATTTGACGGCGTCGTATCAGCACGCGTTTGGCTTCATTCGTCAGCTCGCGATCCATCTCCGCAACTGCCTGCAGAACAAAAGCAAGGAGGCGTACCAGAATGTGTACAACTGGCAATATGTCCACTGCCTCGACTTTTGGAGCTTGGTCCTCTCTGCCACTTGCGACCGTGACAGCAAAGCAGGTGGACAACCGCAAGAGAGTCCAATGGAGCCGCTGATCTACCCGCTCGTTCAGGTGTCCCTCGGCGCCATCCGCTTGATCCCCACATCGCGCTACTTCCCGCTACGGCTTCACATTATCCGCTCGCTCCTGCGTCTAGTACAGCGCACGGGTACCTACATCCCGCTGGCGCCTTACCTGATCGAGATGCTCGATGCGCCGGAATTTCAGCGTAAAGCCAAGGCCTCGACGCTGAAGCCGCTGGATTTGACCACCAACTTCCGTGCACCTGCCGCGTACCTCCGCACGAGCGTCTACGCCGACCACATCGGCGAAGAAGTCGCTTTCCTTCTGCTCGAATTCCTTGGTAGCCAAGCGCGCAGCCTCGCTTTCCCCGAGCTGTGCATCCCTGTGACTGTACAGCTGCGGCGGCTCATGAAGACCTTCGCCACCGCTAAACCTGGGGCAAAGGGCAAGGGAGCAGGAGCAGGAAAGGGCAAGGCGGATGTGGCGCTGAAGCATCTGCTCGACAAGGTAGCGCAACAAGTCGCGTGGACCGAGAAGCGACGACAAGGGATCGACTACGCGCCTGCTTCTGCTGTCCGCAATGGGCGTGCGACGAGCGCAGGCAAGCAGGCCGCTGCATTCTTAAAGAACGAACAGGTAGAGGCTCCGCTCGAGGCTGCGCTGAGGCTCGCGAGAAAGGTGCGCGCGCAGAAGAGACAATTGCTGGAGCAGTCAAAGATCCAGATCGATGGATGATGGATTGGGTTGATTCTTGCATGCTTGTACTTTCGTCAAAGTTCTTCTGCTGCTTTTGCCATTCATCGTGGGCGCATTTATCATTGCCAAACTTAGCCAAATCCAACGAATGTGGGTGGTGCGAAGTGAATTCTCATGTAGGACCTGGATACACATACGTATGTTTCGCGTCACATCGCACACGAGGACGCATGAAGCGACGAGGATGAGATGGCGGCCACGACCTTGATGTTCATCGTTCTGCTTCGCAAGATCCTTCCCAATTGCTTCGCACTTTCACACAGTGCGCATCTCTAGGCCCAAACGACCGAGCAGTCGTAGGGAGGGGCGATAGAACCATGGCGCGCCCGCCAGATCAACGACAGAAATTGGATCGGACGCATTACTCGGCGCTCCTGCTCGGCACCGACCTGCCGACGTCCATCCTCAGCGCAGCACTTGCACGCTCAGGGCGAGACGTGCTGCATATTGATCCGAACGACTACTATGGTGGTGAATGGGCAGGTCTGACACTCAGCCAACTCGTAGAATGGGGCAGACGCAGAGCCGAGAAGCATGCCAAAGGGAAACAGAAGGCATGTGATGCCGTGTACATCGACTTCCCGTATTCTACAGCGAGCGCGACGCAAGACCGACAAAACCAGCTCCCGGAGGACTTGTTAAAGCTGGACAGGCACTATAGTCTGGCTGTCACCCCGACACTGCTTGCTAGTCAAGGCCCATCCATCGATGCACTGATCCGTAGCAAGGTATCCTCCTATGCGACCTTCCGACTGCTCGAAGAGACCGCTATTTTCGTGCCTCGCTCAGCTCAAGATGGAGAGATCGAAACCGGTGTGGCTTACGGCTTACAGCATGTTCCAAGCAGCAAAGAAGACATTTTCAAGGACAGAAGCCTTTCGCTTATCGAGAAACGAAAACTGATGAAGTTCCTCCAGTCGGTCATGGAACTTGAAAAGGAAGCGCAGAACCAAGTCGCTGCAATAATCCAACCGGCTAATCCGCAAGACTTAGCGCTGCCGTACGACGAATACCTTAAGGCGCGATTCGGGCTCTCTGCAAACCTCATTCATGCCTTGGCATATGGCATATCGATGCTTCCCGCCGCTCCATCTGGACTCTCCTCCCGCCCACCCATCACCGCCCGCCCTGCACTCGATCGTGCACGACGCCACTTGGGCAGCATTGGTCGATATGGGAATTCGGCGTACCTCGTTGGGCAATATGGCGGTGCTGGCGAGCTGGCGCAAGGATACTGTCGGGCAAGTGCGGTGCACGGCTCGACATTCATGCTCGACGTGACCGTGGAAAATCTGAGCCGACAGCATCAGCCACCAGATCATCCAATTGAAGGCGCACGGCCATGTTGGGGGATCGAGGTGGATGTGGTGGAAGGGCCTGTCTCCGCAGACTGGGTTGTGGCCTCACAGGAGCTGCACCATCGGATGCGAGAAGACGGGGTAGACCAGGACGACAGTGTCGCTGGTAGCCGCATCGCACGCGGCATCGTCATTTTGGATCGGAGCATTCCTTTCAGGAAGCCTGCTGCTTCCAGCAAGGAACAATCACCTCAGCAGTACGCAGAGTCTTCCTCAGCTACAGACAGCACGGCATCGACCAGCTTGTCTGCAAATGATAAGCCGGCCGCCATCGAGACAGGCTTGCTCGTCTTTCCACCCGGATCCGTAGAAAATGGCTCGTCTTCACAGGCAGTGCAGGTATTGATGATGGGTGAAGGCACCTTCAGTTGTCCGAAGGGGCAATGTGAGTCTTGGATCAAGTCAGAATGTGTCACAGTATACTCATATCGCCCTGCCATCATTTCTAGACGTCTATTATCTCAATATGGAGTTGCCTCCGGACTCTGAGGGACCAAGCATCTCTCCTCGCCAGCACCTCGAGCCGTACGTACAACAACTTCTGCGGATGGCCCGTGCTAGCTCGGAAGCCGAATGGACGCCGAGCATCGAGAAATCGCAAAACCAAGGAGAGTGCCATCCACTTTTCAGCATGTTCTACAGCCAAAAAAGCATATCGCATCAGCCGCCTGCGCACGATTTGGCAAATGAGAATTCCGAACATCGCATCAAGGTTGACTTTCCCCCGCCTGCTCCTTCGAGTATCGCACCAGAGTACGACCTCCCACCCTCCTTGGCGGACTACACAGACCGTGCGACGATGCAAGCCGAATCGATCTTCTGGCGGATCGTCGCTGGCAGCGCTCGCGACACGGATCGTCCACCAGAAACGCAGACCCCCGAGGCATTCAAGCGACGCGCAGCTGAAAAGGATCGGCGGCGGAGGAAACGGCGAAGCCCTGAGGACTTCCAGGGCCGGGCCGGCGCGTTCCCGCATGAAGAGAACAGCGAACAGGTAGAGGGCGGCGACATCGAAGGCTACGCGTGGGACGATGTCGTGGAGTTCTTTGAGCCCCCAGAAGCGCACTCTTTAGAAGATGAGTAAGTTATCTTGGGTGGACTGGTGAAGGAAGGGGGATGTGTATTGCTACTGCCCTCTCTTCCACAAATACACGGTTGAGCGATGAAAAACGCTCTTAGATCCTGCGTCGGATCGCCCGCCGTTCCCTGGATGCTTGAACACGCTTCTGCTTTGCCGCCTCCTTCTGGGCACGCAGACTGTCCTGACCACCTTCCTGCGAAGCATGAGTCGCCTGTGCCGGGGCGCCCACACTGTTGCTTTCCGAAACGCCTCCTCCGCTAACCAGATTTCGAAGCGCGTGCTCGCGGCTCGTGGTTGATTGGGCTGCATGTCCAGGGCTAGAGGTCGAGCGTGCACGTGATCGCGAGGGAGTTCGGCCATACTGTGCATAGGGGTTTTGGTTGGCGGCCTGGCCGAAGTTCATACCTTGGCGGACACCATCGAGGAATCCTCCACTCTTTGCGTCTATGGTGGGTGCAGGGTGGTTGACCTTCTTCGGTAAATTGAACTTGCGCTTGGCCCATTGTGTTCGCAGAACGCCGAATTGAGCGAGAGAGAAAATGCTGCTCGTCGTCCAGACCAGATGCAGTGCCTAAAGGTGACCATCTCAAGTAAGATTACGTTCACGGAGGGTACGCGAAATATCCAGACTTACTGCAGGAAAGCTCATCACAAAGTAAGGCATCGCGACAAGAACAACGCGGAAGACGTTTCTGACCATTCTCTGCTGCGGGTTATTCGCGGTTGCAGCCGCGCCACCTTCTGCACCTGTCTCCACCACGAGCAGTGTTGCCATGGAAGACAGGATCGGTAACGCAACATACGGGTCGGGCATTGTCAGGTCGGTGATCCACCCAAAACCGCCGTTCTGCATGCTTGCTAGCCCACCACTTGCCATTCCGCGGATGGCAAAGAACATGACCAGGAAGATTGGCATTTGGAGCAGTGGAACCATGAAGGACTTGAAAGGACTGGCATCGTTGTCCCTCATAAGCTTCTGCACTTTTGCAGCCGCTTGCTGCATCTCGACCATGTCTCCCGAGTTTTTGGCATATTCAATGTCCTTCATGAGGAGTTGCATTTGCGGTTGGATGTTGGCTAGACGAATGTTGTTTGCCTGCACCTTAACGACCAAAGGTGCCACGGTCAAGCGAAGGACACAAGTCATGCCGATAATCGTTGCCCACCAAGGCAAACCGACGGTCTGGGTCACGTATTCCAAGAAATGCTGGACCCAGGGTACCGGAGGCCACCCGGTCGGTAACCCGGCTGCTTCAAACTCATTGGCATAATTTGCCAGAAGCGATGCAGCCTCTGCAGAAGAATTCGAAGCTGCATCAAGCGTCTCTGAGACGGTGACAACAGCGTCCGCTACCGCTTGCTGGGCTTGATTGACTGTTTCCGTCCCAGATTCTCGTACGCTTCCGAGTTGCTCCTTCACCTCGGCTAAGGCTTCCGTGCCCTTTTCCTGAGCATTAGAAGCAGCTCCAGGCACGGTTTCCTGGACTTCTTGGCTTTCCTTGTTGTTCGAGATGGGCCAGAGCGACAGGGACCGAGAGGAACCAGCACCTGTCAGCAGCCTTTGGCGTTGCAAAGCCAATAGAGGCGGTACAGCGACACCGCCCACGGTGCCGAGCTCGATCCTTGGACGCTTTGGCGTACGATCATGCTGGAAGGCCCGTACAGTTGCTGTGCTATAGGAGCAGCTGGCATGAGCACGTGGTCGCAGCGTAGCAGAGATGGAAGACCGGACGAGCGGAGCGGAAGAGGTTGCAGTGGGCCCCCTCCATTGCGTAGCTTGCCCAGCTCTCAGCTGCAAGCGGATTGCTGTTGCGCTCATTTTGAGTCTGAAGCTCTGCGCGACACAACTGCTCTTCGCGTGGACAGCGAACCTCGAAGGCCTGAGCAATTTGAAGATGACGATTCTCTCTTTGCTTTTGGAGATTGGAAGACACTCAAAAATCGCTTGTCATTTTCTCAGTCGTCCTCACCGCCAGCCGGGTGTGCTGCAGTTCCGCTGCCGGCGGCTTCACAATAGCGAGTGAGCCGACCACCGTGCGCGATTACAGCATGCCTTCAAGATTCGTTTGGTGCATAGAGGAAACATGTCCAGAATGCAGTCGGTCAGCTCGAAGCCTCAAATGCTCTTGCACGTAACCCTGCAAAGCTGCGGCCCACAGGGACACAGCTGTCGACAGGCTTGGCTCCGCTAATCCCGTCACGGTGCAGCCTCGATCCAACTCAGCCTGTATTTGTGAGAGACCCGAATTCGCTGTCAGCGAATTCATATTTGAAAGGGGGCTTTCCTTCTCCGGTTTCAGCGGGTTGCGCATCTCGTCTCATTACCTGTGTTCAGAGACCGCCTGAGAAGGATTCAAGATCATGTCTCTCCCGAAGCCAACTACGCCGAGCACTGCGTCGCTCATCGGGGTTGCTGTCGCCGTCAGTGGAAATGTGCTCATCTCTCTGGCCCTCAACTGCCAAAAACTGGCGCACCAGCGCTTGCAAAGGGAGTGGGAGGAAGCACAGCGTATACGGACAACGCCCGAGTACGAAGATTCTGAAGATCTGGCATCTGATGAAGGCGGCGATGACGACGAGATGAAGCTCGGGAGACGTGCCACAACGGGATATCCATGCTCGATGGAAAGGGTGAACGAGCACACCTCACTTTTGAGGGCATCTCCTGAATCCTACGGCAGTGGTCTGGAAGGCTCAACTACGGTGGGAACTCCTGAGGAGGCGCAAAATCCCACTATTGAGCTCTTGGCAGGCTCAGGTGATCCAACGGGTTCAAAGGGCAAAGATAGAGCAGGACACACGCCCCCTTCCTCACTAGAAAACGGGGACTTGCGCGACGATGAGGAGAGACATGAACATGAAGCGGAAGGGAGCGAGAGCGATAGTCTAGATCGCGGGGGGAGCACTACTCACGGAGGTACCAAGTTCCTCCGAAGCAAGCTCTGGTGGCTTGGCATTGGGTTGATGATCCTTGGTGAAGGAGGAAACTTCATATGTGAGCTCCGCGTGCATAGGAAGCGGCCTGGAATTATGCTGATCATGGCACCTGCTGCGGCCCTCCAGCGTACGGATTCGCACCCGCATCGCTCGTTGCCCCTCTGGGTGCGGTAGCTCTCCTTTCGAACGTCCTTATCTCACCGCTCCTTCTTCACGAATGGTTCAGCCTGGCCGATCTCGGCGGCATCCTGCTGGCCATCATCGGCGCTGTCACGGTTGTTTTTTCGTCCAAGCAAAACGACAAGCGCCTCTCTCCAGATAGTCTCTGGAAATCCATGAAAAGGGTAGAATTCATCATTTACGCGTCCATCTCCGTCTGCCTTGCCGTTCTGCTGTGCATCGCGAGCACAACTCGGGCAGGCGATAAGGTCGTACTCATCGATGTGGGCGTTTGCGCCGTATTTGGCGCCTTCACAGTACTTTCAACGAAGGCGATCTCATCTCTGCTTTCGAGGGGAAATCCTTTTGACATGTTCCGGTATCCCATCACATACGTCCTCATCTTCGTTTTGGTCTCGACTGCAGTGGTGCAGATCACATACCTCAATCGAGCTCTTCAAAGGTTTGACTCCAGGCAAGTCATCACGACGCAGTTCGTGTTCTTCACTATCAGCGCCATCATTGGTTCGGCTGTTCTCTACCGCGACTTTGAAGACGCCGATGTGCATCGCCTGATCAACTTTTTCTTCGGCTGCCTTACGACGTTTGCCGGTGTCTTTGTGCTCACTCGGCGGAATAGCACTGATGAGTCAGAGGAACCACTATCGACGCGCCGATTGAAATCGCGAACGCGGCGAAGACCTGCTCGCAGTCACGCCACAGAGCACTCGGCTCTAGGCAAGATCACGGATAGTTGGACCTCTGGTACTGCCACCGACAGTATGCTTGCGGACGACACAGCCCCAGAACGAGATGAAGAGGAAGTGATGGTCGATGAGGGCACTCAGACGGATGACGAGCAGCTGAAGCGCAGTCGAGCTCATGCGCAAGGCATCAAGACGCCAGCTTCGCGCAAACCAGCTGCCATTCGCTTTCGCGAGGAGTCACCATCTTCATCACTGCACAGATCACCATGGCTTCAACGGCACTCTCTGAGCCTGGCAATGCCCCGGGCTGGCAGTTCCGACACCGCCGTGACGGAAGTCCGCAAGGGGTCCCAAGCGGCGGGGGGTAGCATTCCGACGCTTGTGGTCCCGGGCTCGTCTACCTCTGTGATAGAGCCCACGAAACTTTCAAGAAGTGTACCGGCTCCTGTCTCACCCTTGAGCAGCAGCTTGCCTTTCACACCCTCACTCATGCGTTTCGGCACCCGGCCAGTATCTAGCGTGGCCGAGTTCCCCTTGAGCACAGCTGCACCGACTGGCTTGCTCAGCGCAGGTCAGTACCTTTTGCTCCCCAGCATCAGCACAACGCCACAGACTGGCGTGCGCTCTCGGAGCCGACAGAGGAGCTTGAGCCAGCCATCGACCCCGACCAAGAAGCGAAGCAGACGTGCGCTGCGCGATAACGCTGCGAGCAGATGCGAGCACAACAGGGTCTCCGGCAACTCAGAGCAACAACCCGGATGCGACTTAGAAGCTGCGGTTTCCTCTGAAGAGGAAGGGAGCGTCGGGGACCAGGCTCCGCATTATAGCCGTGATCACGGCAACGAAAGGCGAAGGTCGAGTGGGCGAAGGGACAGGCCTAAGTCTGATGTCTTTGACAGCTTCGGATGGCGAAAGAATCCTGCTTCTTGATGATGGGTGATCGACGACATTTCACGACCTTTATCACTGCTCATTGTTTGCACTCTGCATCTCACGTCATGTTTCCTTGCAATCGGACCGTTTTGCTCACAGAATACCCCGAAGCCAGTGCAGTTGTCCTGCGAGTGTGGTCGATTTGCGGCCATCAACACCATTACTGGCTTCATATTCGTACCAATACAGGTCGTCAGTGATATTTTGTTTCGATCAATGCCGCTAAAGTACCGGGTCGAGTGCCCAAAAGGCTGCAGTCACCACCCTCTGCCTCGCCCTCGGCCTCGTGGCCTCGAGTATCCGCGATAGCCGCCCCTCCCTCTCCCTCGCCCTCTACCACGAGCGGCCATACCCGGAACGTTTGTCCTCTTTGCTGTGACTTTGATCAAGCGGCCACGGAAGAGCGACTCGTTCATGAGCATAGCATTCGCGACTAATGACGAGTCGGAAAACTCGACGTAAGCGTAGCTGATGGATGGTTAGAGCAAGTACAAATTAACATAGGACAGAGAAGAAAACCGATGTTAACGTGATACTCACCCTTTCGGATGCCCAGTAAATTTATCACACAGGATCGTGACTCTGTTGATCGTCCCACAGCTGGAAAAGTGCTGTTGAATCTCTTCTGGTGTGGCCGAGTAATCCACCTGGAGAAGCATATAGCAGTCAGCGTCATGCACCTCTGTCCATTCCACCGAGTTTTCAAGCGTAGTATGCAAGACTCACATTCCCCACGTATATACTCCGAGCATCGACCTCCTCTTTCTCGTCTTCACTCGGCCCAACAGCTGTGGAAGGCCCGGCGCTATCCCCTGTTCCGTTCGCTGCTTCGCTCTGCGCCGTCATCTCGCGCAGCTTCGCTGCCTCTGCCTCCATCTCTGCCATCCTGGCCTTCATCGCTTCAATCTCTGCGTCGTCGTCCATTGCTCCTGCGCCGTCGGCGCCTGCTGCAGATGTGGACCCATCTCCGAGGTGGACGTCGTCCTCTTGGCGATTTCGCGAGAGCTCCTCGGACATTTGGCTTTGCTTCCTTCGACCTTTCCTGCCGGTTTGAGCAGATTCTTTCTCGTCGTGACTGCGTCTAGTCTCGCTTTCGCATGAATAATCTAGAATGCTGAAAGGACTTGGAATGCTGGGATTTGGAAACCGGAATGTCGGATGCAATTGGGTAAGAAGTGCAAAGAGGAAGAGAGAGCTTCAGAATCACTGCTGCTGGCGGAAGATAAAACTACGTCTCTCATCAGTCTCTCCCAATATCCGCGCGCGCATCTCTGCGTCATCTCATCTTTCGATCTCTCCTCGGTCCAGACTCCAGGCTTCACTCCATCTGCAAGCAATCCTAGACGCAGTCTTCCCGATGCCAAGCATGCACGCGCGTCAGATCCGATTGCGAGGGTAGCCAAATCGGTCAGAGGCGCTGCCTCAAAACGAAGCTGCGAGGAACGCGCGGAGTGGTCGTTGGCCCCTCCCTTCATTCGGAGGATGACTGGCACAGGGCGCTCACCAGCTGCTGTCCACGCGCACTCGATCCTCAAAACCTCAACCATCGGAATCATCTCTTCTACTGGATTTCGCAAATCATCGGGGAACGCAGTCGATCTGCTAACCGAGATCCTGCAGCGCTACATTGCGCTCCTCGCGACTACGTGCGTCTCAAATGCTGATCAAGCAAACCGCGCTCAGGTCGCGCCGCGAGACCTTGCGACTGCGCTGGAGGAGCTGGGGTCCAGCGTCGACGAAGTGAGAGAATGGGTCGAAGTGGAAAGCTCTGAAGAGAAGGAGCTGTCCAAGGCTACTGGCACACATGCCAAAGCTGCAGCACTCAAGGAGCTAATGGATGCAACCAGAGCTCCAGCACCCGCATCCGAAGAACGCAGAATCTTGACGTTCGAGTACGTGACAGAGGCGGACCGACGGGCCGCGTCAGCCTATGCCCGCGCTGTGGATGATGACACGAGCGGTAGCGATGACGAAAGCGCGACAGATGCCCTTCTGTCAGATCGTGCCGACAAGTCCGAAACCAGCAGCTCGACAAGTCACGAAGTGGACACCGGGGAGCATCCTGTAGCGCCGTTCTCTGTGGAACTGCCTTTCATTCCATCGCATCTGCCACCGATCCCTAGCGAGAAGTCTTTTGTGGCTCATGCAACCGAGCAGATTTATGCGGATTTGGCTGCGAGCAACGTCGACAAGGGAAAGGCAAGACAGCTTGAAGATGACGTTCGAAAAGCAAGGGAGGCAAATGAGGCTCACGTTCGCCGAGTCATTCGGGATGTCTGGCGTGAGGAAGTATCCTATGATTGCTCACAACTACGACAGCGCATCTCGAATGCATCTCTCGACCTCCCGTGCATCGATAAGTCCGCGCCGATTGCCGAGCAGCCGCGTGCTAACTCTCTACATGCCTTTGCGGCCGATTTTGTCGCGCTGCAAAGCGAGCGTACATCTTCCGCCCGAGCTGGCATCCTGATGACGCCCGAAGGCTCTCAACAGCACACTCAGACACTGCTGAAACGGCGGCGGATGGCCTCTTCGCTTGCCGACCCTTCTCGATTCATGCCGCTGGACAGTTTGCACGCTGCTGTTTCCGCGCGGCCATCTGCGAGTCCTTTTACACCGAGCCCGTCCCTGCTAATCACGCTACCATCGGACGGAAGCGCGCCCGTCTTCACGCCGACTAATGCACATGGACGCTCCGTCTGCCTTGTCCCACCCTCATGTGCCGCAGCGCAGCCCGCGCTCGGATACCGCTGGCCGGTACAGGTGCAGTCCGCTGTGCGCGCCGTCGCAGAACTCGACATCCAGCGCAAGGTCGCGCGCATCGACGACCCGCCCCCGCTGTACGACTCGCAGCACGTTGAGCGCGTCTTCCGCGGCATGCCCGCGAGTAGGCAACTTCTGGGTGCCGCGCACAGCGCGCTAGCGCCTGCGCTGAACGCGCTGGCTGTGCAGCAGAAGAGGAAGCTGGGTGCTGCGAGCGACGATGCAGATCTCGAGCTGCCTACAAAGGGCACGCTTGTGTACACATGGGACTGGACGACAAAAGACCCGTTCGACGACACCCTCCCGGGCAAGCGGGTGCGTGTTGAGGATCAGCGGCCTCCTGCTTCTACCGTCTCCTCCCAGAATCTTACGCGGGCAGAAAACTCCAGCTGCCCTAAGAATGCAATATGCTCAGCACCGCTTTCTACTGTATAATCTTCACATTGAAAACCCGAGCAGTACATTATCGATCAATCGTGTCACCCTGCTCTTCTTTCCATCGGGCTCAATTTCGCTCGCAAGTAGCGCACCGCTCATGATCGCCTTGTCGACTTTAAAATCGCTGCTTCCAACACTCGCAGCCTGCTGCTCCAGATTTGCAAGTGTACTTGGATCATTAAGCGAGATGTAGTCGAGCTGCAAGCGCACACCGTCTTTTTGCGCGAGCGCCGCTTCTCCCGCTATGACTTTGCGTGCGGCTTGTAGAGTTCGCCTGATCCTCATCGCGCCTTCGCCCGATGAGCTCTTCCCTTCCTCTGGCTCTTGCACCTGTTCCCACGCCAGCTGGCCAGCCATCAGCGCCCTGTACAGCGCCGGTGCATACTTTTCTCGCGTCTTTGGCGAGAGGTACGCGTTCCGGCTGCTGAGCGCCAGGCCCGTTATAGGATCGCGCGTAGTCGGAAGAACATGCATGTTTTGTGGCTCCGGGAACGGGAAGAGGAGGTCCGAAAGGAGCCTGCGCAGGATCACAGATTGCTGAATGTCTTTCTGTCCAAAATACGTGGCGTCCGGCTGCGTCAAGGAGGCACAAAGCGGTCAGCCACTTTTTCGGATCAGATTAGGGCGGAATGGCATGCAACTGGGATCGATCTCGCGGTGGGAATACTCACCTGGACGGCATGGAACAGCTTGGTGCAGACCGTCACCACGCCTCTGAAGAACGTCGGCCGACTTCCACCCTCCATCTGATGACTGAGCCCTTTGACCTCTACAAATGCGCCGACCTGATCTTGTACGACTTGCGTGAGTCCTGAAGGATACATTTCCGAGACAGACGGAGCAAAAATGATGTCTACACGTCTATCTTCGCCAGATGACAGTTGAGACAGTGCGGCGGTGTCTGAAGGCAGGGTACGAGGATACGAAGAAAGATCCTCATGCGGCGCAAATTGCGCGGGGTTGACAAAGATCGAAACGACCGTGCAGTCGTTATTCTCCAGCGATGCTTGTACTGTGAGCCAGCACTTCTCGTGTCAGCGTCTTCATGCAAGACATTCAATCAAGGATGAAGCTTTTCAACGCACCGAGGTTGAGGTGTCCGGCATGGAGAGCGCCCATGGTTGGTACAAACCCGACTTTTTTTCCATTCATCAATGCTTCTCTTCGCCATGCACGCAGATCCTTGACCGTGTGGATTATGCGAGGCGTTAGGGAGGAGCTACCAGCCCCGTTGCCCGCCTTGGACACATCTGACTTGCTCTCCCCAGCTTGTGTTCGGTATTGACGCTGATAGACAACAGGCAAGCATTGTCTCTTCAATGGTGCATCCCGTGCCTTGCCTTGCGATTTATATGAGCTTTGGAAGGGTTGAGATATCAATCGTCTTGGTAGCACAGGCTCTTGCATGTCCTTTTCGTTAGATCCACGTGAACAGGCAGCGCACGAGGCGACGCAGACAGCAGCTGTATGGGCGGTGCGGGATGGTGCGACGGCAGCACCGCTGCGGACCGCCGCAACATTGACGAATTTGGACATCATCGAGCTCGTTTGGCCACGGATAATCTGCACTCAGCACAGCGCGATCATCAATTCCAGTGAAGCAAGGGGTTTGCTCGCTTTGGAAAAAGAATGAAGCATAGAATGCCTTGAGAGAGCGACACACCACGCCACAGGACGCGGGCTGCGGGTCCATACTACTTCACATCTACTCGGACGTATAAGTGGGCAATTTTCGGTGCAAAAGTCGAAGCTGTCTTCGCACACTTTATTTGTGTCGACATTCCACATATGATAGTCACCAGGAAAGTGTGAGAAACGCGATCCAGGGCCCAGGAGTGATCGGGTGCAATTGGCCTATAAAGGACATTGTGTCTTTGCAGATCATCTATGCTCCAGAAAGCTAGTCCATGGGCGATCAGAGCCGTGCACGAGCCTCATTTCCTTCTGCTGCCGCCTGGTCGCGGAGGATCCGCCGTAGAATCTTGCCAGACGGACTGCAATGCGTGAAGAGTTCAAGGCTGACGGTCAAAGCCAGTTCGAGTCAAGGTGCTTACAGCAGAGCCATGCCTCGGCTGCTGCGTAGCGTTCTGCCGGAGGCACTCACCTCTTCGGCACGCTCTCCACGACCTTCACGCCACCGCGGAGGCGTTTATGGTTGGCGACGCGCTCCGTCGTCCATTTGTATATCTCCTTTGCAAACTCGTCCACTTTCTGCTTGTCCTTGTTGGGGTCAAACAGACCCAAGCGCGGGACGACGTGTGCACGCGGGAACTCGGTCGCTTCCTCCTTCGAGTAGACACCGAGGACAGCAGCGTCTGCTACTTCAGGGTGCTGCAGGAGCAGCGCCTCGAGCTCGGAAGGTACGACTTGGTAGCCCTTGTATTTAATCAGTTCCTTTTTGCGGTCCTTTCAGAGCGAGCGAGAGGTAGCAAAGCAAAGGAGTAGGATGAACCCCGTCAGGTTCGCCTAGGCGTGAGTACCGGGGTGCAAGACATGGGCGCTGCACACTCACCACAATGTAGATTTGCTCCTTAAGATAAATGCCAACATCCCCCGTCTTGAACCATCCATCCGAGGTTTTGCAATCATCTGTAGCAACCTTGTTGTTCAGGTATCTCCTAAAGACCGTCGGTCCACGGACCCAGATCTCCCCTGGCTTTCCCTTATCGCCTTGCTCGTGTCCTACATCCCGGCTGTCATCGTCGACGATGCGCATCTCCAGGCCAGGCAGGAGGCGTCCCGCGCTTCCCTTTGCATTGCGATACATGTGCGAAGGAGTGAAAGTGGCACTGATGTACGTTGCAAAGGGGAAGGGTCACCGGAGAATTGGTCAGTATTACTGCCGGGTACGAGAATACGCCCTTTTCGCATCATCTGCTTACGTTGGACTGTTGGAAAGAAGAGCAACAAGGTAAAAGAAGCGCGTCCGTCAAGTCAGCGACGAGCATCGCGCAAAGTCATCTTCCAAAAAGAAAACGGCTCACCTCGTTTCCGTCAAACCCCAACCCTGCGTAACCCTCACGGTGGGAATCCTCTTCTCCACTTCATCCCCCAACTCAGCCGAAAGCGGCGCCGCAGCGCACAGGAGTAGTTTCAGCGAGCTCAAATTGTACTTGTCGATGATGGGATGCTTGGCAAGCAGGACGAGAATGGGGGGAACGGCCATGGCGATAGTGACCTTGAAGTGCTGGACCGTCGAGAGCCACTGCTCCAGGTCGAACTTCGGCAGGACGACTACAGGCGTGCCGGTGTAAGGCGCATGTTGAACGTGCTTGGAAATAGCGAAGATGTGCTGCAAGAGTGAAGAACAGGACGTCTTTTGCGTTAGAGGCTGCATTGAACGCTATCAACTAGCCAGCACGGCCCAAGCTCACCTGGAAAGGCAGGACACCTACGTGGATGTCCTTGTGTGTGATTTCAGGTACACCGACCTGGATGATTTTCAGGACCGATGCTAGAATGAATGCGGCATAGCGAGAGTGAGAAAATGTGGACACTGAGAAGTCCAAGCCTTTGTGCCGGCGCCTCTGCCTCACTCATGTTGTGGTGTGTCAGTTCTGTGCCCTTGCTCTTACCAGTCGTTCCACTGCTATAAGCAATGAAAGCATTGGTCTCCTCCGGGTTCTTGACCTTCCGCGGCTCCAGTCGACCATCTCCAAGCAACGTTCTGACATCCTGCTCTCCTCGATTGCCCTTTTGCATCTCATCGTCATCTGCCAAGATCCAGATCCGCTTGATTCCCTCACTCGTCGTGTCTTTCTGCCCAGCGGATTCAACTGCCTGTCGCGCAACGTCGATCACTGAAGGGTGCACAAGGAGGTACTTGGTGCCGGAATCCTGGATCGGGTGGATCAGCTCGTCGGCGCCATAGCCGGGATTTAAAGGCACGCTGACGGTCGTAGCGATGAAGTTGGCGAAGACGGCAATGGGGTAATAGCAGCTATTTGGACTCAGGATTCCGACGCGATCGCCGGGATTCAAGCCAAGCTTGTGCACGAATGCATGCGCGAGCCGCTTGCTGTCTTCGAAGAGTTGTCCGCGGCTGCAGGATTACGCAAGAGCATCAGCGCCGCGCTCCCTCGTCACAGTGCTAGCGAAGAGAGGTGCATACCTGAGCTCCTTGCCATCAGCACGAATGAATGCGGGGTTCGAGTCGGGAATCTTGTTCGGGTTAGAAGCGATCAGCTCGAATACGTTGCAGCGAGGCCACTGTGGCGCGGGCTGGTCCTTGCAGGTGATGATCTGTGGTGCCATGGGGGCTGAGGACGAAATATTTGAGTGTTGCCGGAAACCCACGCCGTTCTTTTGATGCGTTTAGCCTGCGTGCTGCTCGCAAGCATGGAATAGATGAAGTGGAAGCAGGTGCGTTTCAAAGGAAGAAGCCAGCGCGAGGAGGATGTGGTACGAAGGCCTGCAGCCAGAAACTCAGGCCGGCCGTTCTGCGAGGATGCTGTGGCTTGATTCTTGGAGCTGGGGCGCGGTCAACATGGAAGACGCGGGGGAGACGTTCATTAGGCAGCGGAGGTGCCCGCTTGCAGTGCTGTTGTGTGCTACTCGGTTCCCGCGTGAGCCGGTACACAGCCCACGCTGCCCCGGGTTTCAATCAATCCAACTTCTCCTGTCTCCTGCTCCCGTCTTTCTCATCATAATGAAGTCTGCGACACAGCGGGTGGCCCAGACCGTGCCTAGTCTTCCTGGTCAACACTATCCTCCTGGATGTTGAGATGAACAGAAGCGACGTCGAAAGCTGCAATGAAAACAATGGCCAATGCGTCGAACAGGTCTGACAGCTGGCATGTGTACGCAGAGAGACGGAAACGAGGTTCATTTTTAGGCGCCCAGTCAAGGGCGTGTAGCGCAGGCTCTCCCCCCTTTCCTTTTCCACCGCAGGTTCGCCGTCGTTCCATTCATTTTCCATGCGGGTCTAGAATTCTAGATGCTTGGGTGTAGATTCTGTCGCCCTGAGCGTATGTCCATCCATCGGAATCTTGGTAGGCCATCAAGATGCTCGAATGCAGCACCCAGATCGGCGGGTCTCAAGTCATGAGTCTACACGGGCATGAAGACACGGACAGTACTTCAAAAGGGGTTTTGGACGAGTGAATGTCCGGATGTCTCCATAGAAATTCAGAGGCGTCGTCATTACGCAGCACAGAAGGCCTGATGTTGAGACTCTATACGAAGTATGCCCCCACGTGTTCCATGCAGGCGCCACTGGCGGCAATCAACCAAAGCCGCGACGACACGGACTGAATATGGCGCCTACATGCATCGCATACATTGCGCCTTGCCCTACACATGATTCCAATGCGGTGACGACATCAAAGCGGCACGCTCAAAATAGGCCTAGTAAGTCGTCCTCTGCCTTCATCGCCGCTGCCGCTGCTGCGGTCTTGGCCGCGACGTTGGCTTCATTTGGTATCCCCGCCATTCCGCCAGCGCCGGGCGGATGCGTTGGTGTCAGAGGCAGTGCTTGCAGCGCCTCCAGGCCCGTTTGGGCACCGGGTGCTCCGGACCCTGGTGCTGAGTCGAATCTGCGCGCATGGAGGTGAGAGAGTGAGTGTCAGATACACATTCACTTTCTCCCTCCTTTTGCAACGGCTGGGATCCCGCATACACTCACAGCCCAAGTAGGTCATTTAGCTGCGTAGACTGCACTGCCGCTGCCGCTGCTGACGAGGCCCCCGCGCCAGGTGCAGCCGAGAGACTCAAGCCGTCGAGGCCGCCCAGCACATCATTCCCACCTAGGAGGTCCTCCAGCCCCCCGAGCCCGCCTGTCGCAGCATTTGGGTGTTGCGCCACGGACCCGCTGCTCGTGTCATCGTCAAAGTCGAGCAGGTTCTCCGCATTGGCACCTTGTACCACCGTTGCGAGCGCTTTCTCCCGTGTAATATCGTCGTGTCTGAAAAAGGAAGAGTGTAAAGTCGTTCATGTCAGCTTTTTCGATAGCCCTGTACCAAGAACAGTTGCTGGCAGCAGCGACGGCAATACCTACTCAGCCACCTTCTTGCTCATCTCATCCGCGCCGACGCGGCCTTTGCCAATGAATGTCGACTCTGGCTTGTGGTATGCACTAGCCAGCGACGACAGATCGGAGAGCAGCTCGTCGAGCAGTGCTGGCGAGAGCGTCGAGAGCGGGATGGAAATCGGCGGTCGCTCAGCGAGGATGACGCTGCGCCCTGCGTTGGTGTCCGGGCTGCTGAGCAGGCGCCAGTAGATGTACGCGCGGTCGCGGATGTCAGCGCTGTCGCACTCCGTCGTGGCCTTCTCGAGCACCTGCTGCACGATCGTCTGCGAGTTGTCCGGCTTCTTGAGGAAAAGCTTGACGGTCGCGGTGAGCGTCTGAAACTGCACCTGGTGCTGTTCCTCGACAAAGTTGTCCAAAAACGACGCGAGCAGCTCCTCCGCATTGTTTATCTTCTCGGCATACTCGCCGACGATCCAGATCAGTGACGCCTTTGCCTCTGGCTCGTCGAGATCGTCAAGGTTCGCGCAAAGTGTCGGGATGATGCCCTCGTAATTGGACGGGTATTTTCGAAAGATGTCCTTGATCACGATGATCGCCTCCTGCACGACGTAGCTGACACGCGTCGCGATCAGGTCCAGCAGGACGTGCACGCACCGCTCAGCCGCCTCATCAATCTTGACAGCGCATTGCCCGATCGCGCGGATCGACCGCCGGACGAAATCAACGTCCACCTCGGACGCGTACTCTTTCAGCTCGCTCAGGAGCATGTCGACGTTGCGCGCATTTGCAAGCTTGATCATGATCTCGAGCTTCTCGAGTTTTACGTAGCTCGGATCATTGTACTTGCAGAAGAAAATCCGTAGCTCCGTGTTGAGGAGGTCCGGGTGCCGCTGCAGGACGAGGTTGACGTTGCGTAGTGCCACCCATTGTACCTCTGGCGCGGAGGATATCAACGTCACTGTAGAGAAAGAGGTGTCAGGTAGAAGATCGCAGATGTGACACGAGGGTGACAGAACGTACCGAGCGGTGGCGCCATCTTGCGGATGAGTTGCTTGATAAAGTCGGGTTTGTTGACTTTTTGCATGTGGATGAGGATCACCTTGACAGCTCCGAGTACAACGCTGCCATTCGCGTGTTGGAACTGCGGCATGACGCGCTCGCAGATGTGCTCGGCCTCCTGCTCGTCTGTGCTCTTGTATCTCGCCAGCGAGTTCAAGATGGCGATGCGGCCCCACTCTGTGCACTCGTTGAGCGCGATGAGGAGCTTCTGTAGGATGCCGCTGTCGATGACAAAGACGCTCGCTTGGCCCGAAGGGTCCGCCTCGCAGGCCGCCTCGTGGATGTCGGTGAGCGCTGTGACGGCATTGGCGACGACCATTGGATTTGAGTCGCCGACCATCTCTTGCAGGCGTGACACGAAGCCGTTCTCGACCGCAAGCTCCGGCTTGAGGTCGTACAGCTTGGCGACGCATATGGCGGCGGTTTTGCGGACGTACGGATTCTCATCTCGGAGCCCTTTAGTCAAGGGGTCTGAGAGGTAGTCGATGATCTTCTCGGCGCGCAGACAGCCCATTGTCCGTAATGCGAGTGCGCGAATGAGTGGGTTCTGATCTTCTGAGTCCTGCGCACGTGCGGGAGAAAGGTAGATTTAGCGACTGCATACCTTAGCTACGACCGGCTTGAGACTCGACCCACCTTGACAAATGTGTTGACAGCTAAAATAACCAGCTCCGGTTGGGTTTTGGCGTAGTTCATCAGGTAAAGATATACGAGCTTCTTCTGTTCCAGATCTTCGGTCTGGCCATTCTTGAGCACGCTCGCAAATAGGCCAGAGACATCTTTCCCGATAGTCATGTTGGCAATGACCCGCTTGATCGCATCTTTGCGCCGGTCCCGATACTCGGAATTGACTGTTCGGAAGAAGAGTTGTGTCTTGGTGAGCTCTGAATCTCCAATCTGCAAGTCGCCGCCTCACTCACGATCTGCGAGAAGTTCAAAGTTCTCTCCTGCAAGACACGCATGGGCGGAGATTCACAAACGAGAGTGCAGAAGAAGAGTAAGCAAAACGCACAGCCATGACAGATTGCTGTTGCGCAGGTACGCACCTTTGCGAGGAGCTGTGAAGAAGCGCGGCCGACTCATGATGGATGATAGGTCGGTCTTCCTGTGTCTATATCACCCGTCTATATCATCCAGCCTTTTCAACCGTTATCACCACCAACGTCCGGCTTGCAAGACTTTCCTTCTGCACACGCACCGCGGATGCAAGTGAGACTGTGAGCAGTCGGAAGACTGCCGACTGGGGAAACCCTCTGACGAGATGATGATGACCAGCGAAATCCGAAGGACTAAACCCGGCTGGACTGCGATAGATGTGGCTCGTGAGCGATGTCCTTCTAACACTGCACTCGCAGCGTATAGCCTAGCACATGCGCTGTTGAACGCAGTGCAAGTTATTCGCAATCCCGACTTTCGCCGTGCTGGAAACAAGTATATTTGTTCGAAAGTCCGAGTGCTGAAGCTGCGTCTAATGACTGAATGGGTGGGGTGGGGGGCGATGTCATTGACGGAAGTCGACTCAGGCGAACAAGGCGATGAAGCTGTTGCTCGCGCCGCATCGCAGCGCACGGTCGGTAAACGCTACCGTGCTGTTCTCTCTTCTCACCCTAACCCCAGCGAGACGAGCTGTACCAGTTTTGAGGGGGGCACAACCCTAAAACAAACGATCCAAGAATGTGTGGGTCACGTGCGGGTGTGGGCAGCGTGCGCATCCGCCTCTGCATTATACATCGCGGGCAGAAAGAGCAGGAGAGTGCTACAGTGCGTCTTCGCACGCGCGCAAGCGGCGACCCCCTGTTTGAGGGATGGTAGGTAAGATGGGATGGGTTGGGCTTGGGGGGAGGGGGGACCTCATCATCAGAATGCCACACGTACTTCATCGTCCTCAACAGCCGCTGCTCATCGAGCACTCGGTCGTGTGCTTCGGCGCCGTAATCGCAGCACGCAGGTGGATCAAGAAAGGCCACGCCCTGCTTGCCTGCTTCGCCCCTGACTCGAGTGCACCTTTCGCGCTTCACCGTCTCGCTCTTCTCGCGCGCAGCTAGAAGCTAGCTGAGGCCCACCGAACGCGTTCACCTCCACACACTCCAAGCCCAAACATTTGACCCCTTTCTTTCTGCATAGAGGTACAGGACTGACGCCGGCGCGGACGGGCAACGCACACGACGTACTTCCATCATCATGGATGCCAAGTCACCACCATCTGCGCCGTCTTCCGGCGCGGCGGCGACCGGCAGCGTGCGCAACAGCCCGTTCGCCTACCAGACAAGAATGCTCGAGCGCTCCTGCAGCCGATCCAGCGTGAACTCCTTCAGTCTCGCAGATCCCGCGTCCTCATCGCCGGGAACAGCCACAGCAGCTGCACCTGTGCCAGGTGGCGTGCATCACTTCACACATGGGTCGATGAACAGCCTCAACGGCGCAACGGGGCTGCACCATGCTGGCAGCATTAGGCGCTATCACGGCGGTGCCGGTCGGAGCACCGGCAGCCTCGACTTACGAGGGGCAGGGAGCCTGATGAACTCGCTCAGCATTAAGGATGGCTCGGCTCCTGCTACCCAAGGGTTCGGGAGCGTTTCGCCTTCGCGCGTTTCGCCGAGCGAGTTCAGCACGTCCACAGGCGCAAGCTCTAGCGCAGCTCCTAGCAGCATCTACAGCAGCAGTAGCAGCGGCGGCGCCGTCTTCCCGAACGGGAACGGCATGTTCGGCTCGAGCTACACGACCTACACAACCGCAAGCAGCGTCAGCCCTACTCTCGCCGGCAGCAGCAGCTACAAACCTTCGGGCCTGGCCGGCTCCGTCGCGTCACGCAGTAGTCGGCCTTTCAGCATGCCTCCTGCTCCTCGCAATGGCTCCGTCGACTCATCCCAAATTTCACCTACAAAGTTTTCCGCAGCATACAGCCCTGTTGATCCCCGCAGCGCCTCGCCGACCAAAATGTACACTGGCAGCAGCATTGCCGGCTTCGACAGTCCAAAAGCCGCTGGAACACCATCCAGAGAGCAAGGCTCGCCTGTCGTTTTGTCCCCTCCGTTCGGTTCTGGTTCTTTCTGGGCGCAAAGTGGCGGCGGGGGCGGCGCGAGCGCTGCACCGGCACAACTGCACCTCGGTGTAGTCAAGGACCTCAAGCGCAGTAGCGTGCCGACGCTGAAGATGATGCGCGAGTTCACGACGCGCTCCTGCTACAGCGCTGCATCGGGTGAGGACGGAGGGCTGAGCGGCCCGCGTATGGTGGTGGGCTCTAAGCACACCAATCCAGGGGCTTTGAAAGAGGAGGAGGAAGGGAGGCCTGAGCGGCCTGGTCGAATGCAGTCGGAGGACCAAGGCGAAGGCGAGATCGTCTTGCCGGGCATTACAACGGGTGCAGAGGACGTACATGGACTGAGCGGGAGGATTAGGCTCGCCAAGCAGTCGCCCGCGATGGTTGACTCACCTTGGGCACCGGGCTCACCGCGCTCTGCTGGCGTTTTCGCAGCAGGCGGCGCAGGTGCAGGCAGCCTCGGCACGCCGTTTTCGCGCACTTCTGCCGCCGGAAGCCTACCGTTCAGCGCGACGTCGAAGTGGATGGACACGCAACGCCACCTGCTGCAGGCGTACGAGTACCTTTGCCACTGTGGCGAAGCGAAGGAATGGATGGAGCACCACGTCGGGGAGGAGCTCGGCGCCGTCATTGAAATGGAAGAATCGATGCGTAACGGCATCTTCCTCGCCAAGCTGGCCCGACGCTTCGAGCCCGAGTGCGTACCGAAGATCTTCACGAGCCCCAGGCTGCAGTACAAACACACCGACAATGTCAACTACTTCTTCCGCGCCGTCACCAAGATCGGCCTACCCGAATTCTTTCACTTCGAGCTGACTGACTTGTACGAGAAAAAGAATTTTCCCAAGGTCGTCTATTGCGTTCACGCGCTTAGGTGAGGCAGTCGATGTGTCCTCGTGGCGCGAACATGGCTGATCACTTGTGCAATCTACTCTCCACCTCCAGTCACATCCTTGCGCGGCAAGGCCGAGCGATCAAAGTCGGCAACCTCATCGGCAAGCTGGAGTTCACCGATGACCAGCTGCAGCAGACGCAGCGCGGCCTCGACGCCGCGGGCGTGTCGATGCCTCAGTTCGGAGGGCTGGGCAAGGCACTGGCGAAGGAAATGAACGTCGAGCCTGAGCCGGAACCCGAGACGGAACAGGAGCGGATCGACCGCGAGTTGCGCGAGAACGTCGAGGGCGTCGTCACACTTCAGACAGCGTGTCGTGCCACGTTAGCCCGAGCGAGCTACAGGCGCTTGCAGCAAAACGCGGAGTGCCGCGCGGCAGAGCTCGAGCGTCTGCGCCTGGAGGCAGAAGCGCGTCGCCAGGCGGAAGAGGACCGGCGTCGCCAGGAGGAGGAAGAGCGCGTTATCACGTCTTGGACCCCCGCCATCCAGGGGCAGATTCGTGGGGCGTTGGCGAGGAAGGCGTGGTATGACAAGCGAGCAGCGCTCCAGACTTCGCAGGGAGACTTTGGGAGGCTACAGGCTGCTTGCCGTGGATTACTTGCGCGTAGGTCGCATGCTGCCACTCAGCAGAAGGCGAGTGTCCTTCCCCAACCTTCTTCTTGGGCCGTTTCGGGTTTCATGACCAGTCGCTTATCATGACCTTGGTACTTGCAGATAGCTTCATTCGACCAGGAACACGGTGCCAGCATTGTCAACATTCAAGCGCAATGCCGAGGTGTCCTGGCACGTCGCCAGTACGAAGCACTCATCTTCAAGCTCAGCGACAGCATCGAGGATGTTATTAAGCTACAGAGCGCTCTTCGCGCTGTACTTGCTCGGCGTCGACTGCTGAGTCTGGTGCGCCATCTCCGAGGCTCGAACGACAGCATCATCTCTGTGCAGGCGCAGGTCCGCGGTGTACTGGCACGCCGCTCGCATCGGCAGATGAGCACTGCTTTGCAAAAGGTAGAGGTGACGAAGGCTGTCGGGAGCCTGCAATCTTTCGCTCGTGCCGCGTTAGCTCGACGGAAACACCAGGAGCAGCGGAAGCAGCTTGACTTCGTCACGCCCGACGTCGTTGGTGTTCAGGCGCAGATTCGAGGCGTGCTCGCACGAATCGAGTACCAATGGTGGAGAAACCATTTGATTCAATCGGAGCCAGTCGCCATACACCTTCAGTCACTTCTCCGAGGTATGCTGGCACGCAGAACATTCAACGCCAAGCTTCGCCATTACCACGAGCACATGGACAAGGTCGTCAAGATTCAGAGCCTGTTCAGAGGCAAGCAGCAAGGGCAGCAGTACCGAAGTCTTACAGTCGGCAAGAATGTGCCTGTCTCGACGATCAAGAACTTTGGACATCTTCTCAACGACAGCGACATCGACTTCGAAGACGAGATCGAGGTGGAGCGATTGCGAAAACTTGTCGTGCGAAGTATCCGAGAGACGCAGACGCTCGAGAACGACGTACAAGAGCTGGATACCAAGATCGCCTTGTTAGTCAAGAACAAGATCGGCATCGAAGAGCTGATTCGCGTCAAAAATGAGCGCGGCCTACTCGGCCCGCCTACGGCTGCAAACCTGCAACGCCGCAACTCTGTCTTGGTCGCTGCCAACGATCCCTTTGCGGAAGGTCAGCATCTTGACAGAACTGCGCGGAACAAGCTTGAGCTGTACCAAGAGCTCTTCTACATGCTGCAGACCCGCCCAGAATACATTGCCAGGCTCTTTGCGCGCGTTGGCAAGATGGAAATGTCGGACCGCAACAAGAAGCAAGTGGAGAAGGTCGTTCTTACCCTCTTTGGCTACGCGCAGAACAGCAGAGAGGAATTCTTGCTCCTCAAGCTCTTCCAGCGCTGCGTAAGTGAAGAGCTCAGCATGGTCAACTCTGTGCAAGAATTTATTCGAGGCAACGCACAATTCATCAAGTTGGTCGTGCAATACAACAGAGGCGCAAAGGAGCGCAAGTATTTACGAGATCTTCTGGGTCCACTCGTCCAGGGCATCATCAATGATGAGGGCCTCGATCTCGAGACCGATCCATGCGCGATTTACCGACAGGCAATCAACCTCGAGGAGATGGAAACGGGTATGCCCAGCCGGAAGCCGCTCGACGTGTCGTTCGATGTCGCATTGCTCGACCCTGCCGCAAGGACCATCTTCATTCGCCATTTGCAAGCTCTGCGCGCGACGACAGAGGCGTTCCTCTCTGCGCTCACAAGCTCAACGACGAAGATGCCATTTGGAATCCGCTACATTGCAAGAGAAGTCTTCCGAGCGTTGCAGAATAAGTTCCCTCAAGAGCCAGAAGCAGCGCTCATCAAGGTCGTTGGACATCTGGTCTACTATCGCTATTTGAACCCCGCGATCGTGGCGCCGGAAGGCTTCGACGTCATCGAGAAGCTTGTCGGGCCTGTGCAGAGGAAGAACTTGGCGGAAGTCTCCAAGATGCTCACTCAGGTAGCGGTCGGCCGCCTCTTCTCCGATGACAACCCTTACTTGCAGCCGCTCAACGAATACGTCTCGCAAGCATCTGCCCGCTTCACACAATGGTTCTACGCCATCGTTGACGTACACGATGCGGAAATGCAGTTTGCTGCTGAAGAATTCATCGATGCGACAACACAAGACCGCCCGGTCATCTACATCAGCCCAAATGAGATCTACGCGCTGCATTTGCTTCTCGGTCAGCAGATGGACACGGTGGCACCGAATCAGGCCGATCCGCTTCGCATTCTGCTGAATGAGCTTGGCCTGCCTCCGCAAGGAGCTTCCTCGGAGCTCAACAGCGCACGTGACAGCGAGATCACGCTTGAGCTGGTCGGAAGGCGCACAGCTTTGCAAGACCCAGAGGCGGAAAGCAAAGCACTCTTTGTCGAGACAAAGCGTCTCGTCCTGTCTGTCCTCAAGGTGCAATCAGGGCAAACCCTTTACAAGGTCCTGCTCGAGCCAGTCACCGATCAGGATGAGCTCACATGGGAGGAGGTTGTTTCGTTGGAGATCACTGCAGATCGTGCGCGGCAACGAGGACAGAGACCACCGCCTTCAGCGAACCACACAACGCCGAAGCTGCAGGATGTCCGTCGACTGTCCTTCGTCGACCTCAAGGCCCACACTCTGCAGAACATGCTGAAGCTCGAGCAGCTTGGCAAAGTCTCCAGGGCGAACGAGTTCCAGGACATGCTCAATGCTATCGCGATTGACATTCGCAACAAGCATCGCAAACGCATTCAGCGGGCGAACGAGAAGGCGGCGATGCACGTCACCCTCAACAATTTGGGCGAAAAGAAGGCTTACCTGGAGGAGCAGATTCAGAGCTACAATAGCTACATTGATGCCTCCATGCAGACCATGCAGAAGAAAGGGTGAGTCGAATCCGCTCTGTTGCGATACGCTTTTCCTGACATTGCTCATCATTTTTGAACACGCATCTAGTCGCAAGAAGTTCGTGCTTCCTTTCACACAGCAGTACTTTCATCTGCGCAGCTTGAAAGCCTCCGGCAAGGTACCGAAGTTTGGCTCGTACAAGTACACTGCGCAGCGGTTGCACGAGAAGGGCGTGCTTTTGACCATCGACGGCTTCAGCTCCAAGCAGTACGACCAGATCTCTCTGACCATCAGTAGTGACGAGGCAGGCTTGTTCACCATCGAAGCCAGCGTCCTTGGCGTCGTCGGTGGAAGCTGCGACTTGCGTATCGAGGATCTGCTCGAAGCACAATTCAACGGCTTACAGACTCTGACACTGATGGACTCCATGGCAAAGTGCAACACCAACCTGCTCATCCATCTGATCAATAAGAGTAAGTGTCGACCATTCCTCTTCTCTGTGAGAGGCAGGACCTCACTGATGGCTCCTTCACGTCATCTTTCAGAATTCTACGCCTAGACACGCACACCCATATCTACGACCCTAATGATCTCAGCGAGCGACATCCGGAACGTCGCATTTTACTGTTTAACCCAGTTTCGTCTTGTGGACTCTTGTAATTTGCAGATGCGTTGCTTCAAGATTGCAACCGAATCGATTCTCTCGAAATTTTACTTTTGGTTGGCCCTACTGATTCCGATACTTCGCGCAGGTGTTTTAATTTTGCCCACATGTGCTTGCTCGAGATCTTGTTTCCTTGCTGCGTAGACTACTGTCTTTCGAGTTGCTGTTCAGTCTTTGTTGCACATACCGCTATGTGGTGCTAAGGGTTAAATTCACAGCAAAGCCACATTGTGGCGATATGCTCCGTCATTGCAACGCTTTATTCTCCCTCTCCCTTGACGGAGCTGCGACGGTGCTCGCCGCTGAGTTGACCCGCACATTGACCTCTTCTTTCGATTCGAGCTGCCCAAGCTTGGACGACACAATCCCGAGGACAGTATGATTGTGCTTTGGTATCAGCGTGGAGTGGCTCAAAGCCACCAACTCGCGGTGCGTCATATGTCAGTAGCCAATGATCGACGGGCAGCTTGAATACTTTCGCCACGATCGAGGCGTGGCCGCTGTCAACCAATATCAGAACACCGAACACCATTTCCTCTGTGACAGCCGAGGGAAGTGGTTAGCTCATACATTCGTAAGCGTGGCGATGGCCATTGTCATCCACCTGCAAAGCTACGTGCCAACGACGGGAATAATTCGCGCAGAATGCCAGCATAGAGAACCGATCGACAAGGAAACACGTGCTATTTCGACATGCATGCCAATCGTCATTCCATTTGGTGCGCTATGGAGCATGTCGCGGTAGAGCTGGAGATATTTATCGAGCTCTACAGCCGGGCCCAATTCCGTGCTTGTGGACGCCTTCGGCCATGGTGCCGGCCAGGAGGAATGTCAGATAGGGATCGTCGAACTGAGGGTTGCAGCATCCAGCATTGAACAATGCCGGCAGCTTTTCTCTGCATGCTTTTGTGAGATCTCGAAGGTAGCCCGTCTCGCCGTCGGTGGTGTAGGCGTCTTTTTGTCATGACGTGCGCAACAGCGTGCGCGAGGTGCAGTCAAATTGGGTGTGCAAAGATGGTGCGAGCATGCCTGACATTTCCGCCGGAAGAAGGCTGGAGATGAGCTTGAATTGCTTGACGTATGGCGATTCACCAGCTGGACAGCAAATGGGCCCCGTCGCGACAAACAACCGTAGGTTCAGCGTGTCGCTCTTCGAGTAAGAGCGCGTATCATGGGTTATATTCCACAAAAGTATCCCAAGACGGATCCTTAGCCTCTTGCATGTTTTATAGATTCGTGAAGAAGCCATCGACTGGTAACCGCACGCCTTTTCAGTCTGGCAACGCGAAGAGACACGGAGGATATCGCCCGAAAGAAGGGATAGTGTGCATAATTCCTGTGTGACGATCTTATATATGAGATCCAGCTGCTTCCGAACAGCCACTTTGATTGCATTGTCTTCTGGCACTTGGAATTACTCTCGGCTGAGGCAGCCCTTTTCGTACCGATTGCGCGCTTGCAAGAGGAAGTGGGAGCGGAGCAAGGAACCGATGTGCTCTGCGTAAGTCGGTGGCGGGAGCCATTCTTCGGTGTTGGTGGATTCAATGCTCCAGAATTGTAGATATCTAGGTGTCGAGGCAAATGGGCATCACGAAGGTCCATGCGCATATCAGTCCGGTCTTCACTGTGTACTGTGTACCTCACTTCGATACTGATATCGAATCAAGCACGGGACGACGGCATTGGAAAGCAATGCTTCCGCGAATGGCCAGGCCCTTTTCGCGGCCTCATGGGTCCTGGTGCGAGGGAAGATTACTAGCGATGGATGCTCAGTGAACGGGCTGGCCCGAGCGGCTGCTGTTCGCCGCTTTGCTTCGGGGATGGAAGCAGAGGCTCGAATACGCGCAATGGGCTGCACCATGGTGGGCCGTCCACTGCACACACTGACGATTGCATGGGCGCGAGTGAAATCTGGTTGAGAAGAACCGCGGTCGTGAGACAAATGCATGTTGCCTGCCACAGGCATGGGCGCAGCCCATAAACAGGCTCGCAGCCGGGCCCCTGAGCCCTACAGAGACAGCATTCGGTGTTGAGCATGGGGACGTCAAACTGTCGAGCCAAGAGGTTGATATGCAACCGCAGGCAGCGAGCGTCGTTGTTCAGATGAGCACCACTTGAAACAGTAAAAAATCTATGATGGAAAATATATTTGATTCAGACATATTATAAACTCTCAAACAGAAGACATCTTCTTTCGTAGTTTAGTGGCTATGACGCACCCCTGTCATCATTAGCCTGCACTGGGAGCTAACAGTGACGGGTGAGACCCGGGTTCGATTCCCGGCGAGAGAGTTTCTTTTTACCTTTGGTAAAGGGTGAAAATATTTTTGCTTTTTTTTCGACACTTCGCACGACCTGGTGACCAGCCGTGGGTCCACTCCACGTGTAGGCACCAGGTCACAACCCGTTCCTTCGCTTCTGGCAAGGTATAGACTTCATGGAAAAGCCAATGCAAACAGCGAGGGAGTCCTTGAATCCGGCTTCCGGTACTTGACACCTCCTTTTACCCGGAGGCACGGTCTTAGCCCAAGTATGTACCACTGCAGTCTTCAAAAGCAAGGAGCAGAAAGCGAGCTATCAACTACATCACTATTGGTGTCGTGCTTGCGTGCTGCTCTTTCCGGAGGGGGGCCGGGGGTATGAAGTCTGGATCCGGGGAGTTCCGTGCTTGCACAGAGCCGGGAACCAGAGGCGGGCGCAGCGCGCCGGTTTCAACTTTAATGACGAACCTCAAATGAATTCACCCGGCTGTCACCTGTCGTAATCGCCGCGTGGCACGGCGAGAGGCACTGCTGCAGTGGCGCGCCAGCAAAGGCGCGCTCTATCACCGAGTCCAGTCTCATTTAATTCGAATCTCTCTGCCCCAGGGACACTAGAGCAGGGCGAGGAATTGAAACCGCGGCCCCAAGGCATGAAAAAAAATGCTCCATGAGTCACACTCACGTACGCACCCACACAAACCATGCCAATGCTTAGTTGCTTTTTCTCTGTATGCTGTCTTTGACTCACATCGTCAGCGCGGGAAGCACTCCCTATCCAACTCAACCAAACACAGCCCAGCACTCGGCAACCCAGGTTGACACCCTCATGCACGCTTGCACCTTATTTTTCTCGTTCATGTCGTATTATACCATTTTATTTATATGCCCTCATTCTGTGCATCAATCACACTCGTGCAATCCCCTCAACCGTAACTTGTTCAGGTCGATCTGCTCTATCCACACTCGACCCCCCATCTTGCCTCCCACATTCAGGCACATCGTCTTCTGTCGCCGGCAAGCTCAATCATCATCAATACATCGACGCACCCTTCACGCAACGCAAAGATGGAGCAACGAGTCCTGCTGCTCTATCAGCCCGTGTTTCATCCGCATCTCGCGATCGAGCCCTCGTCGTCGGGTGCCCCAATGCCTCCCTCCACGCCAGAATCGCAGGGCGGACACACATACGCTCAGAAAAGGTCAAATGGCAAGAGCCCCATCACCCTCGCACAAGGCTCACCGGCACCCCCTCTATCCGAGCTGCCGCCGCAAGTAGGCTCGGTCGTGCTCGACGCCAAGCACTCCAGGTCCGTCTCGGCACTGCAAGATGCGGGCAAGAGCGTAGCGCAACATTTGGATCAGCAGACGTCAGACTCAGCAACGTCGAGCATCCAGGTGGACCTGTTCTCGATTCTACCGGCTTCGTACACCAGAAGCACGCACCCCGCGTTCAAACACACTGCGTCCATGTCCCGATCGACCAGCAGCGCCGCATATCGCACAACGTCGGGCTCCTCGAACGACAGCTCAGGCGACTCTGGCACCGCTTCTGGGCGCCATTGCAATTCTCCCTCCCATCACCACGGCCATCAGCAGCAGCAGCAGCAGCACCATGGGCTGTTTTCCGGTCTGGCTTCGCTTTTGCACAGCCGTCCTGGCTCGCGGCACAACTCGCCTGGCTCATCACGCGCAGTATCCAGGCGTAACAGTCAGCACTCTATACACTCTCACGGAAGCGCCTTGGGAAGCCATGTGCTGCAATCGCATGCGCACGACGCGCTGCTAGAGCTGACGGACGTCCTGCGCGTTGAGGATGAAGAGGCAGAAGAGGCACGTGAGCAGCTGCTCGATCGCTTGACGATCCTCTCCGGGGAACTGGAGGATGGCGGGGAGAAGCGCTCGATCAACATCGCTGTCAGGCAAGCAGGGGACGGGGAGAGTCTGCAAGAGGCACTGCAATGCTTGCTCAGGCAGAGCAGATACGACGAATTGATCATGGTCAACGACGCGGACCTCGCGCATCTCCCGCACCCGCCTTCGACACCTCCGCCCTTGGCGTCGAGTCCAAGCTCCAACAGCCCCGACATGGCGCAAGCGCCGTCGCTAATCTCGCACACACACCCGCAGCCCTTCACCAGCTCGCTCCGGAAGCGCGTCGCCGGATTCGCACGCTTGCATCTGCACCTCAAGCACGATGTGCATCGCTCCCGCGAGCTCGAGCTCGAGCACGACAGGGTCGCACTTGCAGCGGATGCGCACGCGCTGCGCAAGGACATCCAGAGAGGCTTTGGCAGCCATATTCCGATCTTGGCCATCTGAGCATTCGAATGGAGCAAGCAAGCAAGCTAGAAGGCTGCATCGTTTGCAGGCACTTGCGGTGCGATGGTGCTCAATGTATTTCTTTCGTGTAGCATAACAAATGGGAAAGCACACTCCTTTTTTGGCGTCTGCTATCTAGTCGCAATCACTTGTTCTGGCAGAGTTGTGCCGACCTTGGACATGCGCCCCCAGTACCAACTCAGCCCATGCGAGGCGAAACGCCCTACGAAGGGGATCAGCTCGCCAATCGTGCTGACGAGCGGAAGCTTGACGTTGGGCCCTGTTCCGCGCTCGGGCAGGCGCGAAGTGATCTGCAGCGCACCGAAACAGGACGGAGAAGCGGTTATTTCTTTATTGCAGGCGTAGGGCCTTGTGACCAACGCTTCACTCACCCGCACAAGCGTTTCAGCTGGCAGCAGCGTCCCAGGGCCGAAGCGACTCAGCCCCGGCAAGCCAACGAGCTTCATCTGCTCTCCAAAGTGGGCAAAGTTGAATTGGTTCGTCGTGGATAGCTCTGCACCTAGCTTGCGGTTGTCACCGAGCGATGGGAGCAGCGTGGCGACCGCATCGCCGTCGTTCAGCACGCGCCAGACGTTTGGCCGCGGTGATTGCGCTGTCTCCGTCGATTGGACGGATGCGTTAAAGCTTGACAGGGAGGAAGGATCACCGACGATTGGGGCGCCGAAGAAGCTGTGTGGTGCATGGATTACCGTCAGGGTTTGGTCAGGCAGTTTGCAAGACGCTTCTATTCTATTCTGCTTACTATCCATCTCGCAGCGTCACACCCGCTGCCCAAATGCAATGCGCATTTCACGCGTCAGTGACACTTCCCTTTAAGGCTGATGCTTGGGTGACTCACGAAGTGGATCAGTCAAGAGCTTGCTGTAAAAGAGTGTGCCTGTCGCCGCGCCGAGACTGCAGGAAGCGCTTCAATTGGAGTCCGCTCATTGAAAGGTGACAGGTAGGAGGTGGCTCACCTGTGCCCAGTGACCCACAGATGGACGTGTGGCACACCGGTCGTCTCCTGAATAGCTTGCGCAGTGTGCTGCACGGCCTTTCGAATTACGCTGTACGGATCTCCATCCTTCTCGCGCCGGAAGAGCTGCGCAAAGAAGCCGCTGTGGACGTAATGGAAGCCAGGGATTTTCTTGCCGGCCCAGACGTACTCGTACCTGAAATCGACGAGCCACTCAACGAACGCTTCGGGGGTCGTTCCTTTGAAGGCGAGGATGATGAAGTTGCGCTGCAAGCCTGGATCGAAGAACATTCCGCATACGGCCGAGGTGTCTGTGCTGAGCTCTGATAGGGACTGCCTCGCCACATACACTTAACAGACGTGCAAAGAAAGCAAGCTCAGAATCACAGGATCAACTCACAATGTATTCAAGCCCGAGCTTTTCGCGCGCCATCGCACAGATGAAGGCATCGGCATCGTCCATTAGGTGCGAGACACGATCGTATTCTGGACCACATAGAGACCTCAGATGGTCGTCAACGAGAGGTCCTCCGTTCTCCTGCGCTAAGTGGGAGCGGCGTCCTTGTGTCAACAACTTTGACTTAACAATGGAGAAAACTGTGAGCAGCGGCTGCTGGCGACGCTCGTAGACGAGAGCAGAGACGTAGGCTTGCAGCTTGGCCACGTCGAGATCGAATTCGCGGATGCTCCCGCCATGCTCACGGACGGACATGCCTTCGTATGCAGCGTCGCGGATGTCATGTGTGAGCGAGTCAAAGATGTGCGGATAGGCTGGCAGATGGAGATGGCATATTAGTGAGAACCTCGCAAGTTCTGAAGCAAAAGGTTGAGCGCTGGATACTCACGCAGGTTGGCAGTGGATACATCAGGCCCCCCTCCTGTGAGCCATATTGCAATTTTCAAGACGAACGGCAGCCTGATGATGACCGTGAAAATGAGTGCAAAGCCCAGCACGAGCGTAGCAGCCACAGCGAAGAAGATCAAGCTGAAAGCACCGGCCGGGTCCATCCACAGGGTCCATGGCAGCGATATGAGAACCCTTAGGAATGTGTTGATAGAATAAGAGATGTACTGGAGGATGGAGATTAGGATGTACCCGATCGCAGTATGTGGTTGGTGGGCTGCGGCGACGTCGAGCAATTCGTCTTGGTGGGTTTCTTGCATGATGTCTCGGAGCTGTTTGACACGGTCAGCAGCTCCTCCACTGCGCATGCTGCGGTCGCGGAGGGGAATTTCTTCTGCATCCCGCATCTTCAAGGAGTTATGGGGGTGAGCGGGCTGGTCGATCAATCGATGCGGTGAAGGTTGACGAACACCTGCCTTAACAATGCCAGTGGTGAGGCAGCAGCAACTCCCGTATTGGTCGCAGGGACAAACATCCCTCTCAGCCAGTGGATTGATCCCTTCCGCCAGTATCGCTTCGCCGGTATGTCGGCCCACGCATCCGTCACGGTGCCGCCAGCTGGGGTCGAATACGTCTGCGTGACTCGAACGGCCATGTCGTCCATGTGTGAGCACATAGGGCATATGAGATCAAAGAGCCGATAAGATGTCGGTTGCTGGAACCGTATTGTGGGGAAGCCCCGAGTCCCGAATCCCGAAATCTCAATGGCGCGTCGCGACCGCGAGACGTCGCGTTTTGTCGCCAACACTGAACACGAAGTAGTCTACTACACTTCGACACTTCGACAACGCTGGAGGTATACTTGGCTTTCAAGTGCTTTTATGCGACCTTTTGACGTTTGCTTCTCATTTGCGGCTGGCATCCTTTTAGAGATCGCTTAATTCTATATAAAGCCCTATCTTGGGGTGGCTCGGCTCATGCAGCTTCTTACCTTAAAGGAGCGCAAGTGACTCGCCGCGCGTACGAAGGAACCGTCATGGTCGCACGCAGAGGGTTGCCATGAGCGCAGCGGTTGTCGAGACCTCCGACGATGAGGAGCGGCAGGAAGGACAGGCGATGCTCCTGGCGCAGGGCTCACAGTCATGTACAACGTTGACTTCTAAGCCCTCGCGAAGCCAGCCGTCCTCCTCACCAAGCCATGCTCGTCACCTCAGCAGGGACAGTAACAACATCGGCAGCAGCACAGAGACACTTCCGCTCTCCTCTCAGCAGGTCCCCTTTGAAGAAACCACCATGGCCGATACCTTCACATCGTCATCTCCAGTACGAAGCCAGGTGTCTCATGTGTCACCTATGTGCGCCAAATCGACAGAATCAAATGAGGGGTCAGTCAGCTCATCCATTGACGACAAGCCAAGGGACGTGGTTCGAGGCGTTGGCTCGGTCGAAGCTACCCAACGATCTCCATTAGTCGCAAGCGCGCGCTCTGCCCCGGCCACAACGCCAGCAGGAATCAAACGCCGGAGGCTGGATATGGAAGTGGAGCGCAGCCGCTCAAGTCCAAGTGCTGCAATCCGACTGCGGGCCGCAAGCGAAACTTTGAAAGAACTCAGCGACGACGAAATGGATCTCTTGGCTTCGCAGCGCGGCAAAGTCGAATACTTTAACAGACTTTGGGTGAAAGGACATGTGCAAGGGCCTCGACTCCTTTCTTTTGGAGTAGCCGAGGCTACAAAGCCATTCGATGCATTCGAACTTTCTGAGACGAAAAGCACCCCCGCACCGGCTCATTCACAACAGAGCGCTCTGCAGAAGACACAAGGTGAGCAGTTTCAGGTGGTTCCAAATACAGTCCCTATTTTGATGGGGTTTTCGGAAAATTTACCTTTGTCATCCTGAAGAACCACCGGCGATGGAGCAGCCGAAACAAGGAGGCTCGAGCAGAGCTCCTGCCTTTAAACCCGTATCTTCCCCCCCGAGCTCGGCAACAAGCTCCATCTTGTCCGAACCTCCGTCTCCAAGCCAATCTGCTTCATGTATCGCGCGGAAAACACCCCAAGAAACCGAGACGTTGCCGCCGCTTGAAGATATGCCTTCGCTTCTATCCTCCCCAGCGCGCAGTCCCGAGCACCTTGATCCACCAGATCAAGAGATATCAGCAGCGCGATCGGTGGGCTTCGAAGAGAGTGAGTGATAGTAGATTTGCCGTGATACGATTGACCTTTGACATGACGCTTGGTTCTGGGCCTCAGTTCCTCCGGAATTGCTAGCTCCGTCTCCACCTCGCCAACTGCAGCGCCGGCTGCGCGAGCGTAAAGCCGCTCAATTGAATCCATTCACGCACGAGCAGCTGGTCTATCAGAAGACCATGCTGTCGCGCAACTGGGAGGGCGCTATCATCAGCCGCAAGGAGGCTCTGCGTGAAGAGCGAAGGAGGGTAAGAGAGGAGAACAAGGATGTGCCTAGCAGCAATGCGCCTGGTGCCGACTGGCTTGTCGAGGACCCTGAGCAGGAAGCGCGCAGAGAAAGGAGACGTAAGGAGATGGAGAGGCGAGAGCTCCAGCAACGAAGCGCAGTCAGGGAGAAGACGGGGACGAAGCCCAATATCAGCAATGTTCCAGCACTGGGCTCATCGTGGACAGCCAACGCGCAGGATGACCCTGCTCTTCAACCTCTTCTTGCAAGCCTTCATTTGGATATCTCTGAAACCTCCGACGACAACGCGGGGGCTCGTGCCACAACTGCTGGTCACGGCAACAGGCTTACGCGGCCACAAAATAAGAAAAAGTCGACAAGAAGAGCACGCGCGTCTTGTCCGAATTCGGACAATCGGAGCGAAAGGCCGTCGGCCGAATCACTCGCCAGTATTCAAATACCAGAACGCCGGCCTCGGAAGAGGGCGCGCGAGTCTGCTTTCGATCTTCAGTCGGCCAATCGTGCGCTCTCGGATGCAACCTCGTCGGCCGAAGAAGAACCCGAGGCTAGGTCCGCCCGCAAAGGGGGCAGACGTTCTGCAACCGACAGGGGCAACGGTCGACACCGAAGGAGCGCTCAGTCGACGAGCGAATCCGACCCGGACGAAGAGGAAGACCTGGTAAGAAGGTTCAAGGTGTTGAAGAAGATGATGCCCAAGGCCATGGCCAAAAAGTACATCCAAGACTTGCAAGCGATGCGAAAGGGTAAGCAATACCACTCTGACGGACACTACTCGTCAACGCCAGATCCGTCAGACATTGAGGCTGCGCCGCGACGCGCAGTCCGGATTGTGCACTCTGAAGTGGAGGAAAGGGACAGTAACGATGAGAACGTAGTTCCTGGAGTTGCGCGTAGACGTCGCGTACATTGCCATGTGGAGGAAGCGTCGCAGTCCCGATTCGACATCGTCGGGGATCCTGAATCAGAGCAGAGGGATACAGCGGACAGCGCGACCGAGCGGAGCTTCAGCAGTGACAGCGACGATGACGAAGGGGTTGTTTGGCTAGGAGCGCGCCAACTGGACAAGCGCCAGCACTCCGAGGACCTCATCGATCGCATGCTGAGTAGGGCGCAAGCGTCCGCGTCCGCGTATGTATCCAGGACCTCGAGACTCCCTTCATCGAGGAAGACGAACGGCCGCAAGGTGAGCAGAGCATCTAATTGCGGATCAAGGAAGACGAAAGAATCGACCAAAATGGCGGCGAAAGGCAAGAATCGAACGAACGCGCCTCACAGCCGACCTTTGCAGCCAGTATCCGTCAACATTTTTGATCATGATAGCGACAGTCATTCGCATAATGACACAGATTCTGGCAACTCCGCACACCGACGGGTCTCCAGCCGCGGACGCCACGAATCCTCGAAGAAAAAGTCATCGCGTCATGTCAACGACCGACCCCGCTTCCACCAATTTCGAGGGCCCAGGCATGCAGGCTTCAATCCTCCCATCGTCAATCCACGGCAACGCCGCTTGCTTGACCATGAGATGGACGCTCAGCTGTTCGGCGAAGCTTCTGTGACGCGCGAGCAGGACGAAACTTCGCGTACCGAGCTACCGAACGCTGTCTTTGTTGTGTTGGATGACTCAAATAAAGATGACGAGCCTGAGGCTACGCATACAGCAAGGATGGAGATCTCTCGGCAGGATGAGCGGCCTGAGCAGCGGACAACATTCGCTCAGCGGCAGCAAAGGGCGCGCGAAATAGCAAAAGCAGCAAGCGTTTCGCGCCCACTGCAAAGTGCGACAATCCTGCAGTTGCCAGCGGCGGATCCAGAAGCGGTCACCAAGGCGAACTTGTGGGCAGCTATTGGCGAGATCCGTACCGAGTTGGGCATCCCGGCAATATCGCAGAACATCCGACTGGGCGAACATAGCTTCGTTACGCGTGGAGAACTCCAAAGTTTGCTGGAAGAAGTCGATGGAGGCGACACTGCCATCAGTCGCCAGCAGCGCAGTGTTGTTTCCAGTTCTCATTTCGGCCTAGGCTTCAATGCTGACACAACCGTGGAGCAAGTCTTGACCCAATTACCGACCTTCTTCGACTCTATTCGCTCCCGCTGCGAACGAATTTCTACTTGCGAACGCTCGGATGCAATCGTCCTCGTAGACCAAGTCCTGGAAGCACTCGGCTGCCTTTCCGCGTTTCTCAGGCACCACGCTCGCTCAACATCTGCACCTGCAGCATGCGAATCTGTCGCAGCTCGTCTCGAGCACTTGTCGCACCGAATACCTCAGGAGGCACCAGCCAAGTCGCAAACGCTGCGCTTGCGCTTGCAGCTCTCATGGCTCCACTTGCAGGTCATGGCACTTTGGCGGAAGGTGGCCCGTACGGATGACGATCACTTTGGAGAGGCTCCGGATATTGCTCTCGCTGCCAAGACACTCATTTACTGGCTACTGAAACACGGTCTTCACAACACGATGCGCTCGCTTAAGGATTCAGTGGCGAACGAGAAGGACTCAGAGGTCGAGCCGATCAGCGACGAGTCGATTGAGCTTTGGCTCGCTCTAATGCATTTGCTCGGATCATCATTCTGGGCTGTCTTCGAGGAGACTTTCCTTGCCTGGCTTGACAAGCTCCCATCGGACCAGCCGCACGTGCGAGGCGAGATGATATGGTTTGGTATCTTCACCTTATCGGCTATCTCGCAGATATCTCCCAAAGACGGCACTGCGTTGACCGCACCATTCTTGCAAGAGCACTGGCCCCTAGTCGGGACTGCAATCACTTCTTCATGCCTGCGGTACGACGCGTCTGTGGAGTCTACAATGAGCGACCTCGCGTTGGAGCAACGAGATATCTACATACACACGGTACTCAGACGAATCATGCACTTGACCTCAACCCTTCATTGGCGCCTGTGGAGTAAGGATCACAAGGACGGCGAATCTCTTCTTCGACGAGTGTGCAAGACTATCTTCGACGCCAAGGGATACTACTTTCAGAGCCTGCCAAGCGAAACAGGGTACGACTTTCCTTTATTCCTTCGCGCTTTCGACGAATCACTGTTGGAACAAGAAGACGAAGGTCGACGAGACAGCAGCTTCCACATGTTCCTTAAGCTGCTGATCAGGTTCGGCAAGGAAGCGCAAGGCACAGGAGCCGAAAGTGAGAACCATATCCGTGAAACGTCGCGCTTCTTCCATCGCCTGCTGCCGGTGCAAAGGACCAAATTCGCGGCGGACCAAGCGCCTACAAAGCTGGAACTGTCGCGACTTTACAACCTCTACTCGATGGCGACCGTCACATTGTATATGGCACCTGATCCAGGCGAGGCGCGGTGGCAGATGCGTCGGGTTCAAGGCTGGCTTGATTTCGCTCAAGCTGATCACAGCGCTCAGCTGGTCTGCATTCGTGCGGTGCAGTACCTCGGCGTTGTCTGTCAACATCACCGTCTCGGTCTCGAAGACGTCGTCACATGGTTCGAGGAGGTCGTCAGGAGACTGAAGGTCTCTCTTACGCTGGCAACAGGCGGCACCTCGGGCGACCTGATGGCAGATCGTCTGCGACATCGACGAAAGGCCAACACCAGTCTTCTCTTGAAGGCTGCACTTCGCGCGTTGCGCAACGTCATTTTGCACGCATCTTTAGCACCCGATGCACCTCCCGACAAGCAGCCCTTCCCAGATAAACTACTTTTGAGCCCAGGTGAGTGGAGAAAGAAATGTGCTTGATTTGGTTTGATCTCTTCCTGACACGTATGCCGCGCCTGCTAGTCTGGACTGACGAGCTGCTCACGAGCCCTATCGTGAACGATGCGACCATCGCACTGGAGGCTGTCGCATGTCTGCAAGCATTTCTCAGTCGTCGGCTCCGGCTCCTGGAGCAGCTCGAGACAAGGGTGCAGATCGAGACTGGAGAGGACACACAAGATAGTTGGGATTGCCTATGGAAAGAGGCGGATTTCAACGACACGGCCTTGGGCGCCGTCTTGGATGCAGCCGAAGCCGCCGCCGCCGTACCACCGCACGTCGCGTCCCCCTCTGCAGGCGCGCGAACGCTTGCAGAGTTCCAACAAAAGGATCGGGAATTGGCTCGCACGACGCCGGAGCGTCTGACTAACATGCTGTTCTGGGTCGTGTCGAACCTGCTTCATTCTGAACAAAGCGGGCCAACTGGCTCACGCATCTCGCTGGGCATCGATGCAACAATGGCTGGTCGAATGCTGCGCAACGTATCGCTCGAGGCGTTAGACGGCCTGTCGAAGCTTGATGAGCGGCGCACGTTGCTCGAGCGCCTGCTCGACAGCTGGGCAGGTTGGGCGCACGTGCTGGTGCACAACGGCGTCCAAATGTGGGAAGCGTTCATCAGCACCAACAAACCATCGTCCATTCAGCGCCTTCCGGCCGGCCTCGACGCGCGGGACGCATCGCTGCGCTTCATGCTTAACATGGTCGATCTGGACCCGGCCGTGCTGCGGACGCATACGCACGAGATCGTCAAGATGTGGTACCGCAGTGTCGGTGCACGCCTCATTTCGGTGCAGGCGCCATTCACTCGTGCTCTTGCAGAGGTGGAGCCACCCCTTCCATTCTTTGACGGCGTGCTAGCTGCGCTGACCGTCGCCTGCGGCAGCAATGATGCGAGCGAATCGACCGAGTCTGGATACGCGCGGCAAACAGAGGCAGTCCAGGCACCATCAGCGCCGATGCAGCAGTCGCAGATTCCTCAAACGCAGCCACAGGCGCAAACACTTGCAGCGACAGCGAGCATTTCGCGCGTAAAGTTTCTCAATATGCGCGCTGCGGTGCTCCGTGTGACGCTGCGAAACATGCGACAAGAGGGCCTGGTGAGCTCGACGGGGAAACGGCTGATGCTGGAAGGCCTGCCGCATCTGCTGTCTTCGCTGTGCGAGGAGGTGGACGCGCAGCAACAACACCAACCGCAGAGCGAGGCGGGCAAAGATTACCTGAATTTCGTGCAACAGATCGCAGACAAGTTTGTCGATGATGTAGGATGCGAGATCTACGAGAGCAGATGGTTTGGCTTCGTCAAGAGTCTGCTTGGTACGCTCCAGACGAAGCTAGCGCGGGCCCACGGCGGAGTGTGATGCTGCCTCATGTATTTTTGCCGTTCACGTATTACATCTTCGGCGAGCAAATATCCGAGCAGTAACCCGCCGGCGGGCTCTGTCCGTCAGGCCCACCTCTCACAGTCCTCCAAACATGCTTGAGAAGCATCCAGGCAAGGCGCTCCGCCGTGGTTGCAAGCCGTCCATCTACTATCTGCCTAGGCCATGCACCGCGGGGATGTCAAACCATCATGACACGTGCGCAACCTGGCGAGATCCACTAAGTAGGAGCGTTTCGTGGTGAGCGCAGTTAACAAGCGGTGTTGAGCCCGCGCCGACGCAATGCATTGCATTTCGGCATAGTTGTTAACCTCACCTTAACACCGACGAGCAGGCTGCCACGTACACCGGCGTGGTGCTAGTTTCCCGCGTCAGCGTCCCCAAACATTATCAGGCGGAGAATCAACCAGTAGTTTTTATTTTTATGGCAAGTTTTGCGACGCGTCAGCCCCCCACGATAAGACACTGATCAAATGCTCAAGAGCAGCCAGGCGCCTGACCGAGGGCGAAGCGCTGTTATGCACTGTTTCCGTCAGCCAGTCAGCCTATTACAGCTGGTCATGGCTACTGTTATCGCTGACCCATCCCGGCGTCAGCCAACAGTCATAGTTACATTTGCACCTTCGCCGTCGTAGCCATGACCTGCTTCTGCTTGTTGCGAACAAGCAGGAAGGACATGGGAAACGGAAACGCAGACACAAGTTCTGCCGCATACATATAGACGGGCACCGGTGCCACCTTCGACTGGACGCCTCGCACACAAGAGCCGTCTCTCCGCAGTGGCGAGCGACGCACGTGCTTCCTCGATCCGTCGAATACACCGCACGTTACATCAAGCCCTGCTCGACGGCGCACATTCACCCCGGTTCGAGCAGGATTCATCGCCATAGACGATACTATCCCCTTTTGATTCTGTCCACGGGCACACCGCTAGCCGTCAGCCCACAAGGAAATGGGCCCCATAGATATTCTCGGTGCCAAACCCCTTGCGAGCCGACTTAGCGTCGCCCCTGCTCCTACTGACCCATTCGCACGCAGCATCGGCATCATTAGCACCGGCATTGGAAGCAGAATGACGCCATCCCCGCCCGAGTCGGCAGGGCCGGTGACGCCAGAGTCGACATCAGCATCTTCGCTAGCTTCTTCCTCTTGCTCGTCCTCCTTGGTGGGGACCATGGCTGCGGACAGCTTGGCGGCCGCCAAGGTCGCTGCATATGGACCCCTAACAGGGCCGCCGGGTGGCACGCTCAACAAGTACACAGAATCGAGACGCTTGTCGTTCTCCGAGGGTCGCAAGCCGAATCTCACGTTCACACTCTCTGATGACACAAAAGCAGAATGGTCTGCCTCCATCATAATGGCCAATCAGAGGTACGTTCGGTCTGTCATTAGCTTCACCCTTTGCTGCTACACGCACTCATTAGATCCGCTTCCTTTGGATGTAAACCTCCTACAGGGTAATTTCCGACGCGGCAAGGCTACCGCCTAGCACGGGCAGGCGAGGAATACCTGCGCCGCCGCCAAAGCCAGAGGAAATCACCGTTCTGGGCTGCTGGGAGGAGGACCACGAAACGTACGAGCACCGCAAGCCCGTTCCGCTGTCAAGCAAGAAAGGACGCATGATGCGCGCGATACCGTGCCTGATGGTGTCGGACATTGCGTCCGCACTGCCGTTCTACAAGGAGATCCTCGGCTTCGTCAACGTGTCCAAGCCGGACAAGTCGCTTGCGAACATCTGCCGCACGCCGTCCGGAAAGCCGATGCTCCAGGGCGCAGAGGAAGGCGTGCAGCTCTACCTGCGCACGCCATACCCGCCGCCACAGCCACAGGACCCGCCGTTCCCACCAATGAGCGTGCACGTCGAGGTGGCCAATGTTGACGACATGTTCGATGAGATCTACTACCGCGCCCAGCGCACGCACCCGTCTGAGGACGATTACTTCCCTGCGTTCCAGTTCGGCAAGGCGCGCATACATGGACGACCGCAGAACACGGTTAGTGTATGCACCTCCTTTCCCTCCAACCACCCACCAGACCCGTGATGATGAATCACTTGGCTGACCACCATTTCTCCTTTTTGCGCCTCAGTCCTTTGGTACTCGCGAGATCCGTATCAATGATGCGGATGCCAATCTGCTCGTTTTCTTCCAAGATATCAGGGCTGCGCCGCAGGCAAGCAACTCCAACATTGTCCGAGGGCCAGTAGAAAGAAAGGTCAAGAGACGGTAGCGTCTGCCCTCTCTATAACTCCAAACATCGATTCGCTGTCGCACGGATCATTCTCTCCCTTGATGACACTCGAGTCTACTTTCCAAAGCGTCCATCACCACCACCGCCATCACCACTTATTCGACATACATATAGCTCGGCATTCAACTCCGTCTTGCGAGGGAGCGCGTGTCTCGTCCCTTTCTGACATTGCGACTATCCTCATTACGACGTGTAGCCAGCCATCCACGTGGCCATGCACATTCACAAAGTCATGGGGCTACTCGACAGTTTCCTCCGTCGGCACGGGGGGGGCTTGCATTTCCATTTTACATATCAGAGAGAACAGGTTTCATCCTACTTCTGTGGCCTCTGTCTGTTGTAAACACTCTTGTTGTAGATTATAGAGAAGAGACTTCAAATGTTATACCACCACCACTTGTAATCGCTTGAATCTCTCTCGTTTGCTTTGCACACCGAAGTGATTGTTCCCGACTCTTGTCCGAAACCTCGCTTCCACTAACTTCGCTTCTTTTGCCCTTCCAACTGAAGACATTCACATCCTTGAGCCTTTGGCCCTTGACTTTTCTTGGGTCTTAAGTATCTCCTTTTTCACACTCTTCCGACTCGCCGTGGCACTCAAGGCGATCGAAACAGGCCACAGAAGCAACGAGCTAAGTCAGCGAGGCACAGATCCGGAGCTGGAACGGCTTCGATCTTCCATCGCCGCCATTTGCCCGCGAGAGCTTGTCATATCTTACGCCGAGGCTGCAGGCAAAAGCCGCAGGTCGAACCCGCGAAAAGGCGGAGCTTGTTGTTCGCAGCAGCTGCTCCGATCAAGATGCTCATACAACAACAGGCACTCGTCACGGCAATCAGTGTCGACGATGCACTAGCAGACTTGAGAGCGCTCAAGAGCCAGTCAACATCCTCATCGTCGGCGAAAGTGACCAAGAATCCAGACGCGACAGATGATGGCCACAGCACAGAGGGCTTATTGGCTCTCGGACGGAAGCTGCTGGCATCCAACTCCAGCTCCATTGCAGGCCCAAGTGCTGGTGCGTTGACCATCACAGATTTGGCATCCTTCGATGCAGCGCTCGATACGCTCTTCCCAGCGCCTAGCCGCCGTTCTCAAGGCGAGCGAGAGGAAGTAACGGCGCCGGCAACGATGGCAAAAGCAAACACAGCTGCAGTCGAAGCGGCCAGGTACTATATTCAGATCTGCAGCGACTGTCTGCGCTTCGACGGGTCTACTCTTCTGCCCGGCTCTAGCCGTAGCCAGAAGGTCTCAGACACTGCCTTTTCGCGGCCAGACATTGATCCGAGAGAGCCTTCGCACATTGATCGGATGTACAAGCAAGTAGCGGAGATGCAGAGCCGCACGGACGAAGCGGTTGCACAGCTTAAGACGGCTATTGAGAGATTGGAGGCGCTGAGCAAGCGGTAGCATAGAGCCCCCATGCCGCGCTTGTCTGAACAAATACCGGCAACACGGTAGCAGATCGAATGACGCTAAGGACGAGGCTGGCTGTTCGTCGCTCAGCAGAACGAGGACAGGCCGCTGCAGCGGTCTTTCCATGACGCGTTGAGGACAATTGAATACCTGGACTCGGCGACAGGGCATCACACAACATACACTAGAGCTCAGTCTGGACCGCTTCTGCAGCGACAGTTTAGCCACTACATTCACGGTGGGCCTTGCAAATGATTACCAGTAAGAATGCAGTGTTCAGCAATTGGAACCGTGAGTATTCTGTATCCTATCCTTCGCATTGAAAGTTCCCCGAGTGTCTTCAAGTCTTGCCGATCATCTCAACCTCCAAGGCGTCAATGCTCATGCCGGACCATTCGCGGCGTCACTGCGCTCGGACGAGGTCTGTTATTGTTCCAATCGTTGCCCTGGACCCTGGGCAAACATGACATTTCATTTCAAACGGATCCGGCCCTTGACGGGATCACCTAGTGCCGGCGGCGAGCAAGCTTCATGCGCCATTTCCAGCACAGCGTGTATTGAGTTCGCTGCCAGGTTCTCAAGGCTCCTCGATCAACAAACTGAACATCTGCGGGCCTGATTGTCATGGTAAGCTTAAAGCTCGTGTGTGAGGAGTGTAAGTGACACGAAGCATGGCGACTCGCAACAGACGTACAAGGGCTTATCCCACGACTACCTAATAACAAGCTATGTTGCTCTTTGTGTCGATATGGGGGGGGTCATGCCTACTCGAGGATTTAGTGGCAACTGGGGTGGGTTTAAGTTTTCAACAAAAGGTCCCATTTGTTTTCGGGTTAGTTTTCGTGTTTGACCTGTAAAAAAACCAAGGAACTATCACCGCAGTGCCGTGTTCTACCCAGTCTCTGGCCTGCAGGGGCGCGTCGAGGGGCCGCAGGGGTTCCGGTGCGTGAACACATTCAGCACGCTGACTGCGTGAGGTCCACATTCGATTCGGATTCGATTTGGTGTTCTAGTTTCCTGCGCTTGGCTTCATCTCCATCTTCATCACCTACCCGTGCAAGTAGTCCCCAAGCCCTCCTGTTCTGTTCAGGAAACGGACGTCGGCACCTTGCCAGATACGAGCCAAATCTTTGAACCTGAGTGCAAAGTCTCGCATCATCCTGAGCCACCTCTTCGCGGCTTCGCCACAACAAAGACAGTTCACATATTCACACGCTTTTGAGCAACTCCTCCGGCGCGGACCATTCTTAGCGTTCAGCCATGCGCTTCGAAACCACATTTGTGGCCGGTGTGGCAGCGCTGGCCGCAGCCACTCTCGCCTTCCCGGGTGACCTTTTATCCAGCGGGTGCCGGCATGACAGCGTGCACATGGCCAAACGCCAACTGAACTCGAGCCCTGGCGAGGGTCAGATTACTGGACCCAGTGGTGGTGCTTCCGCTGCCAACTACAAGTGCGATCCTAACACTTGCAAACTCCCCAACTGCAACTGTGCTTCCACCAGACCGCCTGGCGGCCTTAATCCTTCGTGCGTGTTAGCTCTTGGGCTGTGAATCTCATCCTGCTGATGATCTTGCCGATGGTTGCTTTTGCTTCTGGCATACAGGGAAGTACCGCAGTTTATCACCTTCACTGCAGATGATGCCGTGCAATCGTACACGATCTCTGCACTGCAGCAATTCCTTGCTCAGCGCAAGAACCCGAACGGCTGTCCGGCGACAATGACATACTTTGTCTCGCTCAACTACACCAACTACTCGATGGTCACCGACTGGTATGTTGCTGGCAACGAAATTGCGGACCATACTATCTACCACCCGGCGCAACCTGGTGCAGATGAGGTGAGAGACTGCGTTGGCATGCTTCGTTGAGAGACGCCATCACGCGGTTGACACTGCCCCACTCCTTGGCAGATTCGTGGAAACCTCATTGCGCTGAATGCGTTGTCCGGTATCCCATTCAAGGAGATCATCGGGTTCCGTGCGCCGTACCTCAACTACACCAGGGAGACGCTCGAGACACTTGCGCAGTACAAGTTTACGTACGACTCTTCTTCCTCGTCTGCTGTTCCTGTAACGGATCCAAACACGGATGCATTCTGGCCGTACACTCTCGACAGTGAGTTATTCTGCGCCACTGCGTGCGGCGAGAGGCACGTTGGCTAAAAAAAATCGCATCATTGCAGATGGAATGGCGAATGACTGCACTGCGGTAGCAAACATTTGCAATGGCGAACCAAAATTACCGGGCTTCTGGGAGGTGAGTTGTGCAACCGGCCGCAGTTTACTCACCGTCGCTGACCACAACGACCCCTTGCTTGTGCGCAGATCCCCATGTACGGCATCTTTGACCAGCGCGGCGCGGCTGGCGCCCACTTGATGGACCCATGGCTCGACACGACGAATGCAGATGACCTGCTTAGCTGGCTGCAGAACACATTCCTGGCGCACTACAATGGCAACCGACAGCCTTTCGGTCTGTACTCGCATCCGATCCATCTAGCGACGAATTACCCTGGCCTCTCTTCGCCAACTGCCATGATCAACGCTGTCAACAGGTTCCTTGACTGGGCTACGACGAACAGCTCGATGCAGAATGTGTGGATCATCAACAATAGACAGCTCATTTCTTGGATGAAGAATCCTGTTCCTGCCTCGCAGCTCAATACTCTTGACGAGTTCAAGTGTCAGACACCTGTGGTCAACGCGAAGATCTGCAACGGCATGATGCCGAATGAGGCCGGTCTCTTGCAGCACTGCATCAGCGACACACCCGGTGACGCTCTCAATAACTCGTGAGTCGCCCTTCTCCAAGTCGCTACTACCATCCCGAATACTGTGTATGCACGTACTGATCTCCCTGCCCCTCAGTCCATTCTACACCTGCTATGGTTGCCCGGTCACTACGCCTTCCCCACAGCAGCCGAACCCGCCGCAGAAGAACGCAGATGGCAGCAACCGAACGCGCATTGGTTCTAATTGCGACACTCCCTGGTGGGACCCGATCGCTGGCAAATGCCTGTGCAGTGACAGCAGCTGCGCTTTCACCGACGGTACGCGCCCGATTGGACCCAACGGCGCGAACCTGACCAGCTCTGCGACGACCAACAGCGATGGCAGCGACAGCAACGGCGCGCCCGTTGATCCGTACAAGAGCTTCAATGCCGCTGTTGGCGGATTCCTGCGCAGCCCCGAGGCAATGGTGTGCGCCGCGCTCGCTGCTATTACCGGTGGCGCTGTGGCTTTGCTCTGAGAGCATCGCTCCTCGGGAGCCGTCCGAACATAGCGCATAGGGAGGCGATGGGCGTTAAAAGCTGAGGAGTCGAGCACGCTTTCTTGAAGCACTCCTCTCAGATGAGGCTCCCCTCCTACTGTTGGGCACCCCTTCCATCGTACCGTTTGTGGCGGCCAGTAGCCTGGGAACTGCATCCATAGCTTAAGAGCCCCTTACGCTTCAGCCCCCTTTTGTATTGCACTATCGGCTTCTTGCGACTTCGCATGGCATGGACTTTTCACTTTCCACCCGCAAGACACCCCTCGAGCGCAGAGGAGTGCGTCAATAATGCGATGTACATATGCTACAGAGAAGCAAGATTGACAGGGTTGCTCTACGTAGACTACTAGCTGGGATTTGCTGATGGATAAAGCATCTATGGGAGCGCCTTCGAAAACGTAGTGATGTGCGTCTCGCGATCGGGAGTAGCCACCAGTGGTGCAAACTCCTTCCAGTATTTTTGAGCTGTTTGCGAGTCCACGTGTACCTGCCGCAGTGGGTGATGCGCTCGTAGAGGCTGTGGCATGAGGAATGGCAGGTGGTATTCGAGACCTGAAAAGTGGCGGCGGCGGCAGCGGATGGTATGCTGCAGAAATGAGTATAGCAGCCTTTCAGCCTCCAGCTCAGCGCTATCGCCATAACCACCAAGACTGCTTGTTTTGCCCGTGACCTAGCTCTTGTTCTTGTTTATCTGACCCCTCCTTGCGTCCATTTATGCGCTCTTGCATCTGGCCATGCTGCTGCTGTTTCGCAAGGAAACCGCTGGTAGGCTGGACCTTTTGGAATTCCTGCTCTCTCTCCTTGTTCAGCTGCAGGTCCAGTTCCCGTTGTCGCTTCTTCTCGGCCTGTCGTGCTTCGTCGCGTTCTACGCCCTTGTACATGACCTGAAAATAAGCAGAGAGATGTTGAAGGAAAAGGTGAATGGGGTTCGTTCAGTGCCTGTGAAACAACAAAGGTCAAAAAATGAATCGCTTGGAAGCCGCACCGCTCTCTCTGCATCTTGCATGTAATGCACGCCCCATACTGTGAGACCGGACAGAACCGCTGAGGCTGCGAGTGTTACCTTGGCTGCCCGCGACATTTGTGCGTCGATCTGCTTGCAACTGCAAGGCCGCCGAGATTCAGATCAGTGTCGGGCCGCCCTCGGGGCCTGCCGTTGATGCTGGCTCTAGCAGAGACGCACACCTTGATCCGATCTCGGAAGGACCTGGTCGTGGAGAGGTATCGATCAGCGCCTGTTGTGTGCACAAGGGCTGATAATTGAGATGATCGATGAGAGCCAAGAAATGGAAGATGTGCTGCTTCCATACATCTTTCAGGCACCACATGTGCACCAGCTGACTAGATCGTTGATTCAAGTGCAATGGAAACAAGGCCAGACCAACGCGCTGTAGTCATGTAACCCTATTCACAATCCGGTGCTAGGTCGTCCGCTCGTCGGATGTGATGAAGATGCTCCGTTGTTCACGTGAAGCTCACGTCTGTTTCAGATGGTCGAGATCCAGAGGTAGCGCGGCCACCATGCCTTTGGAGAGACATGTACAGAGCTGCGTGCACCCGCATTGCACGGAGACGAGTAAGGGAGGTTCGCCATGTATCGGTGCCCACCTGTCGCAAGAAGGTCAAAATGTCGTGGGAACCACATCGAAGCTCGATCATTGTTGGCACGGCGTCGTAGGGAATAAGGAGCAAGCAGCAATCTAGGCGTGGCTTGCAAGGGCCCAGGGTCCACACTGGACTGACTTGAAGAGCGACTTGGCCACTTAGGCCGTCATGGCACACAAGCAAGGGATCTCTCCCGCCGTGGACCGCTCCTCGTCCTCCGCGTCCGCATCCTCTGTTGCTTCGGATGCCTTTCAGCTAGCCAAGCAAGCATTACGCGACAATCCCTTCGAAGGCGAGCCATTCACACAAGCCTTTTCACCAGCCTTGCCATCCCACTCTCCTCTGCACCCTTTTTCGCAATCACAATCGCATCACACTCATCAACATGCACAGCAGCAATACTTTCCTTCTGGTTTATCGCCATTCCAACAGGCAGGCTACGCTCACGCTCCTCCGCACCCCAGCCATGGAGGTTATCAATTTGGAAATCATGCGCGTGGAATGCCCACGTCACTTTCTGCTTCCGGTGCAAATCAATCCTCTGGGCCATCTGATGGCGGCTTCCAAGGACCTTTGACACACTCGTCCTATATTCCAACCGAGCTTCCTACAGCCGCCTATCGCTTACAAGCTCCAGGAGCACATTCGCTGTCTTCTGCGCAACCGCAGCAGGGGAACGAAGGGAACTTGCCGAGCACTTCGCCGGGTCACGCTCCTGCTGCTGGGCCACAACCGAGTATCTATCTTGTTGGTTCAACATCGGCTGTTGCTACGGCTGCAGCGCAGCATTCGCTCCCTGCTACAGCAGACTGGCCGACGAAATCTGTTAGCTACAGTACCATTTCTACAGGGGTCACTGCCGTAAGGTCCAAGTCAGACACTATGAGCAGGGAGACGATCGCTGCACCGGGAAGTGCGGCCAGTGGTCCGACTGATACAGGCGCGGACGCTGGTTCCAGCACAGGTGCAGGCGGTGCAGTTGTGGAGACAACCGCTCAGAAGCGCAAGCGAGCGCGTCAGTTCAAGTACCTCACGGATTCCCCGGCTTCAGGCGGCGCACACGACGGCAATGGCGCTGGTGGCAAGAGCGCCGATGGCGCCGATGGCGAGGATGGAGAGACGCCGACAAGCCGCAAGAAGGTGAAGAGGGCGTGTGTCTTTTGCCAACGAAGTCATATGCCGTGCGAAGTGGCGAGACCATGTGCACGCTGGTGAGCAATATTTTCTCTCGATGCATTCTTGGAGATCATCGCCTTCCTCGTGTGATTGCTTGAGCGCTGACATACATGCGAAATTATTTGTGTTTATTTATGAAAGCACAAAGCGCGGCATAGCGCACATGTGCAAAGACAAGCCGACGATGGAATCGCCAGGTACAAGCAAAGTGCAGCAGCGGTCAAAACCAAAGCCATGTGGGCACGGAGCCCAAAGCGATATCGAATGCTCAGTAGGCAGAGCACGGCCCCCCGGACGCGCAGGAGGAGGAGCTCATCCTTCATCAGACCCTGACGAGCAAAATATATCGTCTTCTAACTCACGAAACGAGCGTAGCTCTTCCTCCACGTCCCAAGCACGTGGAACCCATGGCAGAAGTCCAGATATGAGACGATCGGGACCCTCCACCAGAACGAACGAGGAGGTGGAGATGCTGGAAAATCTCGAGCAGGAGGACTATCGGCTCAAGCTACCCATATCGCTGTTGCTTTCCAAAGATCATTCCATACCGACCAGCACGAGGCGTGGGACGCCTGCTGGATCGCAAGAGAGGCAGCGGCAACTGCAGGGCAAACAACCTATCGCAAATAAGGATGGAGATGCTGCTGTTGATGGCGATGATGTAGACGTCAACGGCGGTGCGCATGGGGAGCCCGACTCAGAATCAAGGGGAAAAGGTGCAGGAGCATCTCGACTTTTGGACGAACTTATGGATGACAGAGATAAAGAGGAGCTGGAGCGGTTGTTGGAAGGTGGAAACAAGGTCTTCGATCTCAAGTGAGTGCATTCACGCTTAGCCCCACCATTCGTCTTCGCCGGCTGACATTCGCCGCTGCTGCTTTTCTGTGGGGCTTCGTCTGGTGCTGTAGGGATACATTCGCAGACAAGCCGACTGGCTTGCTGTCTGCTTCACTCGGCGTGTCTGAAGAGAACACTCTGGCGACGATGATACCCTGGAGGCACACGCCTGCGCAACAGAGCAACGCGGCGGCGACAGTAATAACCAGACGAGATGCGCAGAATGAAAGCTTAGTGACGAGCCGACCCTCGTCGGAGAATGGCTCTGACAGCCCGGAGCGAGGCACAGGCAACATCTTCCTCCGCGAGGAAGAGCTCACGGCCGCCGCTCTGCGCGGCATCCCGTCGTACAACTATACCTGGGGCTACGCCAAGCTTGCACACTGGATGAACACGCGGTTCTCGCGCGAGTCTTGCGCCAACATTGACCGGGCGCTCGGCATGGTGCGTCTCAAGTTCCTGCAGATCTCGCGACAGCTCTCGCAAAAGCAGCTGCTCGACATTGAGGAAGAGATCTACAGCTCGATTGAGCACTACAAAACGCACGTCTTCGAGCAAGTTCCGTTCGCCATGCTCCTTCTACGCCGGACAGGGGAGATTTACGGGGCAAATAGCAAAGCGAGCACGTGGCTGCAGTTACCCAAGAGCCTGTTTAGCAATGGACAGCTGTTCCACTTTCAATTGGTCAAGGAGCAAGACATAGTGACTGTCACAGATGTGAGTCTTTGCATCCAAGCTTGGTTGCACGCCTGAAGGCGAGTAATGTGAAGTATCCCCTGCTGACAATTTTGAACTCTTCCTCCATCGCAGAAATATGCCGAGGAGTGCCTCAAGCTGTTCCGGGAAGACCGCGAGGAGCCCGAGTGGGGCCCCAGCCTAACGCACACCATGGAAATCGACCGATCGCTATTGCTCCACGACAAACCAGCGCTCGACCCGCGCAGCGGCAAGCTGCTGGAAGGGGCATCAGAGACGCTCCAAGATGGATCGCCATCCGTCTTGCGACTGCGAGCGCAGCTGACGCTACAGGCGCGGATCAGCCAGCACGGGCTTCCGCTGGTCATCTGCCTGTATCTATGCCCTGCTTCATAAGCTTCATACTTTGGATCCTTGAGCACCATTCGGCGTGCCATGGGAGCTGCAAAAGCACCAAGCGGGGCCATGCAATGCGACTGAGTGCAATGAATGTGTAACGTCAAGATGTCATAGTGTCATATGCGTACAACAGCCACCCAAACATGGGTAACTGTGGAGTAGGGGGAGCGCGCGCCTGGTCAAGAATGAGCATTCTACGCGTCCGTTGAGACGACAACAGGCTTCTTGCCGCCCCGGACCGTCCTGGCGCGAGGCTGCTTGCGGCTACCAGGTCGTTGCGAGCGAAGGATGGCGGAAGCGCGAGCGACAGTGTCTAAAAGTAACAAGCCCGAGTGATCAGCCTCTCCTCGTACGATTCTCTGCGCTTGCGAACACGCATCATACTACTGGACTCACCCTTGACAAGGTCGGACCTGTAGCCGCGCTTGCCGACAACGTTAGAGACCTTGCCGGCGGCACGGCGCGAGCCACCGACGATGATGTTAACGTTGCGGGTACCCTTGACAGCGTTCGAGGCAATCTTGCTCTTCTTGGTAGTGAGAACGATGCCGCGGCCGGAAGGGGCAGCCTCGACGCCGACAGCCTGTTGTGGCAGAAGCAGAAGAAAAAGCAGACAAGGGATATTTCTCAGTTGGCGATCCTATTCCTTCCCCTGAAGGCGTATCCGAAGTGCATGAAAGCGTATGCTTTGCCCACTATGCTTTGCCCACTTCAATCCTGTCTATCCTCTAATACGCTACCCTCTCTCCCCTTTCTATTTCCCTTCAACGGGAATAGACATGATCCCACTTCCTGCCAACCCGTCTGTTGGCTGAAGAATCAAGGAGGCCGCCTCCTTTGTCGCTTATCGCCTATATGCCTCTCCTTGAAACTTCGTTCTTTCCATCATTCGATCCTTGCCTCAGCGATAGCGCATCACGAATGGCCTAGCTCCGCCCTGGCCAGGGCGCCAAAACGGACGAGGGGAACGCACCTTGTCGTTGATCAGACCCGAGTACTTGTACGAGTGAATCGCAGCAATGTTACCAGGCTCGCGCGAGAATACGCGGGGCAGGCCGTGCTGCTTGACGAGGAAGGAGTTCTGCTGCCTGAGCAGGAGCCACTGGAGGTCTTGGGTCGACATGATGGCCGGTAGGAATGGGATTGATACGAGCTTCGGTCGGATAGCTGTTGATGGTGAACATGTATGGCCTTTACTAGCGCGAACGACCTTCCTTGCTTTTCATCAGAGATGATAGATGCTGAGAGGATTCTTCCAAGCGAAGGTTGTTGCTGCGGCAAGTGGGAGGGCGGAACGCTCTTGTGGCACAACCCAACACCATGTAATCTCTTTCCTGTGGTGGGATGCGAGTGTGTTTTTGTCGGCCGACATCTTTTACGTCCAGGCGACAGCACATCTGTAGGCTGAGCAAGCAAGCTTCGCCGTTTCCTCTGCTATATAACCCTCTCAGCAAAAGCTCATCGGAGAGAGGGCAGTCAGCCACAAGCATATCGGCTTGAGTGAAGTCTCTAGAGTATGTCCCAGGCGGGAGGGATAGAGGAACTGGCCGCGAAGGCTTAATAGCGGACCTTTAATTAAGGGTACAGGAGATGCGCTGCATACGGAAGCCTTAGCAGCACCTGAGCTGTGAGCAGCAAGTGTTTACAGCATATTTATTGATCGTCGTTACAAAAGGGTGTGTCCAGGCTACATCCAGAATTCTTGACTCGTGTGACGCGTGTTGCGGACCCGAAAGCCGCATCGAGAGCGGTGCAAATGACCACATGGGGACAGGGAAGATCACATCGTGTCGAGCGCCTCGTTCGCAAGCCACTTTTCGAACATGTCCGCCGCCGCCTCTGGCTGGTCGTACGGCACCATGTGGCCGGCCTTGGCGACCTTGAGGAAGGCGAGGTTGCCGAATGTCTTGCTACTGGAGGAAGAGCCAGTGGCGGTGCGCACGAAGCCAGCGTTCTTACCGTTGACGAGCCACTCGGCCTCGGGTGCGGCGGCGAACTCGGAAGCGTAAGACGTGTCGAGCGCCTGGACCCACTGGTAGTTGCCAATCCAGTTGCACATCCTATATGCATGACGAGCGCAAAGAAGTGTCAGTGCACGCGCACCCTTCGGATCACGGACATGCGTTCACTACGCACGCGTCGGTCTCTCCAGCGTAGATAAGCACACGGATGTCATCCTCGATGAGGGGGATGAGCAGGCTCGCCGCGTCATGCATTGAGTCGCCGTGAAGGAGGAATGCTTGGTTGACCTGCATGTTGCAGCTCTGGAAGTCGACCTTGCTGGGCACGCCCAGCTGCTTCTTGATCTCGGGCTTGTTCATCAGCGTCTGGATGTACTCCATCTGCTTGTAGCATAGCGGCCCGTCCTTGGACGGGTCGCGGTCGCACGAGCGGCGCACGTCGTACAGGTTCAGCCCAGACTGCTGCATCGGGCTGTACATGCCACTCCAGCAGTACAGTGCGGCTGGGGTGCACGTGAACGAGTTGTTGTATTTGTAGCAGCTCTCGATCAGGCTGCGGCACGTTTTGGCCTTGCTCGTCATCGCGACGCATTGGCTGCTCTCCGGGTCGAACATACGGTACTCGTTGTCCTTGCCGCACGCAAAGTCCACCACCGACGGGAACTGGATCGCCGGCGCGGAGAGGCCGTTGCCGATCAGGACCGAGGTGAGGTTGATGTGCTGCGGCGCGACGGCGTGCTTGGTAGCCTTGTGCGCGGACGCCGATGCCGCGACGGAACGCAGCGCCTGGTTCTGCTTCCAGATATAGTTGCTGAAGTTAGGCAGGTACATGCCTCCGTACGACTCGGCAGCCATGTGGAACGGCAGTGAGGCGTACTTGGGGAACTTTTGCATGAACAGCTGCAGGAACGCGTAGATGTCCACCGCCGCCGCTGGCGTGTTGTTGATCGTGCCCTCCTCCGAGTAGCTGTAGCCGACGCCGGAGGCCTGAGAGAATGCATCGATTGTCAGCAGTGGGCATAAACCGGCTTCACTCGTGCGCGCACGCATGAGCTCACGGGCTGGTCAAGGAAGATCATGTTTGCCTTGTTGGTCCAGCTGTGCGGGTTGTTCTTGGTCGAGCGCTCATCGGCTATTGAACAGGGGCCAAGCTCGAAGAGCAGACCGGTACTGTGGAGAGACAGAATGAGGGCCCACATGTCAGTACAGAGCCTTGGACGGAATTCTGAGCGTGGCAACTCACGAGGACGAGCAGCCGGGTCCGCCGTTGAGCCAGAGGACGAGAGGGTCCTTCTTTGGGTTGTTGCGCGACTCGAAGAAGATGAACCACAGGTGCTTGGTCTCGGAGATGTCGAGGTACCCGGAGACCGAGTAGACATCTGGGTCGCAGAAGGAAGCCTTGGAGGCGATGGACTCGCGCATATGCGAGGGGACGCCACGGAGGCCCGGCTGGGAGGTGATACGCAGGGCGTAGTCGGGGAAGAAGGGGTGGACGAGCTTGTCGTACTCGATGCCGTCGACGAGCACCTTACCTCTGTGGAGGAAGCTGTTGGCCTTGTCCTCGAGGAGCTTGAACCCATCGCTGAGCAGGTCATGCATCGATTCGAGCATGCCGGCGGCGTCCTCCTCGACCTCGGCGAGCTTGGTGATGAAGGCATGCTCCATCTCCTTGACCCTCAGCCCGGAAAAGTCGGGGCGACCGAGCGACGGCAACTCGTCCATGGCCTGCTGAAGTCCGTCGCTGGTGGCGTCCCAAACCATGTTACCGAGCGCATTGTAGCGGATCTCCTCGGCGGGGACGGCAGGGGAGGCGATGATGACAGACTGGAGGGCAGCGGCGCAGATGAGCGTGGCGGAGACGGTGGAGAGGTAGGAGGAGCGCATCGTGGCGAGATGTCTAGCGGGCTAATTGCCGCCTCGTTTGGAGATATATATTTATGTGTGTGAGAGAGAGAGGAGGGTAGGAGGATTGAAGGCACGCTTCCATGTGTAAGAAGGTGTACCGCAGATAACGTTGCTGTACCGACCCTTTATGTGTGCTGGCTGGCGGAGCTAGGCACTCCATACGGTGGTTGCCCGCAAGCAGTCAGTCAGTGTGGGTTAGGGCGGGGTACGCATCGCATCTCATCGTTTGACGGACATCAGGAGTGACGCACCCTGTGGCCTCTGGCGCCCGCACCCAAACAGGGGGAGTCAGGCGGAATGCCAATCCTCCCTTGCTCCCCTTTCTTGTCATCGGCCCTCTCGGCGCCGAGTTATCCCTTCCCACCGCGTCCCGGGGCCCCACCCCATGCAACCAATGCCATCCATTGCATGCCCTGAGCCGCATGCACGCGTTCCGTCCATCTATACGCCACTCACATCAGCTCACATCTACATATGCGTACCTCGGGCGAACCTCTTGTCGGGCGCCTGCAATTGGCATCGACTCCTTCCTTGAAGCACCTCCCTGACTTACAACAGCTTTGTCACGCAGCTCGCAACACCACCAAAAATGCACGGCGCAAACCGCGCGTTGCACCTCGCTGTGGCCTGCCGTACTTCGAGCGGTATCCACCTGACCCTCGCCAAGGCGTATCTCTCGCACGGTATGCACGTCGTCATGGGAGAGAACGACGAGGTGCGCCTGTCTGCCGCGCTGCTCACCGTCCTGCACGCCAATACTAGGGTAGGCCGGTCGACGAGCACTGGCGCCCGGGAGCACATCCTCAACATCAACGTCCCGGGCGTCGTCAACGTGTGGCACGGCCGTCGTGCCTGAGAGGGAGCTCCGGCCCCAGCAGCTCGCCGTTGCGCGCGCGCTCGTACTGAGCGACCCGCAGCAAGCAGGGCATCATCACAACCTCTGGATCAGGGACGGCATAGAAACGTCTCCAAAGCGCCCGGCAAGGTGTACACGGAGAACCTCGCGCACGAGCTGCGCCCAGAACAAGGACGGCATGGTCGACACCAAGCTGCTCGTACCATGGTGAGTCTTCACTGCATGTGCGCCGAGTCAGATGCCAGGAGAAACACAAATCTTCCCGTTTTGCACGGAATCACGCCTGCAAATGAGGATCTACTCGACTTGCAGAGTTGGAGCAGAGAGCGGCAAGCCCAAGCCCGACGGCGCATTGACGCCCAAGCAGACGGTCGAATGCTTGCTCAAGAAGGCGTCATAGAGCTCCTTTTACGTCATTTATTTGGCCAACGAGACGACCGAGCGGCACGATATGAGGGATCGTGCAACCCATCGCAAGGCCCGGCCGACAATCCTCATCCCTCCATTCGTCCTGGCCCATTTACTCTTCCTTTTTGAGTGGGACATGCACAGCTGGCACGAATGGAGCGGTCCATGACGGACCTGTTACAAGTCCGGCCGCTTTCGCGCTGGCAACTAGACTTTACGCACCAAGTACGGTGAGTTCCAGGTATGATTGCACGATCTTCTTTCTGCGCCGACGCCGCGGGAATAACACTGGCGCCGTTCCCCGCTGAACCCCGCGGTATTTGATGGATGAATTACGGCTTCGAATTGGCTTCTCCAGATCAAACTGGAGCTGCACTTCGGTGTAGGCATGGGGAACTCGAAGCTAACCAACATGAGAAATGTCTTTTCGCAAGGCGGCGGCGACTCTGGGGAGCAGGATCGACTGTCCTGAGCAAAGACATGGGTACACTTGCGGTGTCTTTATTCTTGACATGGCCGAGGAGCTGTGGTTTCAGAGCGGATATAATCAAGATGAGCCATGATGGTCCGCCCTTGAGTCGAACGCAGTAACTAAATGAGGCACATAACCCTTTTTCAGCTCAAAGTTGCACCTGAATCCAAATGGAGACTCTGTGAAAGTTGATCAATGCAGCCTATAGGCCCCCGCCATGGCAGCAATGAGCGTCCACGTTCCAACGTAGTGGGAATGTCGGCAAGGCGGTGAAGCCAAAAATCAGGGTTGCTGTGGTGGGCACCGTGAGCAGGCGCCGAAAGTTGGAGCGGAACGGGGCCCAAGCCTTTTCCAAAGTACCGTCAAAGCCTCACCACGCAAAACCTATCCGGTGTGGCAGCCAACCGCGGAAGCTGATGTGTTAGTTGTACGTGACGTGACCTGTAAGCCCGACTCTTGAACGGGGCTTTGCAAGAACATGTACAACGTGGAATTCTTGGCAGGAGCTCTCATGCGAAGATGCACATGGAAGCATGAACGCATGATGCTCTGTGGACGGCGGTTCATCCATCCATTTGCGGAGAGTTGCGAACGCCTTGCGACAGGTTGCAGCAGGGGGCAACTCTGGACTTGCGCATATGATAATTACATACGCACAAAGCACCCTGATACAGATCATGCGCGAAGAGTCACTGTGTGCAAGCATATGTATAACCTCGGCATTCGGCGTTTGGGGGGGGTGGCCCGTGAGGCGGACACGGTGAGATACTAGAGAACCTATACACGTTTCTTTGATAGTACATGCATCAGCGCGGCCTACCGCGGCCCTATGGCACATGACTACTAAGTACACGACTTCATGTTTCATACCTCATGGGTTAAGCAAGTGGCGGCTGTATTGCGCCGACAACCAGCATTTAGCCCTCTCCATCCCAGGGCACTTTTGTCGCACAAGGCGAGGAGAGGATGGGAACTGGAGCCATGGTGAGAGAGTGATGAGATGATAGATAGATAAGGCCCTGAGACATGTCAGAGACACGAGCGAAGAATTTGAATGGGGGTGTTTGTGGCTGTGACTCGCTTCCACACTTTCTTTTTTATGACATATGTACATAGATACATACATGGTCAACACATTTTTGACTTTGGCCGCAACCGTATAGATAGATATGTGTGCGTACCACTTTGGACTTCGGTCTCTCCGTCCACAACTAACATTGCGAGGTTTTCTAACGCACAGGCGAAAGCCTGTCAGCCGGACAGGTGCCACGCATGGCAGGCGACACCGAACCTATGACAATGCACTTGGGAGAAGCGGCCGGCACGATGATGAGGTTGAAGGCATGCGTCCTGCTAGGTTGGAGCAGAAGATGCGCGCCAGATTCGTCGCCTTTTGACAACTTGATCCTGGCTTCTCTGTCTGTGGCCCAGCTCTTTGGCACCCTTTCCGTGCCGAACATGCTGCTGTGCTGTTAGTATTGTGCTGTCAAGTGTGCATGTTGTGTGTGCATCGCGACCTTTGCCATGTCAAGCCCTAGGAGCGGAACAAGAGAGAGCGCGCGCAATCTCAAGCCAAACATGTGCTTGAGTGACTGGGCGACTAGCGCAAAGAGAGTGGGGCCCTGGCGCATAGGAAGACTGGGCGGCGGCATCGCATCCATTTTTTTATTTTCTCACCAGCTGGCAGGGCAGGCCAGGACAAGGCAGGACAGTCGTGCAGTGCCAACACCACCAAGCAAGGCCCAACGGCCACTCTCCTCTCCTTCCAAGCCCACCCGCCCACTGGCACCAGGCGCAGACTGGCATATAGAGCCTGTGTGCACTATGTAGTGGGTTGCAGCAGACCCGTCACCGCCCCATCATGTATATTGTGCATCCATTACATACCTTGCTAGACCTCCGGGCAGCCCACGTACGCAGCACCCATCAACACCCTCCACCACCAAGTCCAAGTCCAACGGAAAGCTGCTCCGCACCCACCAGGCGCCGCGGTCGTTGGTGTAGGTTGGTTGGTTGAACAGCGTGCTGTTACAGGGAAAAGAGAGAAAGCGACACGCTCCCGCCGCCCTCAACCGCACAGGCTTACTCACGTGCGCTTTCCACCCATCCTCTGCGCCGCCCATTCTTGATCAGAGCCGCGCTCGCGCCGCAGCCTCTTCATCCCCTCGCGACCGGCTGCGCAACGTCATCAGCAGCACACCTACACGCATACACACACTGGACTCGACTGGCTGACGACAGAGGGCCGCGCGCGTACCGTCCCGAGGTCAGTCAGGCCCCTCTCTCCTGGCCTACGACTCCAACCGTCCCCTTGCAAGGAAAGCCCTTTCTTCCTCCTTTACCACCGACCCAAAAGAGTCACGCCTGCGGGCCTCGACGTTGCAAAAAGGAGCGAAAGGTCCTGCGTCCTGTGCGAAATCTGCGCTACAATTGCCCCCGCCGCCTGGTTGATCAGCATTGGTCTCATTGCGACAACGCGCGCGCGTGTGTGTGTGTGCTCTACGCTTTCCGTTGCCGATCACCACGCATACATACACTCGGTGCCGCAATCTGTCAGGCAGCACTCACGGTCCGTCGTCAGTGGCACAGACACGCTTCCATCCATTCCCCTTGTGTCGCAAGCACCTATAGGGGAGACATTCTCCTGGCCTTGCCGTGTCTTTCCACATTGGACTGACCCGCCCAGCTATTCATCCCCCATCTACATCGCTCGTCGTACAGTGTACGCATAGGCCAGCGGCAAGTAAGACAACCATGACAGGAGCAACGAGCGTCCTACCATCTCAGGCAGTGCCCAGCATTGGCGGCGCAGGCGCTGCCATCCAGGCATCCTCGTCGCAGTTCCACCCTTCATCCTCGTCCTCCACCGCCTCTCCCTCCACCGCCTCTCCCTCCACCGCCTCTCCCTCCACCGCTGCCATGTTCGACTTGCAGCAGCAGCAGCATCCCAAAGGTAAGGCAGCCGTCGGCGGGCAGTCACATGCGCACCGGCCCGTTTCGGCCATGCCCGCCCCGCGCACCGGCGGCCCGAGCCCGAGCCAGGGCCAGGGAGACAGCCCGCAGCCAGCAGCCAACCGCGCCATCCCCGCCGCCGCCGCCGCCGCGGGCGGCACAGCTGCCGCAGCTTTCGCCAACATTGTCAATAGCCAACCGTACACGGACCGCCGCAACTCGGCGCACCCGGTCCTTATTAACGCCCCCTCTTCGCGGCCGCCAGGTGCGGCTGCGGGCGCCGGCACCTCGACGGCCATCGCCGCCGCCGCCGCCTCGGGCGGGATCGACGCGCAGACGGCGCAGGCCATCCTCTCGCACGGCATCCCCATCACGTCGCCCGCGGCGATGCAGTACTTTGCCGCGCACCCGCGCCGGCAGCAGGTGCATTTTGGCAACTACCTCCTCCTCCAGACTCTCGGCGAAGGCGAGTTTGGGAAGGTTAAGCTCGGCGTGCACAAGGAGTGGGGCGAGGAGGTTGCCGTCAAACTCATCAAGCGGGACCGCGTCGCCAGCAGCGGCAGCCCGGAAGCCGGCGGCGGTGGCAAGGACCCCAGCAAGATGAGTAAGGTTGAGAGGGAGATCCAGGTGCTCAAGGTGCGCGTGCTTTGCCCCTTGGCTTATGGTTTAACGCCTGCTGCAGCTCTTTTCTGACCGCCTCCATTTTCCATCCCCGCTTCTTCTACCGCTGCAGGAGGTGAGGCACCCAAACATTGTCCGCCTGTATGAAGTCATCGAGTCAGACAGATACATCGGCATCGTGCTCGAATACGCCTCAGGTGAGCGCCGCCTTGCCTTGCTCGCGAAGGATTGGCGGGCTGCGACTGACCTACGAAATGGAATCGCTGCTCTTGACAGGTGGCGAGCTGTTCGACCATATCCTGGCCCACAAGTACCTACGCGAGAAGGATGCGTGCCGGCTGTTTGCGCAGCTGATCAGCGGCGTGCACTACCTACACCAAAAGCAGATCATCCACCGCGACCTCAAGCTGGAGAACCTGCTGCTAGACCGCAATCGCAACGTGATCATCACCGATTTTGGCTTTGCGAACAACTTTGGCGACAAGCGCAACGATCTCATGGCCACCAGCTGCGGCAGCCCCTGCTACGCCGCGCCGGAGCTTGTCGTGCAGGACGGCCTATACGCCGGCTCCGCCGTCGATGTGTGGTCATGCGGCGTGATCCTGTACGCGATGCTTGCCGGCTATCTCCCTTTCGACGATGATCCAGCTAACCCAGATGGAGACAACATCAACCTTCTGTACAAGTATATCATGGCCACGCCCCTCAGCTTCCCAGACTACATCACTGCCGAGCCGCGCAGCCTGCTCAGCAGGATGCTCGTCCCCGACCCACTCAAGCGCGCAGACCTGCAACAGGTCATGCGCCACAGCTGGCTCGCGGCGTACAGGGACTTGTTCACTTTCAGCGTTGACGACCTTGAGCGTGCCGCCATCGAACAACAGGCCAAGAAGCGCCAGGTGTACAGGCAGCAGATGATGCTCCAACACCAAATCCAGGAACAGCAGCAGCAACAGCGCGACGCCGCCAAACACGCCTTGCAGCGCGGCGACAGCGTGCGCGAGGTCTCCTCGTCTGATGCGACAGCGAGCCCGAGGGCGCAGCGTCACCAGAGCGCCATGCCCTCCACCATGGCACCACCCAGCACGACCATCGCGGTGCCTGGCGCCGCGGATGCAACGCCGACAACCCCGTGCATCTCCTCGGCTGGCGGCACCAGTCGCTCAGGCGCGCCACCTGAGGCAGCAGCAGCTGCCACGGCGGCTGCGCGCGGCGGCCGCGCGTACGATCCTGTCACTGCGCAAGGCGATGCGCGCGGCGAGCCGCGCTCGCGCATCAGCCTTGAGGGCGATCATGCCGCGCTCTCACCCTCGACCTCAGCCACGAGCGCAACTGCGACCGCGACATCGACATCGACCCCGCGCAAGTCCGCTGTCGCCTCTGCCCAGCGCGAGAGGGAGCCCCAGCAGCAGCGCAAGCCCGCGGCGCAGAAAACGCAGCGGCACACGATCCAGCTCGAGTATACCGGCGGAGACCAAGCGCAGCAGCAGAAGCGCAAGAAGGAGCATGCACAGCCTGCCCCACCCTCGCCTGCAGCCGATACAATCGCGAAAAAGATCGGCCAGTCACCGGCCACGACGGGCGCATCCCCTACCAAGTCTCTCTCGACGCCTTCTGCATCTGGTTTCGCGCCCATCCTGCCCGCTTCCGCTGCTGCGCATGTCGCCGCGTCCCCCGTTGCCGTGCCCGGTACCGAAAGCACTGCCGACTGGACCGTCGCAAGCACAGGACCCGTCAGCGTGCTCGGCGCAGATATCAACGTCCCATCGCCTATCCAGGAGCAGCAGTCATCGCCCCTCCCGCAGACTGCGACGTCGACGTCGACATCGGCGGCGGCGGTGACACCCAAGCCGACCGCTTCGGCAGAACAGCTCAGCCAGGCTAACACAACGCCCGCGCCGATTTCAGATGCGCTCGCCACGACCAGAGTACCATGCCTCGACGCCGCAGCCAACAGTAACAACAACAACAACAATGAGCGGCGCGGCAGTCGCATCGTGTCCGACAGCAATGCACGGCACGCTTCCAAAGTCTCACTCGCTTCGCGCACCAACATCGGCGCTGGTGGACCGCCGCACGCAGCTTCGACCGGCGCGGCGACAGATAGCAGCAGCGACAAGATCAGCGCGCGCCATCGCAAAGGCCTGTCGCGCGACAACTCGTTCTTCTCGCGCTTGCTCAGCGGCTCGCATGGGCAGAACGGACTCGCGGCGCCGCCCTCGTCGACGTCGATTTCGATAGAGCCGTCCGCCAGCGACGACGGGCGTGGTGGTGCTCGCGTCGTCTCGAACGCCAGCACGACCGGATCGGGCAAGTCCTCTTCGTCCTACGCTCGCAGGAAGGCGATGAGTCTCGTCGTCTCTAGGTTTGGCGACGCCAACAACTCGCCCGCGAACAAGGACCGGGAATTGGCCACCAATGGCACCATCGCTGACGATGCGAAGAGCGAGCGGCGTTTCACCGGAAGGCTGCGCGCCAAGGACACGAACTCTGACTCGCAGCGCGTGCCGCTCACACTCACCGTGTCGAACAGCGGAAGCGCATTCAGACAGAGCGTCATCCCTCGCCCGCGTCAACGTCAACCGCAGGTGCATCAAGACGAGGACCTCGACGAAGGCGCAACGACGATGGGCTCGACGAACGCTGCGAAGAAGGTGATGGATTGGTTCAGGAAAAAGTCGCTCGCCAAGGGCACGTTCGATGAACAGCCGCCGCTTGGCCCATTCGAGCGACTTGATCAGTCAGGCGGTGCGCCGCGTGTCGTCGTCACTGCATCCGGGCCATCAGTCAACGGGTCAGCAGCCGCAGCCGCGCCCGTGCCGACACCCGCCCGCTCAGCACAGAACGAATCGTCTGGTCCTTCCAGTCGCTCAACGTCCGGCACGCACAGCTACCTGAGCCACGACACACACACGACGGCAGACAGCCAGTCCACCGGTGTCACAAATGCGACGACTGTGACGAACGCCTCGACGACGCAGCCTCGAACCGCCAACAAGTCGGCGCTCCCGGCTGTCGAGGATTCGAACGATACACCGCGGGTATCGGCAACTGGCGTCGACGGTCTCGGGCTACCGCAGCAGCAGCTATCGTCAACCGTGCCATTCGACGACACCATCTTGCGGCAGCACGTCGGCGCGGTCGACCAGACCGCACTGACGTCCTTGCCGCCGCCGGATATTCTTGCGCGCGTGCGCGAGGCGTTGACCAGCATGGGCATTGACTTCCGTCTTGCCTCTGGCGAAGACTTCAAGCTGGAGTGCCTGCGTCAGAAGCGTACGGCCAAGGCTCTGCAGGGGATCGGGTCCAGCATCCGCACCTCTGTCTTCCCGCCTTCTCAGGCCGAGATCGAGCGCTCCAGCAAGCCGCCATCGTCGCCCATGTCACCGAGTATGTCGAGCGCCGGGAGCATTCGTAACTTCTTGCGGCGTGGCAGCAGCCAGCAGTCTGGCATCATGCAAACCCCATCTGTCGGTGCCGGGAGCGGCTTCATCAACGGCAACAGCAGTAATACCAATAGCTTGCCGACGCTGTACGGAGAGGCGAGCGTCGATGGTGGGCAAGAGGTGCGCTTCTCGGTTGAGATCACGAAGATCAAGAATCTGCCGGGTCTGTACAGCTTGGACATCCGACGCATGCGCGGTAATGTCTGGGCGTACAAGTTTTGCTACACGGCTCTCCTGCAGCGTTGCAACCTCAGCGGGCAAGGAATCGCTCTTTGAAAAGGCAGCAGGCCCTTGGTTCGTCCTCCTCTGAGTACCCAGCCATCTACCTGCTGTGGAGCTTTTCTCCATTTCACCACATTGTCCTCCCTTTAATCGGTTCCCTACTTCACAACACATACATAAACACGGCGCTCCGAATCCACCGCAGATCAAAAGGCATACAAGCACACCCACAAATCAAGAATCAAAGACGAAGATTATCGTAGTCGCTCCTCAGGCATCATTGATACCCTACCCGTTCAATGAACATCGATCGTCCGTTCCGCGTCCTATCAAGCCAGGACGTGCGCTCCATCTCTCGATCCTCCTTTCAATCATCCCTGTCCACCAAGCAGCACCTTCATCAGAATCGACTCTTGTTCTCATAAAGTGTACTTTCAATCACATTTACACTCTCAGACTGCGTCTCTGACTGCATATGCGAGTGTTCGCTTTTACAATTGCGTTGCAACGAACAAAGGCGTGTATTGGGCAAGGCAGGGCAGGGAACAAGTGATGGCTCGATCTACAAGCTTTTGCGGCATTACGTGCGCATATACTCCCGGATGACGAAGAAGGGAAGGCGCAGATCAGTCCGTGTAATAACTGGACGCGGCGCGACGTGAGGCCGCGTGTCTACTGGTATTGCGGCCCAAGGAACGTCCTGAATTGCGAGAGCACGACTTCGACCACTGTGTGATCGGGCATGCAGGGGAGCAAAACGCAACGCGAGTCAGAGGGTTGCAGTGTACCACCAAAGGGTTTCCTCGTCCTTCCTTGCTCGTCAAACTCACCAAGTAGCAAAACACCTCCACCAGGTGCGAGCCTGAGCACCTTGGGCGTGAAGCCCTTGTAGAGCGCGCCGAAGCCCTCTTCGCGCGCAATGAGCGCTATGCTCGGGAAAGTCCAGTTGTACTTGGGCACCTGCCCTGCGACCTTGGGCGTGTTTTGGATGCGCGACTTGACGACGTCTGCGGGCGTGTTGAGCGCGGTGCCGACAAAGCCGCCGATGGAGCCGCTGATGAAGTTGTTGCGTAGCTCTTCGGCCTTGCCCTGCATACGAAAGGGAGGGGATACATATTGTGAGTGAGCAGGGGGATGTGCAAACAAAGTGTGGATTGCTATGGATGCTGCTGGTGCGCGTGCCCTTGCTCACATTCGGCTTGGAGAGAAGTGCCTTGACTTGGAAGATGCAGCCAAAGTAGCCTCCATTCCAAAGTACATGGCGCCAGAACTGCGCGGCAAAGGGGCGATTTGCAAGCATGGTCAGCGGCGTCGATAAGGGCTGCATTGCGCCTGCTTCTCCAATGGCTCACCGTAGACTCCATACCCGCATAGAGACCAAGCAACCCGTCCGCCTTGATGATTTTTCCAACGACATCCATGGGCCCCTTGTAAAGATGCGCCTGCGCACGATCTTGTAAGCGGATCTTGACTAGCTCAAAGGGGACGACGACAACAGATTCGGTCGCACCGGCGGAGCAGCCAGTGAGCACCGAGAGAGACTGTGTCATCTCGTTGACGCCGAACTGCTTGCGGTAGAAAGCGCCCCAGCTGCCATTCGCAGCAAACTTGACGGCTCGTTTAGGTGCTGTATAGAAAATCACCAGATAACAAGCATCAGTCAGCCGAACTTCCTCGCAAGGACAGCTGGAAACGCTCAGAGAAGACAAAACGAACCCTCGAGCATCAGAGGCGGCACGAGACCTCTGTAGAGTCGACTGGGTCCTTCTGACTTGATGATCTTTCGGAAGGCATCCATCATGTTTGCATAGTGGTCTTGCCCGGGGACGGGCGCCTTGGTCTGCAGCTGCATACGCGTCTTGACGACGTCGAGCGGATAAAGACATAGCAGCTCGGTCACGCCTGCGATCGCTCCGGCTGTGAATTGCGCGTAGAACGGCAGGGCTGCAGGGTGTGTTTGCACACACATGGGAACGAAATAAATGATATCAGATGGCAGATTCTTCCGACAGGACTTGGGCGACAAGCAGCCTCTCCTTCCCTTCCTCGTTGCGGTTGGGACTCACGCTTCGGCTTCGAAGCACTCGGTGCTGCCGACATGGTGGGAAGTTGAGGGACAGACCGTCGTCGATGGGATATAGTGGCACAGTAGATACCGGGATGAATCCAAGAGGGATCACCTGCAGCTGCAGACGCGCGCCGGGTCTATGTGTGCTTGTGGACCGCACACCGCAGAGGATGAAGTCCAGGGAATGCGATTGGATGGGCTGGGGGCTGGTCGGGCGTGGCGTTGGTCCGTGAGGGTTAGTACTTTATACCAGGACCGGCGACAGTTGAAACATGGAGTTGTCTCTGCTCTTCCTTAGTGCGAGTCACCACCCGTAATGAGAAGACCTCAAAAAGATCGTCGCGTGATTCCCCCGATTCCCCACCGCGCGGCTGTCAACTTCCCAGGACGCAATTGCACCGAAGTGCATGTCAACCGATTCGACGACAAATCTTGTCCTGGCACCACGATTTTGTAATAATTCGGTGGGCTTAGGGTGTCCAAAGAATCCTACACCGCAGGCGGCAGCCACAAATCTTGTCCATGATGACCGCCTTTGTTGGGAAACCCGTCCGCTGTACCTGCCCTTGCCAGTTGCGTGCCCAAAACCCTTGGCAGAACCGTTGTGCAGTATACCATCCTAACTCTTGTGTATGCTATGGCATATCCCCCCTCCCCCACGTGTCCACTGCCCATCACTTTTTGGCGAATCCCTCTACATATGCTTGCGGCTTGTCCGCCACTTGGCGAATTGCCCTAAATGCCTAATCTCTATGTCATACTACATGTTAAGACGTACACTCCTGATAACTCTTGTGCTGGACTAGCGTATGTACGCGTCGACGGACCGCTCACAGCGGACGGGTGTGTCGGCTACTTTGGGGCACGTCACCCATCAAGCGTTAAGACTCAGGCGGTGCTGGCGCAGGCGTGAGTCCAGCGCGCTGCATTAGCTCGGCAAGCGAGAGCGACTCGGCTTGCGCCACGGCGCCGCCTGATCGCGCATCTTCGTCACCGCTGCCGTAGCGAACTTCACGCGCCAAGGCGCGAGCTCGCGCCAGCGCAACCGCTTCGAGTATCTCGCTCCTGTTGGCTACGGCATTGGCATCGGCGCCAGCTTCTGTACCTGCGTCCGCTTCCGATGCGATCGGTGACAGACCCGCTGGTCTATTGTATGGCGATGACGACGTTAGTGGGGAAGAAATTGAAGGAGTTGGCGGGGAGGAAGCGGCCGAAGAAGTCAAAGTCGGACGGCCGCTGAGAATATCGTCGAGTCGTAGCGCTTCGGCGCCTTCGATCCACCCGTTTCGCAGCGCCAGCCGCAAGAGAAGCGCCACAGCCGCCTGCAGCTGCTCTGTCTCTGGATGTACTTTTGTGCTGGTCAGGGTGTAGGGTTCAACGGATCGAGCGCTGGTATGTATGCTTGAGTCGCACACACCGTCTTGCCCTTCCTGTGAGCCTTCCGCTTGCAGTTGCGACAGTTGCTCGCCTTCGTCTCCGTCCGCAGACGCTCGTCGCCTCGATGCTTCTGCCTCAATCTCTTCCCAAGCCGGCATCAGCGAGTCTCTTTCTCCACCTCCGCCACCTGCGCGTACGACACCACGCTCCTCCAGCCTCTCCACCAGAACCTTGACACACTCTGCAAGAACATCGACCTTCTCCTCCGTCTCGTCCCGCTGCTTCCTGCGTTTCCTCGAACCGCGGTAGTTCTCCGCGATGATCAGCAGCGCAGCGACGGCGAAGAGGAAGAACTCGCTGAAGGCCTGCGCGCCCTTTTCCAGCGCTTTCGCGTCGTTCAGCGGCCGTATTGCGCGCGATGGGGCGAATGCGGATGACGAGAAAATGCGCCAGCGCGGCGCACTTTGCTTTTCGTGGTAATGAGAGGACGAGGAATGCGATGATTTGTCTTTAGAAGCGTCGGAGCCCTCCTCCTTGACGACAGTCCCGTCTTTATCCAGCTCTTTATGTGATTGGTCTGTGGCTTTTTCCTTTTCCTTGTCTTTACTAGACGCCTGAAGCTGCTCTTGTACATTCTTGTTGGAAGCATGCGGCGCCAACAAATTGAGGCGCATCGTCATCTCTGTGCGATGTATATACTGCGCTAGCGCGATGCACACCTGCGAGACCGGAACGATGCACGGTCAGTTGTTGCCAGCGTGAGTGATAATCCGATGCGTGGGGCCATGACGGCACCACCGGAAAACACGCACCTGCCGGAATCGCTCATGCTGGTGCGCCTGTTGCTTGATGCTCGCCGCGATCGGCTTGCTGAGCGTCTTAATGACGAGCGAGGCGATCTTGGTCGCAGCCATGATGACGCAGCGCAGCGTAGCGCACGAGAGCCAGTGCCGCCCCGTAAAGTTATATCCAGACCTTGCGAGCACTTCGGTCCGCCAAACGTCTTTGGTGCTGCTGACACGAGACGAGCAGAGGTGCGTCTGCGGTCTTGTGAGAGGGAGTCAGGTTCTTGATTGTCATCCTAACGAGTTGCACCTTTACCTGGCGAGAGGCGACTGCGGAGCGGCAATCGCACACAAGATCAGCATGATCGACGGGCGCTGCGGGGACTGGAAATGTGCTCATCTCTCGGCCGAGAATCCGATGTATGGTACATGCCCTTGTGTTCCTCGGACTTGAACGCATCTAGCCAGTGTCCCTGCCTCGGTAAAATGCCTCTGCACTTCTTGGTATTGATCTATTGACCACCCACGCTCGCAACAGTGCAACAAATGATGTATACATACCGATCGCCTGTTGCTTTGCCCCCCCCCTCCCAAGGCAGATGCCTTCATTATCTCCTCTTCCGTCTGCCCGTCTTCTTGTTTCCCACAATCCTTGCCCTCGTCTCCCTCCTCGCCTGCCCTGCTTCCTTCATCATGCCGCCCAACGCTGCGTCCCGCGCGCTTACAGCTCTAGCTGCAGTAGCAGCAAGCTCTCTCCTTCTCCTCGTCACAGCCCAACCCACGCAGACGGTCGTCACGCTCCCTCACGATGCACTCACCTTCTTTTCAAAACGTGCGGCGGGCCCGTACAGCCCCAACCCTGTCGCATTCGACCTTGTGGCAAGAGCCGAGGCCAGCCTCTTGCAGCGCCAGCAGCAGGACCCAAACACGCCACTGTACCTCAACTCTCGTGAGTGATTCCGTCTTGAATTCCCAATCGTGGGCGACGCGTGTAACGGAAAGTGATTTCTGATGTTCTTGCATTGCCCTCCGAAATCTGTCTCCTGCAGCCGCGTGTGATTTCTACCAATGCAGCGTCAATGTCACATGTGCGTGCATCGGGGTAGCATCCTCCGCTGACTAGCGTTCGCTTACCATCTTACGCGCGTCTTGGCAGGGGGAGACACCATGGTTGCCAACTGGCTCAATGCACCTGCGGGAGACGTCATTATTGACCTGAGTACGTGCTTCCGCCAGTCAATATCCATCTTTCTATCTAAAGCTCCCACTGATTTCAGCAACCCTCGCTAAAACGCATGTAGTGACGAATGCCTCTTCTGCGGTCGCATACAACGTTGCCACCGTTCCTGGCACCTCGCAAAAAGGATATTGCGACGCTGGCTTCGGCATTGGTGTCGATGTAGAGGGCACCACCTGCGGTCGTTTTGAGTGGATCATTCCGTCCACCTGGGCAGCGGGTAACTACACTCTCCGTGCAATGTCGAAGGACCAGCCGGACATCCAATCCTACACGGACGTCATCCTCATCTTTAACAACCTCACGCGCACCAACAGGGACGCAGCATTCAGCACCGTAACCATCTCCGGCGCACCAACGTCCACGACCACTGTCGGCAGCAACTTTGCATCGACCCCTCAGCCGACCGCTCTACTCTCGCCCGGCGGCTCGCTGCCGGCCAGCACGCAGGCGCTATCTGCGTCGTACACCGCCTCTTCGGCCGGCGCTAGCAACGCCAGTTCCAGCGCCGCACGCTCCAAGAACAGCGCGACGCCTGCGCTTGGATACGGCTTTCACACCCTTGCCACGGGCATCGCGGCTGCCTTTGTCACTGGCTTCTTCACTCTTCTCGCTTGATGGCTCTTGCGCCGAACATCTCTGTTGTCGTCAAGCCCGCTCATCCAGGGCCTACTTAGCATCTTTCTTTCATCGCCGATTTCACTACATACCCATGCACATCTACACGGACAATTCCCTACTACATCAACACGTTCCTTTACACCTCACAACGCCATCCGCAAATGTAGCACCCGGCTAGCACAAATGCAAAAAGAATGGCAATCTCGTGCTTCCCAAGGTCTGCTGGCACGAGGTATGCATGCAGCCAAATGCTGCGTGGGGCATGGAAACGAGTCGCATTCAGCGAATATTCTACAATTGTGAGCGGTGGGTGTGGTGTGTTTGGGGCAGTAATGCGAGAAGTCGCACGAACGACCCCTAGCTCGGGATCATCACAGCAGTAGATTTCTAGCGTGCGCTGTCACCACGTCACCGTCTTTGGCATGTGCTAATCCCCGAATCGCGCGGAGCGGGACGGTGATCGCGAACGAGCGCTCTGCTGAGCAGCTGTGCCTTTCGCGAGCACGCTCTTCCCGTGCCCTTCCGGAAATCCTTTGTCGCGCGAAGCGGAACCGGCCTGCCGAGCAGATCCTTTGAACTTCCTCTCTCGCGGCCAGTCAGAGTTCGCGGACGCGCTCCTTTGCCCCTCAATGGACGACCCTGACCTTGTCGTTTTGCGCGGCCCTGCATCGTACGAAGATGAACCCCACTGAGCGGGTGCTCGCTGCTGCTGCGATGGCCTTTCTAGGCCGGCCCTTCCCTCCCGCAGTTTCCTATCTCTCTTCGCGTCAAGCTTGGTCCTCCATGAGGCGACAGTCGTGGGCTCTCGTATTTCGCGCTTCGGCATCACCGGTGAGTGGAACTTGGCTGTATGTGCGTCGTCAGTGGCGATTTTGACGTTTTCCGCCTTGGAAGTGGCGAGTGCCGCAAGCCGTGTCGCGCGAGCGAGGCGCATGGCGTCTAGGATGAACACAATCGCCTTCTCCGTGCGCCCTTTGATCTCCAGCACCTGTGGACGGTAGCAGAAGGCCAGCGGGAAGCGGAACGAGAGCCAGAGGTATAGGCTAATGCATCGATGCAGTGACTCGAGGGTCATTAGCGTGTCGACGTGCACCAGCCGTTTTGCTCCCTCGGACATGGCTGCTGGTTGGCCCGGCGCTGCGGGTGGATCGGATGAAGTAAACACAAAGTGCGCGGCCGATAGATCCTGCGCCTTCGCAGCGGGGGGTCGTTTTGATGCTGCTTCGCTATCCAGCTTCGTTTTCACTTCTCCATCCTCAGATGCGTCCTCCGAAGGGCTCAGTGCTGCGCTTTGCTCTGCGATCGCCCTCTCCCTCGCTTCTTCTGCTTTAGTATGCATAACATCAATCTCATCCAACGTCTCGAGCATTCCCAGGTGCTGCGCTGCCTTTTCGAACCTAACCAGTTCGCCAAGCACGTACAAGCGCACCAGATTCTCCATCATCTCCATGACCCGGTCGTCACGCGTGGATACGGGAGCGTTTGCAAATGTCTCACGCTCAACCATCGTCAGCAGACCTCCGTCGCGCCCATCGGAGGTGCCGGTGCCGCTGGTGCTCCTTGCGCCGGTGCTTGCCGCTTTATCTGCGCACGTTGCACTGCTTGCACCTTCGCCTTCGACCTCGCTCTGATCCTTCCCATCCGAGTCCGACTTTTGCTTGTTATCAGACTTGCTGGTGCTAGTGAAGATAGCGGAGGCGCGCTCAACGATGGGCGAAATGGTCAACTGACCTTCAAAGTCGGCAAGGAAGTAAGTGGACGAATCGACCTTGCTGAGCACCGCAACGTCGTTGTATAGAGCTGCAAGTGGTCTTGATCCCGCCACTCCTTGTTGTCTAATAGCGTCTGTGCCGGACTCAGATGCCTGAGTATCGGGGTTTGCAGATGCTTTGCTGAGCTGAGAGAGGCGCAAAAGCGCTTCAGATGTAGGTTGGATCGCGGCTTGATCAACGGGTACGATAGGCGCGTCGATCGCTTGCTGTAAGACCTCAAGGTCGTCGACGTGCAAGGTGGTGGCGGAACCTCCTGTTTCGCTCGGGTCGCTGCTCGTGCCGTAGCGACCTGCCCGACCGGCGATCTGTTTGATTTGGGAGCAAGAGAGCCAGACGAACTCAGTACCGTTCCATTTCGCCAGCGTCTCAAAGATGACACGTTTGATTTTCCTGCAGGAGGGGCGGAATTGTAGGCAAGGCAATGTGAGAATTTGGGAAGCAAGTCAATTTGACTCCACTCTGGCCCAATACTCACAGATTCAGACCCATGCCAATAGCATCGCTGGCGACCATGACGTCGAATCCACTGTCGGGATCGTTAAACAGCTTTGCCTGCTCGCTCCTCGTCTCCGGGGGCAGTCCGCCGTAGGCGACTGCACATCTCAGCTTGGTCTTAGCTTCGATCTCACTCTTGAGGTCAAATATCTTGCTCCTTGAAAATGTGACAATGCAATCGCCCTTTTGGATCTGGCTCAGATCGCCTTTCAAGCTGCTGCGCTCGATGACAAGCGGTGTGAGACGCTCGTACTTGTGCACATGCACCACATCGCCACACGCTTCGGCCATCTTGCGGATCAGCGGCTCGACACTTGCTTCCCCGCACAGGTGGAGTTCCTTGGCTGGGAGGCCGAGAACTGCACTTGTCCACGCGTGCCCTCGCCCGCTATCGCCGATCATCTGGATCTCGTCAATGACAGCGACATCGCACGCCGTCTCTAGTGAACACATCTCCACGGTGCAGGAAGTGAGTCCGGCGAAAGGATCAACGAGGCGCACCTCCTCGCCTGTGACGAGATTACAGGCGCGTGGTGGCACACCAGGAGACACAGTCCCTTTGTTGATTCGGTCCCACACTTCGTGTGCGAGCAAGCGCAGCGGACCTGCGAAGACGCCTGTGCGAGCTTTACAGAGCGCCAGCAGCGCGCCATGTGTCTTTCCAGAATTGGTGGGCCCGACGTGCAGGTGAATCTGCCGGACCAGCGTGCGTGCCAGTGTGTATTGTTGCGCCGGCTTGCTCATGTCGACGGTCCCTCGCACCCGCGCCAAATGAGCGCAAACGGAACGGAAGCGAATGGTCTCGCTCGGAGTGAGAACATTACTACCTTCATTCACCAGGCTTTCCATGCGTTTCTGCACGTCGTCGAGAAAATGCGCTATCAGATATCGTCGAGCGGCAGACTTTCCTTCGTTCTTGATCGCAACGGCCATCCCTTTGATATCCCAGGACTCGAGACCCAGAAGCAATGATTGTATCGAAGGATCTTGCTTATCAGTGCGCCGCCGAACCATCAAACGGTGCTGTAAAGCGACTTCTATCGTGTTCGTCTGCTGTCTGGCCCACTCGTCTACGAGCGCGTGAATCGGGCTTTCGATCTTGAGTAAGCCTTGCCTTTCTATGTCGATGCGCACAGCCCCGTGGCGCCCCCGAATTTTCTTGTCACCACCTGAATACTCGGGGTCAACGCGGAGTAGAACCTCCGCGATATCGTCGGTCAGCCCGTAGGAGCGCAAACACTGGTGCGTGCCCTTTCGATGTGCCAGTTCTTGGATCCAATCCCCCAATTCTTTGCACATGTCTGGTAGGAGCGGTGTTGGCGGTGGCCGAAATTTAGGTTGCATTCTGGGCCGCATGGGAGAAGCGCCCTTTCGCCAAAGCTTGCGTTTCTGCGCCTGAGGACCCTGCAACAACACCGGGGTGGCGTCATCCGCAAGAGAGTGCACCCAATCTGGTAGCTTTTGGTGAGCGGCAGGTACAGATGTATGGAAAGCGCGCTGGCAAACGCATTGCCAGGAGCGTGAGCTTGTCGAGGTGGCACTGATGGCGAGAGACGTGGGGAGAGTGGCCAATCCGCGTGAGTTCCTCCATTGCCGTTGCAGGTGGTGGAGGGAGCGAGTGACGTCGTGCTGTGAAATGATGGTGAGAAGAGGGAACCCCTTGGTGCCCACCGTGGCGAACATGGTGAGATGTTTCATCAACGGATACCAACCCCGGTGTGTGTATTCGTTGTTGCCAAAAGGCTGGGTTCGAAACTAGCGGACTCTGGTTTCCCGTCGGTACGCCTCTTCGCCTTTCGATCGAGGTGCCGAAGCAATCTCGCTCGCTCGCTCGCCTTCCTGCCTGCTTGTAGGCACCGTGAGATCCTCCTGTATTTAGGCCGTGCGAGTTCGAGTCAGTGCTCCGATGTCAAAGGTGGTTGTACCACTGCTATTCACTCTTAAATGTTCGCAAGACCACAAATATTACCGCTTGAAGACGACAAGACTCGATTGAAAATGTGTTCTCACCAGAGGGCGGAGAAGGCAAATTCGGTGCAACCAATTTTGAAGGAATACGGATTTTGCGGGGTTCGGGTTTCGGAGTACGGAATACACGGGTTGGCCTTACTATGTTGTTTCATCGGAACTCGGAGCTCTCACTCCGCGACCCCAGCTCTCCTTTGGTGTGTCTCGTGGAATGCAATTGCGGCCAGGTGCATCTCTGGCTCGCACTCTCAATTTCACATTCCTGGCCAAAGGATATTTGCTCATTTCAGTCATCATCGCAGTTTCTCGACAGGCCTTGCCTCGCCTCGCAATGCCTCACCACTGCATCACTAACTCCGACATGGGAGTGTTCTTGCGAAGTTACGAGTGCCGACAAGCGCCCGATCTGCGTCAACCGCCCAGAATGAGCAGGAACGAGAATCTGCAGAAGTGTTACAAACAGAGATGTGTTGCTACCGCCGGCTTAAGGTTGCTGTCAAAACGTGCCAGCGGCCCGGTACATACCTCGTTCTCTTGTGGTGATATCTTGTAACCATGTGACAGGCCGCACACGGTACAGCTGGGTATGCGACCCTGGATCGTCCGGCAGCAAGCCAATCCCAACGCTCGGCCGCCACACCCTCATACACATTCCCCCCCAGGTTGCCCTACCTCCCCGCTTTCGGTCCAGCCTGGATCAGCTCGGTACTAATCATGCGAATGTCCGAGTGGAGTGTCGATGCTGTGTCTACCGTCTGATACCTTGCATCTCGCACTACATTCACACATCCACGGAGCTTACTCGAACCTCATGCCACATCACCACGTCGCGCATCAGTGCATACTGCACCAGTCATCTAGAGTCATGTGATCACAATGTCATCGGTCATCACTCTCTCGCGCTGGGGCGCTCGCATTCTCGGGCTGATCACGTTGCGATGCCATGTGACTGCACCGCAGGCTGTAGGCCCTTGCAGCGCCGCAGCATGCCGCAGGGTGTGTCCCGAACCGACGGGGGACCGCTGCCGACGCAACAGAGTCTGACGGGGTAAGGCAAGTACCCAGCATGCTTATTCTAGCGGGCCCTCTAGCATGCTCAACGCCTCTGAAACATGCTCAAGGCTTCAAGCGCTCCCAGTGGCACTCAGCTGCAAACGCAGAGCGCTCAAATTTCAAAGTCTCAAACAACAAATGGAGTGGTTGTTTTGATGAGTCCGATCAGAATTTTCACTCCACAGTTCCGGTCAACAACCTTGCACTCGTCCGCAGCCGAACCAACCAGTAGCTTCACAAATCGCGCTGCCTAAAGACTTCTGCGCATTTCAACGCTGAGCGCTCCGCCAGGAAGCGCTGGCTTGCAACCGTTCTTGACGCTTTGACAGTCCCACGGTACAGTCAGTGGACACTGACGTGTCCACTGACTCTCTGTAGACCGCACTTGGCCGTACCTTGACCTGCGTATGCCGCTGTTGCTGACTGCTCTCACGCATGTGAATATCTGGATCGTCAGCTTCCCTATGTTGTCCCTGCTGAAGCCACCAGTCCTAATACAAGCCTGAAGTGTACTGGCAAGGTGTTTGTGCGCTCCCGCATGGTCCCAGGCTCAATAGTTTGCAGGCCTCAGTGCAAGCCTTTGCAATTGCCCGCCTCATTCGTATGTGGGCTGTATTCTTCGTGACTTCGTCAAACTTGAACGTTTACACGAGCCCCTGTAGCCCTTGTATAAAGAGTATGAGCCTTCCAAGAGACGTCAAAGTCCTCTCAGACTATTCTTCACCCGTCGTCCAATTCCTGTGCTCTGTCTTCATTCGGACTGCTTCGCAGGGCTACCCTTCCGGTCCTCGCGCCTACACGCTCATTTAACAACACCTCTCTGTGCTCGCCCTGGACCTCACCACGAAAATGCAGTTCGCTCGCCTCATTCGCACGTTTTCCCTCATGAGTTTTGTGCTCGCTCTCTCCGCCGCCGCCGTCGCTGTGGAACAGGGCCAAGTACCAGTCGCCGGTGTCAACGACGATGTCATCCCGACCGAAACCACGATCTCGGGCTTCATTTCGCGCTCTGAGCGTTCCTTCATCCCTGGCGAAGTCTCTCTGGACAAGGTGCTCGTCTCCCCCAACCAGCATCGCATCCACATCAACGCTGCAAAGCGCGACGACTCGCTTCTCGAATTCTTCCAAGATCCGGCTAGGTCTCACTCATCCAAGTACTCCAACAAGCCCGCGCAGCGCAAGACGCAGGAACCCAGCAATCGGTCCGAGAAGCGCTGCAATGGTGAAAAGTGCGATGCCGAGTCCAAGCGCCACTGCGCGTCGGGCAAGTGCCACGATGAATCTAAGCACCACTGCAAGTCAGGAAAGTGCCATGAAGAGCCCAAGCACCCTTGCAAGACGGGCAAGTGCGACGAGGCACAGAAGAAGGGCGCTGCCAATCCCAGGACCTCCAGCAGCACTCGGCCAACGAAGCGCTGCGACGACGGCAAGTGCGGGGACAAAACCAAGCGCCACTGCAAGTCTGGCCGTTGCGATCCTACCGCCGAGACCTACCAGCGTCCAGTCAGCTCCCAGCCGCCGAAGGCATCGAGCGTTTCCGGCAAGGCCCCCTCCATCCCAACTGTCCCTTCCCCTCAAGAGGCTCTTGCCAACTTGGGAAAGCGCTTGACCATCAATCCTAACCAGGGCCTCAGCCTCAGCATCGGAGACTCTAGCCTGACGCCGGCGCAGAAGCGTTTCATCAACAGCCTTCCTGGCGCTGCCGAGCTGACCAGCGCTGAGCAGGTCATCAGCAAGAGACGCCTGTTCGATGATCTCCCAGGCGTCAACCCCTCGGGTGGTAGCAGCGCCGCCGATGCCAATGCACCTTCACAGTCTGCAGATGCTACCACCTCGCCCGCTCCATCAGCCACCACATCTTCCACCAAGCCAGCCAATGCCAGTCCCCAGGCGCAGAAGAAGAAACACACCGCGCATAAGAAGGCACAGCAGCCCAAGATGCAGAAGAAGCCGGTCGTCACCAAGCAGGCCAACTGAGACTGCTCGTTTATCCACGTGTATCAGTAGCCCTTGACGGCGCCGCTCTCCCATCCTATACACCCTCGATTCCGGTCGTACTGCATTTCGCCTTCTTCATTGCTTAGTACTGCACTGTATTCGTCCCTGTTGTTTAAAGCTTGTCATGACTCTCACGATCCTTTGAATTGCACTGTCCCTTCTCCTACGTCAGATACCTATCCTGTCTTTGCTCCTTATTTCGTCGCTGCACCTCCGTTCATGACGCCGCGAATTGCTAGACGCTCGACATGAGTACAATTACAGACGTGCGAAGATGCGGCTATGCTACAGTGGCGATGATACGCCTTGAATGGATGAAACCGAGTTCATGCAAATGCCAGCTTCCGAGCGATTCTCTTCCTCTCCATGATCTCGTCCTCTTTCAGCTGTCTCTTGGAACCGCCAGGTCCAGCACTGGCGCCATTCGCCGCACCTCGTAACCGTACAGCATCACTGCCGGCCGCCGCTTGCCTGCGCGCGTTATTCACACCCGAGTCCGACAGGAGCAGATGGTCGGCTGTCTTGTCGTTCGTGGCGGATGAGAGGGAGGACTTGATGGGCAGCATCGTGTAGTGCGTCGGCGCGGGCGCATTGCGGAAGTAGGCGTGCAGCAGCGCTTCGTCTGCTGTGATACGTGAGTGGGGGTTGAAGGTGAGGCAGCGCGAAAGTAGATCGAGCGTGTCTGCATTTGCGGCGGTGAATAGCATGCTCATGTGCTGCTTCGGGAACTTCTCTATCTGCACATAGTCTGGCAGATGTTTCATGTCCTGCAGGAAAGAAATGCAGGATAAATTGTAAGGCTGAGCGCTGAATGTTTCTGATTCAATCACTTGCGAGACACGTACTGGCCAGTCTTGATCTGTCGGTGTTCCCAGTGCTCTGCAGATTTTTGTAAGCTGCTCAAGGTCGCTTTCTCCCGGTAGATATGGCGTGCGTAGCATGAGCTCTGCGAAGATGCATCCGACGCTCCAAATATCCACGGCGCCGCTGTAACTCTTACTGCCCATCAGGAGCTCCGGTGGACGGTACCATCGCGTGATGACCTGCGAGGTCATGTGTGCGAAAGGGTCGCCAAACTCGCGCGCGAGACCGAAATCGGCAATCTTGAGCTCCCCACTAGGCGAAATGAGCAAGTTATTTGGTTTCAAATCCTGCAGAGCCAGATGAACGCGTCGATGAGCGAGCAGTTCAAGCATGGAGGGGGACGTCGCAGACCTCAGTAGGCTCACTCGGTGTAGGCACCAGGACCTGTGGCAATATTCTAGCCCTCTCAAAGTCATTGCCATCCAGCTTTTGATGTCTGCAGGCGTGAAGATCAGGCTGCGATCCTTAATCAACTCTTCGAGATTCGAGCTCAGGAATTCGAGCACGAGGTTGAGCGATGGCGTCGTGCTGCCTGACGAAAAGACATCGTACATCTGTAGCGCTGCGAGTGGTTAGATAGTGGATCTTTCGTTGATTGTATGTTCATGCTATGTTCAGCGACGTACCTGAATCACATTCGGATGCTTGAGCTCTTTTAAAAACTTGACTTCCCGGATCGCCGTCACGTCCAGTCCGTCCTTGGAGCTGAGAACTTTGATCTTCTTGATTGCGACCTTGCGACCGGTGGGAAGATGCTGCGCGAGAAAGACGGAGGCATACGTTCCTTCGCCGATTTTAGCCAGCTTGGAATAGGATGACTTGATGGCATCGTTGGCCTCCGCCGGACTCAGTGCTGCATATGCTGCCGAACCAGAGATCGAATCCGAGCCGCTCGCCTCTGTGAGGGGAGCTGGGGCTGTTAGCGCATGGTCGGACGAGGTCGAGACGGCTCCAGCGCTCATGATTGCTCGAACACTTCGAAACCCGAACTGTCCCCTGATCGGGGCATTGGATGATGCAGTCTGAGCGATCCTTTGGTAACATGCAGGACGAGACTTCAGAAGTTGAGTGCGTCTTGCCTGGTCTTGCGAGCTGCGCCTTAACCTCATGATGAATCAAATGCAGGTCACGTGCATGTCTGTGGAACTAAGAGCGTTGTTGTGCCGTGGCGCCCTCATCCTGGCTCCGGCTGAAGCGGGCCTTTCATATTCCTCGCTTTCTCGCGGCTATCTGGATGATCGCAAAGAGAGGCAGAAGTGATCACAGCCAAAGCTTGGCTACTTGACCCCTCATTCTCGCTTCCTTCTCTTTTGGTTGGCCTTACCAGCAAGGTACATATGCTTGCTTGTCTTGGAATCTGCAGCACGGTACCCCTTGCCAACTGGATCAGTCATGGAGGCCGATAGGGTGGAGCACCGCTGGAGGAGGGCGTGGTCACCCTTGCCCACTGCGGCGCAGCCTCGTCATTCGGCGAGCAGGGACGACAGCGAAACACCATGGGCGCACGCAAGCAGCTCGCGTCACACTCTTCAAAACGAGGATGATACTTTGAACAGCGAGACCCGACCGATGGATGATGCATCACGAAGTGGCCCTCCTTTTACGGACCGACGGCAACGAGCACACCGACGCGTCTATCGCATCCTCTCTGTACGCGAGGGCAAGCAGCGTGATGACGGCATCGATCGCTTATCGACAAGCGGCAGGAGTCCTCCTTTACCTGTCGTGCCCGTCTGTGAAATGAACCACCGCGCTCTGGCACCCACAGATGAGGTCGACAGGCGAGATCGACGGATGGAGAGCCGCAACGACCTTAGTTCAGACTCACTGTTAGATCCGCGACATCATCTGGCCTCAGGTGACCCGCCACCTCCAAAAGCAACCATCACAGAGTCTTTGATAAAAGACAAGACCTCGTGGTCTTATGTAGTTCGGAGCGGGCTTGCTGGTGGCATTGCAGGATGCGTCGCCAAGACTGCCGTCGCACCGCTTGACAGGGTCAAGATCCTATTCCAAGCGCAAAACCCCGAGTTTGCTAAATACTCTGGCAAGATGAGCGGCGTATTCCGGGCGGCTAACGAGATTGCTCGGAGCCAGGGCGTCATGGCGCTCTTCCAAGGTCACTCGGCCACGCTGCTCAGGATCTTCCCGTACGCTGCCATCAAGTACATGGCTTACGACAAGCTCCATTTTCACTTGATGCCGACCAAGAACGACGAGACCGGCGCGCGACTCTTTTTGGCAGGCAGTGCATCTGGCGTGCTGTCTGTGTTTGTCACGTACCCACTCGAGCTCATCCGAGTCCGGCTGGCTTTCGAGACAAAGCGTAAGCGCGAATCCGGTGGTCTTTCGCGCATCATCCGGCAGATCTACACGGAGGGCTCGACGGAGGCACCCTTTTCGGGTGACGCCAGGAAGCGGGCTGGCAGGGCGGCTGCAAGTGTGACACCAGGAGCAGGTGCAGGTGCGACAGCGGGATTAGTGGGGAGCACCGCACATCTCTCTACATCTGCTCTGCAGAGGCAGGCGGTCACTGCCGGTGCGGGTCCCAATTCTCCTGTGCCGATGCCACGGACGCCGACCGTGGCCGAGATGAAATCATACGAACTGCTCACTCGGTTTCCCATGCTCAAATTTTATCGTGGATTCAGCGTGACCGTGATGGGCATGATCCCGTACGCTGGCACGAGCTTCCTCGTCTTTGGCCGCTGCAAGACGACGCTGCAGACCCTTTTTCCACCACGTGAGGATAGCGTCGCGCACGGCGGGCGGCGGGCGTGGTGGTGGCCGAGCAAGACCACGGTGGACTTGACCGCTGGCGCGCTGGCCGGCGCCATCTCGCAGACGGCTGCGTACCCATTTGAAGTCATCAGGAGGCGGCAGCAGGTCGGCGCGACGATCAGGCCCGGCAGCCTGCTCGGCATGCGCGAGACAGCCATGTGGATCTGGAGGACTTCTGGATTCAAAGGCTTCTACGTGGGTCTCAGCATTGGATTCCTCAAGGTTGTGCCGATGACCTCGATCAGGTGAGTGTTCAGTACAGGCGCCGTTGCTACTGCACATGTCGATGGTCACTGACGTGCTGCTTACTTGATGCATTTATCTAGCTTTGCTGTCTGGATGGGCATGAAGAGACAAATGGGCATCTGAGTGACCCCGACCTGGATGACGCAGATAGACATCAAATTTTTGGAATATACGCCACGGTGACGTTTCTGCATCTGTATCTTACACTTGCCTTGCACTGCTGCACAAAGCAGAGGGTACTTCTCATAGCCGCTTCAGGCCACGTTTCGCACCACTGCCGGCACTGCTCTTTTTCTTGCCTCCCGCCGCAGTGCTCTTCGCTGGAGACGACGGTTTCCGTACGACTGCGCCAGGAGCGACGAATGCATCTGCCGTAGCGCTGTTGGCATTACCGCAGCTCGGCTGTAACGGAGCCGCTATCGCTGAAGTGGAGTCGGAGAAGGTGGATGGCGTCTGTGATTGTTGATGTTTTGCAAAGCACGGTGGAATAAAAGAGGCATGGACCTTCGTCCAAAGCGTGGCGATTCGATAGTAGTCGTCGTAGCGCTGTCAATGCAAGAGGAAGGTGAGCCTTCGGACGCTCTGTTGAAGGGCCAAGGCAGAACGACAGTCGGGGCTCACCTCGTGCATCAGCTCGGAGGCTTCTTCATTCAAGGCACTGTCTGGATTCGGGTGGATGAGCAAGCTGCAGATCACATTCAAGACGTCTGTGATCCCCCAAGAAGTCTGCCAGTCCTTCTGCAGGCTGCTGACGCAGATGGCCCCTGTGCACGATACATTTGCGTGGAAAACCTTGGTCACGAAGGATGCCAGCGGCGCTTTGGCTGGCCAGCCTTGAGTAAATTCTAGAGCCACCTCGAAGAACCCGCCTGCGAACGGTGTACCGTCTGAAAAGTGCGAAGAACTGCATTAGCTCGCCTTTGATTGAGGAGGTACGGGGAGGGTGAGAGCATGCAACTGACCTGGTCCTTTTATCCAGGCCTTGAAGTTGTAGATGTCTGTCTCGTCAACCTGAAGGCGGAACAAGTCGCTGTCTTCATTGGCAAGCTTGGTGATCTCCTTGACAAGCCGACGGTGATTCTGGCTTGAAAGCGTGGCCATTGTGATTGGTCGTCTCCTCTTCAGTTGCAAGCTAGACGTGGTCACTGGCAAAACGGGAACAGCTTGTGCCTTGCAATTGAATTGGCACTGAGTGAATGCAGATGTTGTGTGTAATGGGGACCAGCACAACTGAGCCTGGCGGTTGGAGCCAGCTGTGAGAGGCAAAATAGAGGGTGAGCTAGGCGCTTAACGAGCCATCGGACTGAGACCATAGAAATGTGTTGAACTTTAAGAGAGTGTTGAAGCCAAGGTTGAAAGCGTTGATCTACGAATCGTATGTACTGGGCTGTTAGTGTAGGCGTTGATGGGAACGCCACGCGCCATCACGCCGTAAACGCCCGCAAGCCAGAGCTAGGGTTGTCGTTCCGCCCCGTAACAAGCACAACTGCTGTTCCACCATCCTCCCGTTGCCTGGTTGGTTGAACACTCAGAGCCTCGTGAGCCAAGCCATCGTCACAGCAGACAAGACGATCAGCTCCATCTGGTTCATGACTGGTTGTCCCACAGCAGACACATTAGCTCTACTCTGTGGACTGGGACATCGGCAATTCCGAATGACATAATCTTGAACGTTTCATTCATCCCGGTGGTGCGCAGTGAAGGCACATCCTCGGTTTCAGACGAAGCCGTGGACAAAGTGCAAGGACCTGATTCGCTCGATGCAAGGCACTGCGCGACGTATGACGCTGATCCAACGCTCGGATGGATCACAATCACCCGCCTGGGCGGCGGGTGCCTGTTCGCAGAGCCAGCGCCTCGACTCTGTCCGATGGTCGCCTACTGTTGTCCACCTGGCTCATCGGCTCTGCTACCAAAGGGCTCGATGATCTCAGGGTGCAGGTCAGCGTCGACAAGGCAGACTACTTTGGCAATAGCTCGACAAGCTCAAGTACAGATCCTCTCATTCCAGTCTTTTTCCGAGAACGGGTCCTGGACGAAGAAGAGATTCTTGAAAACTTGATTGTAAGTCGCAGTGCCGGCACTCAAGACAATATCGATGCTGTAAATCTGACGCTTCCCTCATATGGCGCTAGGATGCGAGGACCGGCCATGTGTACTGGACGTCACACCGGCCTAGGAGGGGCTGGTACATGTTCCTTTCTTCGCCGGCGCTACCACTAAAAACGACCATCCGGCTGCGGCCGACACAGAGTAGTCAGAGCTCTCCAAGCACACAGCTGGTGTTATCTGTCCGCTCGCAAGTCGCAACACAATTAGCAATGGGTCTGAATGCTACCATCGAAGAAGCAGCACAATGCAGACTCGAACAGAGCCATGAGACGACTGTGCGCCAGGCAGCGCAGCAGGAAGTGCAGGCATCGGCGGCGCGGATCACCTCAGTAACTAGCCCGGATCCTGAGGCCCTTGATGCAACTCATGCCCGGACATCCTCGCGAAGTGCACATGTGATGATCCGGCAAGGTACAGAAGGGCATTCAAGGAAGCGCAGCGTTGGCGGACCTCATTCACCGAATATTGGCCTGGGAAACGTAGGCGGTAGGCAGAGGGTTCTGGCGGAGGCAAGTCTGCACGCACAGCGCGAAGGAGGGCCTTCAACATCCCGCAGCCTACCGAAGATCGACATCAGTAGGAGCCTAGGTTCGAGCAGTAATTCTGCTTTTTTGCACTCACCCCAGCCTACCAGCACAAGGTCGCAATTCGACCGACCATACTCTCCCATCGAGGAACACGTACACCTCCCCGCTCCGCCGGCCCCAGCAGCGTCCGCCGAGACAGAAGCGCCTGTGCGCGAAAGTCTGCCATGCACATTTGTCGTTGTGGATGATGTAGGAGGCGCGCCTTCCCTGCGTGGCTTTCTGGCCAAGCATCACAACGCGGCGCAAAACAGCCGAACTTTGAACCAGGAAGCGGGTGGGACTCCAAAGCAGCAGGATAAGCCATCCCATAGCCGCTTGTCATGGACTCGGTATCTCTGGACCCTCGTGCCGAGCCCCATCAGGCCCGCTTTGTCCTTTGACACGGGCAAATCTTTCCGCATTGTTTGGGTCGACGCACCGCGGCTGGGCACCGCCAGCCCAACTGCGCCCACCTGGCCTACAAATCGACAGCAGTCAGGCCCCTCTTCTGATGATGGTGGTGCCCAGATCGAAGTCCTGCGCTTCGAAGATACGAGCGGCTTTTGGTTCTGGCAACCGCACACGAGCGGGCGGCTGATCCTGCATGAAGAGGCTGTGCGCGCTATCGGTGTCGATCGCAAGTTCTGGTTCGCGGTCGCGCTCAGCTATCTTGGGTTTGTCGAGGAGAAGGACGGGTACTTCGCTGCCATGCAGGCATGACCCCTGAGGCATTGCAGCAGCCTTTATTCGCGGCTTGCATAGATTGTATTCTACTACATATACACTGCGCTGCGATAGACATAGACGCGGTCATTATTTAGCATGTCTTTCCAACTCTTTAGCACGGTATCGCATATGCACAGGCATGGCTTGTCGCTATTCAGTATACTGCGTCAATGGTGTCCACTTTGTGAATCGTGCTCTTTCTAGGGACCATAACTGTCAAGAAAATCAAAAATCAATGTTTGAAGATTTAGAGATACCCCGCGACCACGGCCTAGAACATGGCTTCTCGTCGACTAATTGATCTACCGACGTGGAACCATTTGATTTGATGAAGTCTGTTTTAATCCTGACCGTGACCTCAATTTCTCACGACATCGGTCGCCTTCCGACCTATGCGCCCTTCCTTTAGGGCAATGAAAACATATCGCCCGAGATCCTCTGCGCCACATTCAAAAGGGAAGTATTGATCACGTCTCTCCTAGCGTAGTAGAAGACTAAGGAGGATACCTGGAGCGCCCTGCCTCTGAGGAAGTTAAGGACCCTACAACTCTGCTTGTTGGTTTGGGTGGCGAAAGCATAGGCGTGTGTCCGGCGCGTTGCATGTACGGTGCCGCAATATCGGCACTTGCAGCTTCAGAAGTGTTTCAAGAAGGGTTGACTTTAAGTGTGGCTGCTGAAGGTAAAGGGGGGGGGCACAATCGATGCTCCTGCTAGAAGGTGGATTTGGTAATTGCTTGTCTACCGGCACGCTGAAAGTCATCGGCTTGGGACCGTCGAGCTTGTTCGATCCATGGGAAGGTATTCAGGCAAGGCAGGCGCACTCCTCGGAGCGGTCACGCTCCCACCCAGGCTGTGCGGCGAGCTTCGAAGTGCCTCCACTTCTGTTCTGATTGCTCTTGTCGCCTTTACGCAAGAGTTTGTATATCCTCTTCTTCAATTTTCTATAAGACCTCCTAAAACTGCTCCCCGCTTTTAGTTTCGGCCGAGCCTGCCTATGCGACGCGGCGGCTGCAGGTGGGTCTGAGGTACTTCCGGACCTACCTTGAATGTTCTCCTTGCAGCCGTATACCCAAGGAGTAGCGCCTTGTTGGCAAGTGTTGAGACACGATGGTCACCACACATGGGCACTCACGTTGCTTGCGCAGCACTGGTCCACAGAGTGGTTTAGTTCCTCAGACATTGGCGTCGGACAGGCGATTTGCGGCATGGGAAAATGCGCACAAGCGGTTTCCAACGCTGCGCAAGGCAACAACAACTTTAGCAGGGCTGGATTGCATATATGGTTCGCAGCCGTGGACTTTTCTTCGTTGGTTTCAATCTCGGGTTTCCATGTGTTCGTCCTGTAGCGAAAAGATCGCTTTGAAACAGTTGAAACTACTCTCAACCAGGTCCAAGTTGTCGTCACGCTTCCGACAAGACTATCAATGTAAGCATACGAATTGTGTTCTTGGATCCTGATTCTGAATGGTTTCCCCTCTCCTCTTATTCGCATTTGGCTCTTGCAGCGGGATCATCATCGATGAGCGATGGTCGGCATGACATGATTGCACTTCGGATCATTGCCGAATGGTGCTGGCTTTTTGCTGAGCACCGTAGTGTCTTTGTGGTAAGCCCAGAGAAAGAATTTGCCTTGCATTCCGTATAAACAACCTGCTACGCATGTTGATTCGCAAACATTGTTCCCTTTGCCTGAGCTCATTCTTCTGCTGGACAACCCCAAGCTTTGTGTCAATGGCAAGAGGTAAGGTATGAATAACGCGCGGAGTAAGAACCTCGGCCATTCGCGCATTAAACTGAAGGAAGGCAAGAGATGCTGCTTGGAGATAGCTTGGGCATAGCGACCTGCGCTTGAAGCGAGGGGGAACTTGAATGAAAATGCGCCAAATCGTTTGACGAGGTACCCAAGCTACCGGCGTTTGAATGAGGTGAATCAAGGCTTGAAGTCTTTCGCCAATCAGGGCAGTTTGACGGGCCGGCGCGATGGAGGACAACTTGAGCTACATTTGCGTAAAGTGATTCTGCTACGTTTTAAGGGCGTGGAAGCCTAAAGAACAAGGTCAGATCCTCGCAGCTCATCCAAGCTTCCAGCGGTAACGGGAAACGTGCAGCCCTGTGACACAAGCGACATTGCCCAACAAGACGTGGAGAATGGAATATCTGAACAATTGAGAACATTATCTGATCTTATTCCTTGGCCTTTGGACTCTTAGGTATGGGCAGCTGTGCAAGAGCATCGGTCAGCTTCTTCCCGTACATATCCGTATTTGCTCGCTCTGCTTCTTTCCATTCCCCCTTGCTTTTGCTTCGCTTTGGTGCATCGGAGTGTTCCATATATGATGCGTCGATCGGGAAGGGAACGCGCCAATCATCCCCTAGAATCTCTTACCACTGCGATGCCAAATATGGCTCATCACTTGTGGACTGGTTTGGCGATGCGAGCGCTTCGCCTTCATCGTCGCTGACTTTGGCGGCGGGGCAGGTGGAGGCGGAGGAGGTGTGACCAATCGGCTTGGTCGCTGGAAGCAAGTCTTCAGAGGCTCGTACCATCTTGGAATCTACACTTTCATCGATACACGCGCCGAAATCACGTGAAGCCACTTATCGAAAAGCTTTGCACCTTTATTGTCGAGCTGCTCCATCAGGTGTCCGAGAAGTGACGTCACGTGATTTCGGCACATATGTTGATGTGTATGTTGATGAAAGTGTAATTTCAGAGAATGGTTGTTTCAATACCTCTCAAGGGTGTCCTGCAAAGACTTTCTTCCAGCGACCAAAGGGACCAGCTGCAGAGAACGGTCTAAGCCTTGGGCAACCTTGGTTCGGATGAACCGAATGAGCACGTTCAGGAAGGATGCACCCTAAGAACCAAGTTAACCAATTTGGTCAAACTTGATGCTTCGGGCCTAGGAGCAGACCCACAGAAAAGTGGAGCGGAACAGGGCTTGAAGCCCCTTATCAAGGGCTCAAGGTACGACGCATCAACCCTGTATTATGGTACGAAAAATCGAAAGTCGACTTCCCCGCAGTGCGGCTGTGCTTCGACTTATTCGTTTCACAGCCAGAACTGCGGACCTTACATATTACCACTCGCCCGTCAGCTATCGTTTTGCCTTCCGAGTCACATAACAGGACCCGACGCAATCGTTCTCCTTCACAATCTTACCCGAAGGTGATTCGTCAAGTAGTCATCGAGTGCTTTTCCACCATCCATAATTGCAGCATCCTTCTCGATCCACACCGGACGCGAGCGAGCTTAGCTTGTGCTATCGCATTCTTATCCATTCGGCCCGCGGTTCTTTCGGGCTGTCCCTTTGTTGATCCCCCGATTCGTTTATGTCCAATAGCCTGTCTAGCGTTCATCAAAACGACATTCAACCTCAAGCATCACAAATAATCAGCAGTCGCGACGCTCAGCATGACCTCTCTCATCACCCATATGAAGCAAGCGGATCTCCGATGGGGCCGCTGCACAAAGACCAACGCGTGCATGGCCACTTAGCTGTTCCAGATCCGCCCTCGAGTCAGCCCACTAGTGTCGACGATGCGCTCGGCCCATTGGACGATGCCTACTTTGCGCGGAAGCGAGCGGCCCTGAGGTCGCAGCACAAGGGAAAGGGAAGACCGCGGTTGAACGGCTCAGAGTCGAGCGCAGACCATCCATCCCCATCGACACGGTCGGATGTTGGCATCCAAAAGTTCGTCCATGCCTGTTCTCACCTGAACTGTGCCGACGACAAGTAGCTGACGCGTCCTCCCATTCCTTTCCAACAGCTACTTGAGATCCGCTATCGGTGAGATACCGACTGAAATCCTCGTGCGTGTTTTCTCGTACCTCGATGTCATTTCCCTCGCCCAAGTCGCGCTAGTCTGTTCGTTCTGGGCTGCAATCGTCCATGATGATGCGACTTGGCGGCTGGCCTTCGCGACTAACTTCGACGTGCAGGGTGGTGACGAGACACTGCCTACTCTTCGGCGCACTCACAAGCTTTCTTGGAAGGCTGAATATGTCCGCCGGTCCGACCTGCTGAGGAGATGGCGCAAGTCCAGGACAGCAACGATCCTCACCGATCCTCGCATTGGCCTCCTTTCTGGCATCGCGATCAGTCTACAACACAAATTCATGCTCTCCACGTCTGTTGCCAATGGCGTCGCGTCGCGTTCCGACCCTTTCACAGGGAAAGTTGCTAAAGGCATGGTTGAGGCGCTGACTGGTGAAGGTTTCGTCACCAGCGTTAGCGCCAGCGCAGTCGACGCCGATGGCTCACGAGTCGTATGGGGATTCGAGAGCGGCAATGTATGCGTCAGTTTGCTCGGGAGGCAGGGCGCCAATCCGCGCGGAATCATCAAAACTGTGTCCTTTCCAGCTCGCGACAGCCACACCGGCCCTGTCAACGATGTTGCCCTACCCTTTGCCAGCAAAAAGGGTGGCGTGCACGCACATAACCGCAGCGCGGACCGTCAAGGCCAGCGTGCAGCCAGGCTTGGCGAAGCTGGGCAAGCGTTCGTAACTGCCGGAGAAGATGGCACAGTCAGACTCTGGAGCATAAAGCTACGGGCAGCAGTCTGGGTTGGCGAAGCAACACAGGCATTGTTCCAGGAGGAAGAGGCAAGGCTTGACGATGCAAGCGAACACAATTCTCTACCTAGACAGCCTTTATCTGTACCTCTCGAAAAAGTCGACTATGACCCGACTGGCACGATCATCGCTGCTGCTCGTGACGGGACAGTACTCTGTTGGCATGGCTTCAACATGGAACTCCTGGAAAAGGGTTCGATCGCGGCAGGGCCCATCTTGTCTCCTCGGCACGTTGCTGTTTTCAGACCCAGTAAGGCAAGCCTGTACGCTCCTGCCGATCTCGTTCTAGAAGACGAAGCGGATCGTTCCGAAGGCCGCGTTTCTCTGTTGCTGCGCTTCAAAGAAGATGACGGATTCTGGCGCCATGACATTTCATTCGGGGAGAACCTGCCAATGGCTCCAAAGTTCGCAACTTGCCGCTTTGATGCGCAAGGCCAAGGTAACATAACATGTCTTCGTGCCGACTTTGACATCGGGGAGAGAACGAGCGCCAGTCCTTTGCGTTCACCTTTCGTCCGATCTGCTTCTCGACGTGGTGCGTTTGACGGTGACATTCCCGCCCTTATTCTTGGCCCATCGGCACAGGAGCTTCGGACTAGCGAAATCAAGATCACGCTTCGTGAGCGCAAATTCGTCTGCGTCGGCACTGGTACGGGGAAAGTTTTTGTGTATCCATGGGACATCAAGGGCGCAGCTAAATCCATCGGCGGGGATCAGACTTGGCTGCACTTGAGCGAGCCACAAACGCGTTGCAGCCCGTCATTTGCCCTAGAAGTCGGCGTATTCGAAGTGACTGCTCTCGACTTCAACGCGGCATTTCTTCTATGCGGCACTTCGGATGGGAGTGTCAAAGTCTTTAACGCGCTGACAGGTCAGCTGGTCCGCACGTTCGCCGACCGGGCCGCAAGTCGTCATCCCGCTCGTATGCTCGCTGCCGGCGAGCTCACCATGAGCGAAGCATTGCGATTCAGGGTGACCCAAATTATCACGACGGAGGACGCATTCGTCGCTATCATTGGTTCTCACGTGCTCGCATGGCGCTGCGAGACTGCAATGCGCTCGACACTGCGCAAGGCGGGCAAATCCAGCTCTGGCAAGTCACGCCATCCTCTGCGCAGATTGGACTCAAAAATCCAAGCACAGAATGATCTGGAAGACGAGGTTATGGAGTGTACCGAGTCCGTCCGGTCCGAGGCAGCGCGCACGCAGGCCGAATTGCGCACACAGCAGTACTGGCAGGAAGTGTCCACGCTGGACGACATGACCGAGCAGGAGGCTTTCGCGTATGCCATGATGCTCAGTCGCGATCAGCAAGAGGCCAGCGGACGCACTGGTCACGGCGGCAACGGTATCATTATCGATGATGAGGCTGAACTACAAGCGGCTCTCGATGCCATCGCTCTCTCAGAAGCAAGGACCGGGTCGCCGCACGAGGCTTCTGAAGGCGCATCGCCTGACGCATCCTTTGCGTCGTCTCCTGGACCCTCGCCTGGCTTGCAAGGCGTCTCTTCACCACGAGCCTGGCAGATCCTCGCGCATGCTGGCTCTGCTGCATCAAACACGACCGATCTCCGCAGCGGTGCTCACAGCAAGGTGCAGACTGTACAGGTGCCAAGGAGCGCACGGCGCAATGCTGCGGACTCGGCGACGCGTAGCGCTTTTGCTGAGGGTTCTGCGCTCCCTGAGATCGGCTCGCCCACCGAATGGCCTAGCGTCTCGCCTCTAAGCACCTCGCTGCGTTCGAGCTCGATGACGTCTTCAGTTTCCGCTCCGCGCTCTTTTAGTGCCTCATCACCACGGAACATGCCTTCTCCGTCGTCTGTCCCGAACTCGGCGGGTGACACGCGTTGCACGTCCTTTGCAAATGCCACTACCGCCGCCACAGGAGCAGCAGGAGGTGGAGCGGGAACGGATGCTGATAGACCGTCTTCCTCACTCGGCGCCTGGGCAGCTGGTAACCCGATTCGACAAGCTGCCGCAATGCCTTCATCGCGCGGAGTGCGTATAGCCAACTCACCGTCTTTGCTTGCGCGAGATTTACAGCGGCAGAAGCAGCAACAGCAGTATATCGGCAGCAGCGCTCCTGCTTCTCTTTTGCCTCAAAACGCCTCTCCCATGCGTGGCTCTTCTTCTGCATCGCCTGCAAATGGGAGCATGACTCTGCTCGTGGGAGTGGATGGTATGGACGATGATCTGCGGTTCGCCATCGAATTGTCGCTTGCAGAAGAAAAGTCGCGCCAACAGTCGCAAACTTGATCCGGTGCTAGCTGTTACGCCTCTATTCCGCTCATATTTCTTCATCGCTTCCTGTTCTATAACTGAAATTTATAAGTTGCGTGCATTATGTTTGTGGAGCTGCAGATTCGTCTCGGATCGCAGTGCGCTCCTTTCATGTCGTGGTTAGCTTCGGTTACAAACGGGGCCAATACTAGCTGCATGCAAGATTCTGGTGGAGCACCGGGCTCATTTCGGATCGCAGTTTGCTGCACTTGCATAGTGTGGATCGCCTTCTCTCCTGCCTGCTGCCTGCTGCAAATCTGTAGTACAATCGAATTCCCTCGGCGAGGGGCTAATGGCTCCGAAGTACAAAATTCGATGCCCCCGAGATTGGCGTGGCGCCTGTCTATTGAGTATTGCCCGAACCCCGGGCGTACTTCAGAATCCCCTTTCCACACTTGTCTGCTGCCGCCCACGTCGGCTTGCACCACAATCCACGTCCACAGGCCGGCGGCCCACGCTCTCAAGACGTAGAGATGCAACTCGCCTGTCTGGCCCTTTTGAAGTGGGGAGCGCAGGGGATACAGCATGCGACCTTGGAGAGGTTCAGCGAGAGTAGGGAACAGGCTATCGAAGTCCGACGAGAGAGACAAAGAGAGAGTGTGTGTGAGAAAATGAGAGGGTGGCCTGGAGGTGCTTCTTCCAAGGGATGACATGGAACTGTACACTGCAGTGCGCTCGCTTGACGTATGTCGCAGCAGCAGCTTGCAACTCACTCCAACCGTTCGGCGCCAGCGCCGACAGCGCATAATGCCAGGAACTTCACTTCCTCGGGATCGATATCTCTCTCTTGCACTTGGACGATTTGCTCTCGCTTCCGACAGACAGGTTGTTCGTCGCCGAGCGCACACACGAGCAGCTTGATGTAGCAGCCGCGCTGTACGGTTTGGCCAAGGCTCCATTTATCACCTCTTCTGCAAGCACAGAACGGCGCAGCTACGTTGCAGAGGAGCTGCATATAATCCTTCTGAGGCCTCGCAAAAAAACGCTGATCGCCAGCTGCCTCTCTTAAGCGGGTACCATTGTCAATCTCTTCAGCAAGGAAGGATCGATCATTCAAACCTCGGTCTGACCAGATTGACGACAAAGGACCACGTTTACTTCGACCGCTTCAAGACTGAAAGCCGGCCAAGAGTGTGTCGGACGCCTGAGCTGATGCCGCCTGAATTCATTCCATCGCAATCTCAACGTACTCTCGTCCCGCTCCTCGGACGAACACCTTTCTGCTTCATCGTGTCACCCTTTTCCGTGTTCGGTGCTGGCCACCAGGGTGGGTACTATAGCCGCCTAGCTCAATTCAGGGCGCTGTTGTCTCTGACCTGCATACATCTTTTGACCCATAGGTACACCATCTCACCCTTTATGAACATTCAGGATCCGGTCAATCTTTTCCAAAGCGCAACATGATTCACAGATCAGCTGGCAATGCCCACGGGGCCGCCATGCTCGGCGCTGTCCCGTCCCACGCGATGGAGCACTTGCCCGCCAGCGGTCACCAGCAGCACACCCCAGAAAAACAGAGGCATTACCCTCTCGTCTCCCCCTCACGATGGAAGTCTTTTCCACGTCCTTCGAGCAGAGGCCAGTCCAGTGTGCCACCCACGCCTTCCTTCTCGGAGCAGCAGCAGCTCGTGCAGAACCACTGTCCCGCATCCACAGCGCCGCCCAGCTTGAGCACTAGCACTAGCACCTCCACTTCCCATCCGTTCTCTATAACGGCTTCGCGTCGCCGCAATCGCCATCGATTAAGTGTCACGCGCTTCTCTATATCTGGAGGTAGCTATGGCGCGGGGGTTCCCGCAAGCGGCCCGCACGGATCCTCCGCAGAAGAAGTTACCACTTCCCCCGTACCCGACTTCGAAAGCATGCTGGTGAACGACGACCTTGTTATTCGCGCTGAACTCGATGATGCTACCTATGTGTCACCGTCGCCCTCGCAGCAGACTCCGGTGGGCATTATCATGGCAACCTCAGTCGTTCAGACGGAAGAATACGTTGACAATGCGTCTTTGCGTAGTGATCTGCAGCAAAGCCATCGCTCTCGGATGGAGATGAGGGCAGACGTTCGACACCACCAACCCGTCCCTCTGGAGAAGCTGACAGTTGCTCAGATGGTGATACACGACGCTGGGTGGCAACCGGACCTGAGCAGGGAGAAAGCACTTCCCCAAACGCGTGAACCTTCGCTTGGACCGCCCCAGCATCAGAATCACCAACAGAGCACCCAGGCGCAATCATTGCAGCGTCGCGAGCTGTCCTCATTACTCGCTGCCGCTCCTGTGCGCCTGGGTGGCACTGAAATGTCAACGTCGATGGGCTTCACGCTCGACGCACTTGATCGCATGACCGAGGATGATGCAGCTAGGAGGCATGAAAAGAGCAGCATGGTTGGCAAGGCGCGCAAGCTGTTCGGGCGCCAGTCGCCGCATTTTGCGGGTGCTGGCGGTGGTGAGGGCGGCGGCGTGGCATCCGCGGCCGAAGCAGCGAGAGCAGCCGTATCCACGCCCGATTTGCACGGCCTCTTGAGTGGCGCCTTCCTGCCTGATGACAAAGGCAACGGCTCCATTCTTCAAGAGCAAGCTCCCGCTGCTAGATCCGCAAGTCGGACGTCAAATCTCTTCAAAATACCCCCCTCAGTCATCACGGAACGGAACGATCAACATGTCTACGTGCCGGCGTTAGCAGTTTCGCCGGGGTCGACGTCGTCCTCTCCACAGTTCATGCACAGCCCACAGCAGTTCACAGCAGCATCGGTATCCAGCTTGAGCCTCTCGAAGGGCTCGCACCAGCATGCACCACAGTTCACAGCGCAGCAATGCCCTAGCATGCAAGGCGCGAGACGCCAGTACGCCAACGACCTGACTTCCACCAACACGGTCAGCTCCGATGGAGTTAGCGACTGGGTTATGCTGTCGTTTGATGCTCTCAGTGAGACCGGCTCCTCTCTATGGCCGCATGCTCATCAGCGCTCTCAGCTCCAGATGTACAAGGTGGGTCGCATTGAGAGCGACAGCACATCGAGCATGCCGATCGGATTCGGCGCAGCAGCATACCAACCCTCTTCCAGTCAGGGCCACTATGTCGCTGGATGGAGAAGCGACGCAGAGAGCGATTTCCTGCACTTTAGCCGTCCGCAACCGCCGCCAAGCTACGTACCGCATGCCCACAAGGAAGTTGCGGAGCGCACAGAGATGCGAGGTGCCGCTGGGACGGGAGGCAGCAATGCCGGCAACGCAGGTGCGCATAGTGCCGGGCCGGCTTCAGGCCCCGACTCAAAACCCGAATTGTCAAAGCGTGGCGGTAGGCTGAGGAAGATTAAGTCTTCCCTTGGCTTGAAGATCTCATCGGATAAATCGGCTGTCGAAGATGAAGCTCGTGCTCCCGATGCATCTTTGTTCCGCGCCCTACCTGCGCGCGTGGAAACGCCGATGGGTGCAGATGGATCGCGAGACAAGCACCGAGAACGCTCCAGAACGCTGGTTGGAAAGTATCCTACTCGCAACAAGTCTGTCGAGAGCCTGCGCCAGCTGTCACAGCGCCAGCAAGCGTCAGCGTACTTCGGGAACTTTCCGTACAGCAGCAAATCTGCCGGCGCAGAAGCACATCTCCGGGCCGAAGACGGCGAGGCAAAAGAGCAGCAGATCTCTCCGACCTCGCCCGCCTTGACGCCCCAGTCTGTGCCGGCGGGCCGTTCGGCCTCACGATCGACGATGGCGTCGTCGGATCACTCGATGGCCATACCAGCCGGCAGCAGCGTCGATTCGTTCCGCATAGCAGGGCACAATTGCGTGCTGCACAGCCCTCGAGACTCGTCCTACTCAACATCGGCCTATCCATCTGAAGCGCACCAGCGGGGGTCTGCTGCCGCTACCGCGGCCTCGTCGCCCCACGCTGGATATCTCTCGCTGAGTGTCACGGAGGATGATGGCAAGGAGATCATCACATCTCCCATCGTCTTCACGGGCACGAACGGCAGCGGAATGTCATACTACCCGCCATCTAGATCCCACTCCACCTCGCGCTCGCGACGTCAGCGCATGGAAGTTAACGATGACGAGCCGCGCATGCCGAGTGTGCAACATGACTCCCCAGAGATGGATCTGCAGCCTTTGCCTCCACCCGCAGCTGCTCTAGTGGGCGCGCCGTTCGCAGGACTTCTGAGCAGTGTCCACTCGACAAAGAAACAGCCAAACGATGCAGGCGTCGCATTGAGACCTGTCAGCGATAGGGACGCAGCCATACGAAACGAGCTGTTCCATGAACGCATGGGCAGCGAGGAGTTGTCGCAGAGGTGGAAGGTGATCAACGAGACTACAACTCATCAGACCAGCACGACAAGGGCCGCTTTAGCTGCGCTCGAGGGGTGTGCATGGCGGCGGACGTCGATGTCCGTCAGCCACATTCCATCCAACTGGGACCAGGACCTTTTAGAGACGCGGTCGACGTTGATGAGCATCACTGCGTTCCGTAGCAGCGCGCGCGCACGCGTGCGCATGACGCTCCTCTCCTGCGAGACTCATGCGGCCAAGACGGGGACGATGGAGAGCAAAGGGGGGTTTGTGCTCGTCGACAGCGATGGGTACGTCATGTACGTGCTTAAGAAGAGCAAGGGGATCCTGTCTGGGCGCACGAAAATTGTGGCGCACCGTGGATTCGCGGACGGGGTGAGTGCGGTCGAAGGAGAGGCAGACTTGGACCATAGCAAGCACACTGAAATGGCGAATGCTTCCATTCCGAAAGCCTGCCTTGATGCAGTCTCGCATGTCAAACTTCCGCGGATATAGGAGCTGCACTCTGCAGCGACTCAAGGCGAACTCCTCCTCGGCCCCGGCAGATCCATGGACGGGGACGGTGAGACAAGCAGACTTTTTCGGGCAGCGTTGGACCTTCTACCTCCCCAGCGACCGCGAGATCCTCGCTGCTGCTGCGTCTACCAAGAAGAAGCAGTACATTGAAGCGATACCGCGGAGCTCCGCGCAGCATACCTGCGTGGGGGACCACCCGCAGGCGGACGTTTCGTGGATCGAACTGAACGACGGAGACAGCAGTAGTGATGCTGGCCGTACGGAGTTATATGTCGAGGAGGCCGCAGCTGATGTCGAGCGGGAGGGGGGAATTGGCCACAGCGATGTGGAGGAAGACAAGCAGGAGGAGCCAGAAGACGATGGCGGCGAGACGCGCTCGGTAGCAGGGTACAGCATGGGACACAGCAGCCCGCGCAGTCGCGTCGTGCCCGGCAAGAGGAAACAGCACCAGCAGCAAGGCGAAGCGGGCCGCCTGCCGCGCAAGGCGATGAGCCTGGTGGGCCTCCCTTCGTCCGGTATGGCGGGGCGCGTGGCAAACAACCCGCTCGGCGTCATCACGGCGGAGACGAACCACGTGACGGCGTCCGCGCTGGGCGTCCGGGAGGGACAGCGCAAGTTTGAGTGGAGCGGGGCGCACGTGATGAAGCTGGTCGAGTGCGCTGGGGCCGGTGCGAGCAATAAGTTGGCTCGCGACAGGACGGTCGCGACGTTCAAGCGGGATTTGCAGGATGGACGGGGTGCCGGTGAGCTGGAAATGGATGCGAATGTGAGTGTGTTGGTGTTTGTGTTTGTGTTTGTTCAGTGGTAGTTCTTGACAGGCGGTCCCTTTGCGGCTGGCTGACTTTACACCATCTGCGCCCGCGCATTGTGTTTCCCCAGTTCCCCGACACGGAGGCGCTCGTGCTGAGTTTGCTGCACGTACTCAGCTGGCACATCCACGGAAGCGTCGTTGCCAGGTGAGAACTTGCTGCCCGACTTTTGTCCTCCCAGCTATGAAATATCATCAATGCATCATCGTAGGCCATCCAACGATCGAGATGGGGAATGAAGCTATAAGATTACCCCGTGTAGCTATATTAGAGTAGAAAAGAACTAGAGATCCGTATCGTTGCGTTGGTACATACGATCAAGCTCTCGCAGGCGTCGTATGGAACACCAATATGAGAATTGCAGCAGTTTCATCATCGGAACCTGGGGGGAAATGTGATCGCAATATATGAGTGATGGTTCAGGGCAAAAAGCCACATTAGCAAAGGATCGTTTGAAGATATGAAGCAGGAACCATGAAGCGACACCGAATCGCTTTAATTCATACATAGACTGTATCATACTGCCAGGATGACTCCTCAACAGCATTGTTTCCATTTTTCACAGCGTTGCCGCGTTGTCTACGCCATCGCTATCGTCGCACTGCCGGCCCCAATTCCTGCTTCTGCTTTCTCACAATATGAAGATGGGATGGCGCACGACTTTGGCTGATTAGCCCAATTGCAGGATCAACTTAGCCCATAAAGTAGTTCGATGCTTTTTTGAGTGCCTCCTCTTCTGGTGGCGGAGTGCGTTGCCAAGGCCTTAACTTCAATGGTGCCATGGCCCACCAGCGGCGCCTCCAGCAGCAATTGTGCATGTCTGCATCTCCTCCGTGAAACGGTCCGCCGAGTGAAAACGCCTCCCTTGATCCTACTTGAGTGCCGAACCGTACCTCCCAGCATTGCTTCTGCCAGGGGTAGCTTCGAGTGCTGATGGATATCCAGTCCTCAATCGATATGCTTTGAGAAAGTAGCAAAGATCTGCGTGGAAGATGGGGGATGCGCACGCGGCAACAGGGCATCCAGGAGAAGAGGATTGGCATAGAGGAGCAGGTCGACCCAGCAGACGAGCAGAGGGCGAATAACGCAGAGCAGACCTGAGAGAAGGGCAGAAAGAAGAACGGTGACCGCGTTGGAGAAAAAGGGGGATGAATGCAAGATGGCTAGGAAGGGAAGGACGGCATATGACTGAGATGTGCAGTGTAGGCCAATTTGTGGTCTGCCCAAATTTAACCATATATATATATATATATAGAACATGGCTGGCTTTGTTCAAAGGTGAATGAATATAGCCAGCCCTCCTAGGAAATGCCTGATGCTGGCCCCAATTTTCTGCGCTCCGCGCGATGCCGCCGGACTGACTATCGGTGCTCCGGCGAGAGATCTTTTAGAAGGAGCGGGGTGGGTGGCAGATGTCACATGCAGGCTGCCATCGCCGTGCGGCCCCTGGCGCAACTAGCCCAACTCGACTGCGTTTAGACTGACTCTACATATGGGTTTGTTGATTTTGGGACCATAAAAAGTTGTTGCTATGTACCTTGACAAGGGCTTCGAGCTCATTCCGCTCCGCCTTTCTTTTTTAAGTACGAAATATCAACACGTTATCGTACGAAAATCAACAACTTTGCTCTGTGGGCGGTAGTCATGGTGTCGGTGGGGCGCAGCTGACGCGAGGAAGAGAGGGAGAGCATCGCTTCATCCATCCCATCCTACTTCCTGCACGTGTGCATGTGCATGCATGCGCCCGCCACCACTCTGCTTGCACCACCGAGAGACAGGCGGCGCACGTGGCGGTTGCAAGTGGCAGGTTCGGCCCCCCTTGTAGGGTCTTGCTCACGTCGCTTCGGCTCGCAGCAAATACACACGGACGCACTCTGCTCGCCGGTCGGGCATGCGGGCGGCCGGGTGTCGCTTCATTAGATTGTCCCAGGCCGGCCGCTCCAGCTGCCATCTCGGAATACCCACCAAGCAGCGAGCTGCTTTCCGCAGCTGGCCCACCTCGCTCGCCTGTCAGCAGCCAGCAGCAGGTATAGGCGTCGCACATCACTGCACTGCATACCGCCAGCTCGCCATCCTTCTTGGGCAGCCTTGATCTGCGCCAGCTCGGGGACAAACGACCTCAGAAAGGGCACGGGTGCAGCAACGCCCACAGCGCCATTGGTCGCAACGGCTGTTTCATCCCATCCGTTCCCTTGGATTCGAATTGTCAGCAGCCCTTGTAAATAGCTCGATGCTCCGAGACAGGCTTGTCGACCTTTCCTCGAAGCTGGTTCGTGCGGCGCTGCTCCCCTACTGCTCTGCTCGCCTTGATACATGCAAGCCGCCTTGGTGTGCCGCAGGCCCCCTTTGCTAAGGCCCCCCCTTCCAGCTCGTTGCCAAATCCCGCGAGCGCTGGACGGCAGCCATGAAGCGTCTCTTCGGTCGCAAGGCTCAGGCCTCATCAGCGGTACCTCTCCTACCTCAGACCAGCAGCGATGTTTATGATGACCCAGACGCTCCAGCGATCCCCGGGTCCGACCCTACGAGCGGCAGCACACCAGGCGGAATAGACGAAGGCGTTGCTAGACTTGGCAGCAGTCGCGCCGTGCGACCCGGCTCATCGTCCTCGTCGTACGCTTCGTCGACGTTCCAAACGCAGCAGCAGCGTGCCTCGCTCAACGCCCAGCTTCACACACATACAGCCAAGGGCGGCAACTACACTGTCTCGACCCCCGCGAATTCATATGGCGTGCACCTGGCCGGCGGTGGCGACACCGCGAGCACGACAACGAACACGGACGCCGGCAGCATCATCGCTAGAAGCAGCAGCGCCGCGATGGGCAAGGCTGGCGTCGTTAGCGCGGCCCCCACGCCGGCGGTGGCGGCGCAAGTGCCCAAGAGCACCTTCTTCCACATGGAGTTCCTGCAGCAGCGCGATTCGATCGAGCACCCGCACCCCGCCTCGGTGCAGGTGTCCCCCTTTGCGCTGCTACCCAGCGCGCTGAACGGCAAGCCGCTCGCGTCCAGCAAAAGGGTTGGCGGTGCGCACGTGCACTCGCAGTCCAGCGCGGTGGATGCGCGAGCGTACCAGCCGCCGCCGCCAAGCGCTGCAAGCCGCCTGCCGTCAAGCCTGACGATGCAAAACCCGCAGTCTCCGGTGCAGGCACAGGCACAGCTTCCACCGCTCATCGCGCCGTCGGCGCATCAGCACGCGACGCACATCCACAGCAGCCTGGCCTCGTTGCCTCGCCTGCATGGCGAGACATCCATGCTGCCCCCGCAGTCGGCCACCGCTGCCGAAGCAGCAGCAGCACCTCCCAGTGAACCGTTCCAACCGCTGACACCGAAGCAGTACGACTCGCTGGGGAAGATGAGCCCGCTCGAGGCGCTGCATCCTGCCTTTGCGCTTGAGACCATCGCACATAGCCAACTGCATACAGCGCGTCGCTGCAGCGCCAGCGACGGCCCCGCGCAAGCCGACCCTCCTCGCCACCAGCAGCAACATGCGGGCGAGGGCGCAGGCGCTTGCCTACAGTTTGCCAAGCACCAGCACACGCACCCGCAAAGCCAAGCATCCCTCGAGGCATATGCACAGCAGCATGCCCCGCTCCGTGCAGTGCAGCGGCCCTCTTCTCGGAAGCAGCCGCAGTACCAGTGCCAGCACAGCAACATCGCCCCCAGCGCCTCACCCCCCACGAACCTGACCGCGCACCACTTCGCGTTGTGGAGCGCCGGCAGCGGTCCGGAGGGAGCTGAGCTGGCACACGCGCAGGGGCGCGCCGCGGATGAGAGCCTCGAAATAATCGACCTGCTGTGCACGCCGACGAGTGCGGATGCGGCGACTTGCAGCGCGTTCGGCGCCGTGTTGTACGACGGGCCGGTGCAGCGCTCCAGTGTTGACTCGTCGCAAGAGTGGGACCGAGGGCCACAGCAGCAACAGCAGCGGGTCCAGCATATATCGTACAGCCGGCCCGGCTCGCGCGGTGGGGCGTCGCTCGCGGGCTCCGCGCAGCTGCGCCATGCTTCCCCTTCTGCGGATGCCAGCGGTGTGCAGCAGTCGCACAACGCGTGCAATCGCAGAGGTTTCGGGCTAGGACTCGGTCCGAGCCAGGATCAGCAGACGCAGGGGCAAGGCCAAGTTTGGGAGCAGCCGCAGCATGGCGCTTATCCTTCCGCGGGAGAATATGCCATTAATCCCATTTTGCCAGCAGGAGGAAGAAGAGGAGAAGGCGGTGCAGCGGCAGGAGGAGAGTGCTCCTCGCCTATGTTCGTGCAGCAGCTAATCTTCAGCGGCAGCGGACTAACCCAAAATCCGTCTAGCCGCGCGGGGACGCCGCCCTCGCGCGCACTGCCTAGTTCTACTCCCATTGGGGGGAATGTCGGAGACGCTAGAGCAGCATCAGTCGCGAAGCAGACGTATGCTTCGCCTCAGGAGCAGCAAGCTAGCAGGCCAGTCGCCAAGCGCCAGTCTTCCATCAGGCAAGATGGGGAAGCGAAGGAGAACGACCCGTCCACCTTGCTGATGCAGCAAAAGTCGTCTCGGAAGTGGCTGGGCGGCGCCAAGAAGGACAAAGAGAAGGAGAAGGACGAGGAAGAGGCCAAGGCCAAGGACAAATCTTTTGAGAAGGAAGGTGGAAAGGGTAAAGATAAGGACAAGGCAGAGGAGAACAGAGTGGGCCCGGAGGAAAAGGGTATTGTGGAGGTTACTGCAAAGATTGGTGAGTGTATTCTGCTGACTGAGGTCTTGCTCAGCAGGGTTTAACATTGCTTCATCGATGCCACCATTCAGGCTGGCTGTGTGCAAATGAAGGAAAACCGTTTGAATGGGCATATATGCTGTCCTTGGCCAGGGCCCTTTCCCGATCGGAGTCTGCTTCCAAGGAGGCTGCCCGTGCTCTGCGGAAAGAATTCAAATACGCGATGCCGGATGCCCAAAAGCGTGCGGCTCGCGTGTGGGCGATCCTGGCGCTCAATGCTTCCGATTATTTCAGGCTCCAGATCGCCACGAAGCGCTTTCTCGAAGTCGTCGACGACATCATCAAGAGCAGCAAGACTCCGCCACCTGTCAAGGGGGGCGTACTGAATGCGCTGTCAGTGCTTGCGTACGAGTTCCACACCGACAAAGAGTTGTCGTCCATCACCAAGCTGTATAACAAGCATCGCCCGCCAGATAAGCCGATCAACGGAGAAGGGCTCAACATCCAGTCGAAGGAGTTCAAGCCGCCACCGGATGCGAGCCTGCGCATCGTCCGCAGGCAAGCGCGACCGCAACAGCCTGTGATAGCGCAGCAGCAGATCATCCCGCGCGAGGTGGACATACGCAAGCTACACGAGGAGTGCTCCATTGCGGTGCACAACTCTCAGCTGCTCGTGGACGCCCTGACGGCCGATCCTTCACAGCCTGAGCTCATCACCGAATTTTCGGACAAGCTGCGCCTGTCCCAGGAGTTCTTGCTGGCGCAGATACCCTGGGCGAGTGCGGAGGCGGAGAAGGCCCGCGACGACGCCGCGCAGGCGCATGTACAGCATGTACACGAGGACGCCGATCCGTCGGCTGGTGAGCGCGTGCTTACGGATGAAGAGGAGCTGCTAGGCGATCTGCTCGACGCCAACGAGCACATGAACAAGGCAATGATGCTGCTGCGAACCAAACATCGGGACCTCGCGCTCGCAGATCATGCTGTCAGGTTTACATTCCACGAGGTGAACTCGCGCTCGGCTCCCCAGTTCTTTCAGAGCCACAACGAGCAGTTGCGCCAGGTTGGTGTGCTGTCCTCGCCGCAGGCGCAGCTACAGCTACAGCAGCAGGAACAGGAGCAAGAGCAGGAGGAGGCGCTGTCGGATCAACATGTCGATTCGGCTCTCTTTGAGGCACTAGTGCATGATGATCGCTATCGCGATGCTACGTCACAGCCAAGTCTCACAGGTCATGACAGGGCAGGAAGTCAGAACTTCTCCTTGCCCTCGGGTTTTTTGGACTTCACATCTTCTGCTCAAGCACCTGCAACAGTGCCGGCGCTGACGCCGGCAGAAGGGCTCGCGCCTACGCAATCTGTTGGAGACTCGGTGCAGCCTGTGTACAGCTCCGGAAGCCTCAGTACTTCCCATGGCTTGCTACCGCTGCAGACGATGCCGACACCGCAACAACCATTCCCGGCGGATCATCAGCCGTCAGCAAATGTTGTGGCGGCACGTGCATCACCTTGGGCCACAGATACATTCGTCCCGGGTCAACAGTCACACGATTACGGCCAGATCAGAAGTACATGCAACGAGCAAGGGTATGCAGACGTCTCTATCGGAGCATTGTCCGTTGCGCCTCCAGCCGTCCCAGTCTATCGAGGAGGGCCTCGTCCGTTCCCCGGCAGCACTCCCTCTGCCAATCCAGCTCCGTTGACCTCTTCCACATTACAAAGTCAGGCAGCATCCCAGTCCCTGGCTGCGCCATATGAACTGCAGGCGGTACCGAGTCAAGAGTTGTACCGCGAGCAGCCGCATATGAACCCGATCATGCAGACCGTGTTGCCATCAGGCAACACCGGAATGGAGTTGGGCCACTCACCCGCATCGCGACCACCGCCGCTACCACCAATATCAACAGATGTGCCTGCTGGTGCGCCATCCGTCGCCAGTCCCACAGCCTCAGACGAATCAAGCATCATCGAGACACCGCTCTATCCGAGTGAAAAGGCCCTGGGCAAGCGACGTGCCATCAGTATTTGTGCAGGTGTGTCATGTCATTCTACTGTGTGAGAGCGAAGAGATTGCTGACGTCCTTGATACCTATTGTAGACTCGAATGATAGCAGGAGTGGAACACAAGAGAAACCTCAACCTCACACACATCCCCGTCCGCCCCAGCCATACCCGTACAACGGAGGATCCGCAGGCAGCGCTGGTGGCGCCCCTCCAGAACCATTCCGAGACAACGCGTACATGGACTTCTTGCGTTCACGACCCATGCCACCTATAATCGCAGGTGCAACCCAAACATGATCCGCATTGATTTATATCAATTATCAAGGTGCTCTCCAATTGTGATGCAGAAGGGGTGACATGCAGCATGCTTTCGTACAAATGCTTTTGATGTTTGTTTATGCGCAGTGAAGACTCTAGCTGAAGAAGTACAAAGACTCCTGGCAATGGTTGAGACAGAAAACAGATCAGGTCAGCGTAACTCAGAGCATCATGATTTTCATGGCAGTTAGTCTCACTCTAATTTCGTTGACGTCAAATGTTCCTTTCGGCGGCAAGGGCGGTAAGACGTCACGGAGAGCGACAAACTTAGCGTTGATGAGTTGCTCATCTTTTGATACCGTCTCCGACTGTGTAGCAGGGCTTTCTGTTGAGTCTGCATCGTTCACATCTTCCAATTCCTCATGTTCTTCTGCATCTGCACTGGTCGAATCAGCGGCGGTCTGCTTCTGCTTTGACTTCAACTTGATGGGAAGGTTGGCCTCTTCTCCGGACAGATTCTTCGCCAGGATGCTGTTGACTGGTTCCAATAGCTCAGATGCAATGCTGGATTCGAGACTTGCTCCATCAGCGGCGAGGGCCTTCAACTCGAACACAGGAACCTTGTAGTCTCCAAATCGCTCCAGGAACTGCACAACAAGGAGTCAGCACAACAGCTCGCTTTGTGGTGAATTGTGGTAGAATAGACTCACTTCATCTCTAAGCTTGGTCAAGATGTCATTGCTGTGAAGCATGACAAACGTTTCGCGAATGAAGTCGCTCATCGTGTCGATATCGCACGCATGAGTCCAGTAGCTGTCGTGCACACTGGCAAATGTGAGTTTTGCCTTGTGGCATTCAAGCGCCGTCAGGATCATATGTGTGGCATCGAGCGAGTGGATGAAATTTGGTGGGAAAGCGGACGCTTGTTTCTTGGGCGAGACTTCGTGGTTAATGTGTGGATCGTTGATGTAGACAGTTTGCATCCGAGTTGACATCTGACGCTTCTTGGACTTACGGTACGGCTGGACCACAGGTAGGCCCAGAGCCGTAGTCCAGATCACACTGGTCATTTGCTCCTTCGAAATCTTGTTGACGATCCCCTTTGACTTGATGTACACGCCATCAGCGTTGCGCGACTTCTTCGACACAACTGCCTGCCCAGAGATTGCATGGTGCACGCGGTCCGCCGGGATGCTCTTGGCGATGAGGCGTGCAGAATGATGGAGCCATTTCTGAATGTGGGTGGCACCCGAAAAGAGCGAGCCGATCTGACTGAGAACGAGCTTGGCAAGGTAGCTGGAGATTTGCCAGAGTTCATCCGTGGGAATGTCCGAGCGCTCAGAAAGCTGACGCGCAATCTGCTTTTTCGCACCAACAAACGTCACGCCATACACTGTGGTCATGACTGTCTGCTTAACGACTTTGCGCGTCACCTTGCCTTGTAGCGTCTGCGCAATCGCGTCGCCCTGTGCAGCAGCCTCATCGAGCCTGTCGATGACCAAGTCGGCAACACCGGTGTATACATCGCTCGGCCGGTCTCCACCCGCAAGATTGACCTGTTTTGCACCAGCCAAGTCTCCGCCCAGCGCAGCATAGTGCTGCAATCCGTTGCACGTTCCATCTTGATGAACGGGCAGGCTGGACACGTACTTCTCGGGACCCTCCGGATGGTCCCACGCTTCCACGAGCTCGAAGCAAGTAGCCAAGCATTGCCACGGGTCATCCGCATTCAGCCACCAACGGGAGCCTGTAAGGGGGTTTGCGGCACTTTCCCTAACTTCAGCCTGATGCTGCTTGGCCCACTGCTCGCGCTCGGAGAAACTGGCTTTATCAAAGCCATAGAGGTTGGCTAGGTGGATATGCAGCCATCGCAGACCTCGTTCGCCGAGTGGCTTAGCAACGTCGAACTTGAGCAAGCCACGGCACATGTCGTTACCCATGTGGTTGAAGTTGGGAGGAATGGGGTATGCTCTCCCTCGGAAGTCCATATTGTGCGGCTGGAAGAACCGCTCGCCGATGAATGCACGCGCGATCTCGAGCTTGTAGTTGATATCACAGCGCATGCCATGGTTGATCGCCTTCGTCATTGCCCAGCGTCGAACATCCATGTTGTATGCATTCTTGGCCTTCATGTCCGTATCGTAATTCTCAGGTTTGACTGGCTCCGGCACATCGACAAGGCGCGGCGGGATCTTGGCAACTGCTTCCCCCGTGTTCCACACTTCGCTGATCACGTCAAAGACCTTGCGATTGATGCGCCATGCAGTTTGGCCAAGCACATCCAGACCTGCAAGAACACGGTCCAGCTCGCCGTTGTCGGAAGCAAGCTTGAGGTAGCTGTTCTGCTCTGCGCTGTCCTTGAACCGCATCGCACTGGTCGACTCGGTGTAGTAGCCACCTTGATCATGGCTGATCCACGGCCTGGGAGGCACGAGCATCGGCAGACGTCTCGGATGCAGCGTTTCGCGGACAGTGTCCCTGTCTAATCGCTGCGCGACGACGTCGTTGACCTTGACGACACCTAGGCGCTTGCCAGCCAAGTATTGGTACGACTTGTAGAATGCCGGATGCTCCTCGTTCCACAAACGTCCTTCTCGGTCTTTTGCACTGCGCTTGACCGTCGCGACCTTCATGAGCTCATCGACGAGGTACGACCCAACCCTGGCTCTCATGGGCTGCGTCCACCTGTCCTGCTTGTCCCAGAAGCCACGCATGCCACTCTGCTCGTTCAGCTTGCGCATCTTGCGCCGAGCCTCAGGCGTTGTGTAATCCTCCTCGCTCATGATGCGCTGCGTCTTGGCTGCCACGAGCTCGCTGCTCATCGCCGCGTCAATGGCAGAGTCTTCTTCAGCAGCAGATGCCTGGCTGCTTGCGCCAAGAGCTCCTTCAGACACTTTGAGCTCGGCATCTCTCCGTTTGAAGGATTGCGCAATCTTCTCTTCCTCCACCGCTCTGCCGATCGTGACGGTTGCACGGGTGGTCTTCATGCCATCCGAGATACCACCGGTACCGAGAAGCCGCATAATCTCAAGCACCGGAATCAGCGCGAGCTGCGAGACAGGGATGGAAGTCAAGAGCGGGAAGAGATCCTTCGCATCCTCGGCCGCTTTCTTCGGCTTTATAGCGGGAGGTATACCCCCTTCTTCTGCAGAAGCGGATGCAGTTGATCTGTTCTTCCCTTTCACATGCGACCCACGCAGCTGGTACTGTCCATCCTCCTCCAGCAGAATGCGCATCTCCTCCAAATCGGCCTTGAGCCGCACTTCCAACGCCTTGTACCAGTCCCACATCCAGCGCTGCAGCTGCTTGTCACCCATCATCTCGACGCTTTTCAGCCCGCTCTTCTCCATCTGCTCCACACTGAAGCGCAGCCGCTTCCGTGCGGCTTCGAACGCACTGCCTTCGAACCACCGCTGTCGGGCATACGGCTCCGAGAAGCGTTTACGAGCCTCTGCGACAGCAGAAAGGTTCTCCTGTAGTGCATGCAGATTGTACGGCAAGCCAGGCGTCGACTCATCCACCGGTGCTTCGGCTGCGGCCTCTGAAGGAATGTAGCGCGAGGAAGGGGACGTGGTCAAGGTGGGCTGCAGATCCGGAACGTCGCAGCGTTCGTCTGGGCGCAACGCATCCTCGTCCGAGTATTCAGACCGAGAGTGTGATGTCGAAATCATGTCTGCTGCTAATCGGCCCTCCTTCCCTCCCTTTGATCCGTTGGCGCTCAGTCTGCTAGCCAACGCGGCCAAGTCCGAGACGATGCGCGCATCGTCCTGTTCCTTCGCTTCCTCGATCAGAATGGACAGTACCTCTGCGCGACTTGGCGCACCTTTCGCCCCGCTGACACTGGCTTGAGGGTCTTGGGCAGCTGTTCCCTCCCCCGTTTCTACGGCTTTGCGCGCTCGAGCCGTGATCTGCGCTTCCCACGAGGGCGGAAACTCAGACCACACGGGCGAGTTGAGTACATCAACGAGAGAGACGCCGTGTGCTTGCAGGGCTGGGAGAATCATCGAGATGAAAGGTGGCTTGGCCCCAAGAGTTGGCTGCCAAGAGCGGAGAAGTCTGTACGAACGAAGCGTGAATGATATGGATGCCGTCAGCATCGCCGTCCTACATGAATTGTTTGTCGAGGGCCTTTAAAATGCCGCTGAGATTCTATTGACTCACCTTCCTACGCCTCTGAGCATGATGGCCGCTGTTCTTGCATCTGCGGGAGGCTCGCGAGCAGCAAAGCCCTCGCGTGTGGTGGCAGCAGCAGTAAAGCCAGTACTACTGGAGAGTGCCTGAACCATATCCTCCCAGAGCTTAATGGCCCGTCTGATAAACTCTTTCTTCGCCTCTGTGTTCTCTCCTGCTGCTGCCTTGAAAAGGTAGGCCGAGAGCATGTCTTCGTACATGGCCTTGTCGAGGCGCTGTCCTTGTAGAATGGAGTTGGCAGATGCGCGCCATGTGCTCATTTCCGTATTTGCTTCATGGTGCTGAGGGATGAGCCGCTCGAGGCTGTCCCATCTGGAGCGTTCCTCGTTGCGGATCCCTTCGAAGACCTTGCCTGCTCGCCAGATGAGGCCCGCATCCAGACTCGTGCGCAATACCGCCAGGTCCTCAATCGTCTGCGAAGTGGGATAGAATGCTTGATGGACAAAGAGAGAGCGGAGAACATGCCGTTGCTCCGCAGGATAGACGTCCGAATTCAGCTGTGGCGTCGCATCCGACGATGTGGTAGAGGGGGAAGCGGGTGCTGATGTCCGAGAGGCCGCATTACGTCGTGTGAAGGGCGATGACTTTATGTGTTGATCCACCGTCTCCGGCGGGAGAGGCGTTGGCAGGCGGGTCAATCTTGTCTTGCGATTGGCATTCGAGATGAAAAGAGGTTGCGACGGGTGTGAGGTCCCAGAGCCGCGCTTCGACAATGAAGGCAACTGCCCACCAGCATCGTGGCTACGAGGCGGGGTTTGATTGTGATTGTAATCGTCTAAAGATGCTGTGTGGTTAACGCTGACAGCAGCAGCAGCTGCTGTCGCTGCGTGGCGAACTGCCGTGCCCACGAACTGCGAAGAAAGCGGGGCGCTGATTGCACCAGCAGCCAGCCGCCGCGGTGCCCGTCTGTCGTATCTCCGACCAGCTACACGAAGCATGTTGCTCGTGACTCCCTGGGTTTTCGACTGAGGTATCGATGATAGGCTTGTCGACACTGAACAAGCCCGCAGCAACAAGGAGGGGAAAGAGGACCTTGTTCAGGCGACTGGATGCGATAGGATGGTTGACACACAGAGAGCAAGTGAGATGAAAAAAATTCTTGCTGATGTAACTGTCGCAGAGGGGGCGGGGGCGGAATCAACCCGTCAGTGTGCTGATGGTGAGGACGTGGGGCCTATGTCGCGGCTTGGCTGAAAGGCTAAATGCATCGTCACGTGTACAGTGATGGGTGATCAGATGCGTGTGGATTCATCGGAATTAGCGATACCCGGGACACGACAAACCAACCAACCCCGTTGTATCCAGACCAACGATGCAAGCATGCAGCCGATGCAGTGATGAAGAACGCTCCAGAGTCCCGAGTTGGCATACAGATTCGGCCATTCCTCCTTTGTCAGTCACTGCAGTACATATGTTAAGTTGGTACAGGAATCATGTCAAGCAGCCGCAGCACGTTGCCATGGTATACCGTCAATCTTTGGCTTGCGTCTTACTTTTTATCTTGCGCTCCATCTCTAAGAAAGCTTTCATGCTGAGATCAAGACCCGAGATGACCGCATCGACCTCGCTCTCTGCGTTTTCGCGATGTGGGTCTTGTACTCCGTCACCTGCTGCATCCGCATGGCCCTGAGGGAACTTGCCAAGAAGAGCCTCGTCCCACTCCCACTGGGTCAGCGGCGGTTCGGCGGCGTTTAGCAACTTCTGGCGCACAGCTGTGAGATCCTCGTGGTAATCTTGTAGATCCTCCATGTACAGATCATACACGCAACGCGCACAGCCCGACATGCAGCAGTCCTCGGGACCGGGTGGGGCAGGTTTGCGCGGGACTTTGACGCCGCGCACGTATACGTGTGCGCTCATATCTGCTGTTCCTGACGCCAACGGCGCTGCCATTGCTGGGCTATTTAAGGTGACCGTACTCGGGTCTTGCGCTTCAGAGCTCGCAGTCTCGGTAGGCAGATTCTTTCGAAGCATCGTCTTAGCGGACCAAGCTGCATTTGCGGTCCCAGGCGCAGTCGGCACATTTCCAATCGAAGGTGCCGAGCTCAACACAGGTGAACGAGACTCGGTCATCCCATCGACAGGCTCTTCCGCGCTCATGGCGTTCTTCTCCAGAGTATCTACGACGGAGCGTGGCCAGCGCGCGCCGAGATTGCGTCCGTGCCCTTCTCTACCGTAGCGAACTGCACATCATTCAAGCAAATATGCTTCAAGAAGTCAGCTTTTCATATGTACTGATCAGCGAGTGCCACCGTGATATCGCGCACTCATGTCACGTTTCCCTGCAGAATGGTGAAGCCGACGCACCTGAGGGGCTAATGCCGTGTGTATGGATCTAGTTCCACCGACTCGAGCAGAAGCTCCATCAATGCCTTGTCCTTCTGTGCCTGAAGCGACATCATCCCCAAAGCGATACCCTTTCGTCACTTCCTTCATCATGTCCCTGCACTCTACCTGCGCCCCAAGCTTGGCGCAGAGCAAGAATGCGCCGCTGAGCTTGCGATTGAGCGAATACGTCTCCGAGGGTGGAGGTGTGAGGCGTTCACGAAGCATGATGGGAATCTGATCGCGCACGCGCGAAGTGATAGTCTGATTAGTGAATGGATACGGGCTCGGCGAAGTCGAGCGGAACGGCTCGCCAAGTGCGATCATCGAGTCAAGATGCGCATTGAGCATCTTCTGCGAGTAGGGAGCACAATGTTAGCTCATTTAATAGCGTGGATGTAGCGAGGGTGGCAGATACTCACCTCGCTTTCCTCTCCGGTGAGATAGCCTACCGCCAAGCTCCACTTACGGCACTCTTCTCGATCGCCTTCCACAGCAGCCCAAAGCAAGCGGACCCAATGGTCCATGAACCGCTCGCTGTACTCCCTCGTGGCGCCGAAATCGATGAGCTCGATCTTGCGCGTCTGTCCGTTCCAAAGGAAATTCGTCCAGTTCGGGTCGGTCTGCATCAGCCGCCATTGGAAGAGCTCGCGCAATGAGAGCTCCAAGATGGACGTGGCAATAGCGTCTTTTTGCGTCTGCTTTAAATGCGATATAGCCTGTGTGAGCGGCTGGCCGGCCATCATCTCTGTCGTTAGGACGCGCGACGTGCAGAGTGCATTGACGACGCGCGGGACGGCGAAGCGCTCCCTGGTGTCAGCGTCTGATTCTATGAGGTGCCTGAAGCGACGGTTCATCTCCGCTTCTCGCTCGTAGTCGCATTCATCCTCCAGCTCGGCTTCCATCACGCGCAGCGTGTTTTCGAGGAAGAGGCCGCGAGGAAGGAGCGCCGAGGCGGAGACGAGCCATTTCAAGTAGGATGTGTCTGCCTTGATGCTCTCCTTGACTCCGGGGAATTGGACCTTCACTGCGACGCGCTTGCCTCTGAGCGCCAGTGCCTCTTCCTCGCTTGCGGCGCCTATCTCTTCCGCGCTCAAGTCCTTCCTGAGCACGCCGGCGTGCACTTGTCCAATGCTAGCGGCTGCGAATGGCCGTTCCTCAAAGCTCTCAAACCACCTCTCCTTCCAGCCTTTACCACCAAGCTCCTTGCGCATCACTTTCTCCAATTGCCAGTCGGGCATGTAGTGCGCCGAGTTCTGCACACGCATCAACACCGATTCCAACTCAGGCGGCAAGAGGTGCGAGTCCTGGATGGACATGAACTGCCCAAGCTTCAACGCCGCGCCGCGCATAGTCGACAGCTTCGAGACAAGGAGACGAATGTTGGACTCGGACATCCAGCGCGGTGCCGTGGTTGACCCTAGGGTCTTTTCGGCAGATAAAGAGGAGAGATATGAGCCAGCTGCTCCCCATGCTAGACCTGCACCTAGACTTCCATAGTGGAACAGTCTACCGAGACGCGATGACGGCACCTTGGATGCTGTGAGCGGCGGGCCGCGCAGTGGCATGGCATCGGCCGGGCAGTCGAGCTCAGCTGTCGCTTCGTCATGCTCCTCATTTGGCGCAACATTTGGCTGAGCGTCTTGAACCTTCGACTCATTGGACGCTTCATGGGCAATCCCAGGTTGCATGACCCGTTCCGACGACACTCCAGATTCTGTGGTGGCGCCTGCGCTAGCGAAGGAGGATTCCGTGGTGGCGCCTGCGCTAGCGAAGGAGGATTCCGTGGTGGGTTCTGCTGGTGGTGCTGTCACCAATAGATGATTCGGATCATGTGTCTCAGCAGGCGATGGGGAGGCTTTCTCGGCTGTCCGAGTTGCAAGCAGTTCCAAATCGATGTCAGGGTTTGCGCCGGGCGTCCCAGAAGCTGCTTTAAGCACCACCTCCGGGTCAGTTTCGATTTGGTCAAACCTTGTGGCCGCAGTAGATCCCGCTGCCAACGACTCTTGAAGCAACAGCGACTCTGGATCTAGATGGACGACTGACGGAGGCTCCTGTGCCAGGGTCACACTCGGTGATGGAACGGTGGCACGAGCTACTGACGCATTCTGTATGTCACCTAGCTTGTTAGAAACCACTTGGCTAGGCCATGGCTTGCTTGCAGCAAAAGGGACAACTGCTGGCCTGATCTGAGGCGTTTCCTGATGGTGGAAATACTCGGCAGCAAGAAGGTCCTCCTCGAACCTGTCTGGAGATGGAACATGTTCTTTGTGCTGTATTGACGTCCGAGCTTGCCATTCTTCTATCCGTATGCCTTCCTGTTGAGCGGCATGAATTGCTGTAGGCCACGGCTGCGCTGTCTTGAAGGCATACTCTAAGATTCTAATTGTGTCTTCCTCGCCGCTGCGCCCACGATCGTGGAATGTATTAGTAGAGGGACTGGAAGGAGAGGCGCGATGTCGACTTTGTTCGTACGCAGCCCGCCTGGCGATGCGCGCAAGAGCGCTCAGGATGACTGCGGATTCTTGCAGGGTCGGTAGCATGGCTGTCTTCCCTTTCCACCTTGCTCTCGAAGAGTAGGGCACTGCGATTTTTTTATTGCTATCTGCGAACACGCGCCAGCGATTGAAGATTAAGACTGGGGTTTTAAGAGGTGCGAAGAAAGGTTGAAGTGGACGATGGGTCTGCGCATGATGCGTTGCTGACCAGTAGCGGTCCAATCAATTAGATAGGTGATTAATGTGGATGGTGGATTCAATCTGTATAAATCATAATGTTTGAGACATTATACGCGTACCTTCTCTCTGGTAGAGAGTCTCGTACAAAATGCAGGTAAATCCTACGGTGCAATGTGGAACCCTACAAGAGCCTTCACACGCCTCACGCGTGGACGCTGAAGCTCGTTGCATTGGACGTTGGACGATTGAGCCTTGATACTTGCTACTTGATCGTGATCATAGAAATAGTCTGGCGATCGCCCACCCGAGCCTCTCCAACCCAACAGAATCAGCGGCACCTTCTGATGGACGGTGACAGGAACGTTAGTCAAGAAGCGAAGTTCCCGTTTTGAAGCTGAATTGGTGAACTGGCAGGTGTGTACTCTGTACCGCTCGTTCAGGTGCGGGACTCCGCGTCGACGCTCCAACATTCGCACAGGCTGCGGAAGGGTTGTCTGCAGCATTGCTGTGGGCAGCCAGGGTGTATCACTCTAGGTGATGTGCTCCGAATATCTCTAGGATCCCAGTAAACCATTCATGCTCCGTCAGTTCCGTAAAGGGACCGACAAGAGAGCTACACTGTCGGCCAAAGATGGACGTCACCAAGGCCATCTCGGCCTACATTGAACGAATGATCACAGATGTCAACGGCATGAAAGTTCTTCTCCTCGACGCAGAGACGGTTTGTATGATTGACGTAATTCCGGGGGATCGACTTAAACCCTTAGACTCATTGCTTTCCTTTCGCCGTCATATTCGCAGACCCCAATCATATCGACGGCATTTACACAATCATCCTTGCTCTCTCACGAAGTCTATCTCACAGATCGCGTAGACAATGTATCTCGGGATCGAATGCGACATCTCAAGTGTGTCGCCCTTTTGCGACCGACACCGAGCAGCGTTGACTTCCTCGTGCGAGAGTTGCGAGAACCAAAGTATGGAGGTTACTGGATTTGTATGTTTTGTCCACGAGACTCCCAACTCGTGCGTTGCAGCTAACAACAAACTTCAATTTCATGTCCTTGACGTAACAGACTTTACCAACGTACTGAAAAAGTCTTCCATCGAGCTCCTTGCCGAGGCTGACTCTCACGAGGTAGTCAAGGAAATCCAAGAGTTCTTCTGCGACTACATTCCCATTACACCCTCGCATTTCAGCCTCAACATTGATTGCCCTCCACACAGTCTATGGAGTCGAGATGCTTTCCGTACAGCCGCAGCAAGTGGTGCTGCATCCTCCATAGCAAATGGGGGAGGGAGTAACACAGGCTTCTTGCACGAATGGGAGCCAGAGAGTCTGGAGCGGCATACACATGGTTTGATGGCCCTCCTGCTCAGTCTAAAGAGACGGCCTGTGGTCCGATACGAGCGCATGAGCGGCCTGGCGAGACGACTAGGGGAAGAGCTCGTGTATCAAATGAACCAAGCACAACAGTCCCTCTTCGACATGCGACGCACCGAGGTCCCGCCGCTTTTGCTCATCCTTGATCGACGAAATGACCCCGTCACGCCATTGCTCTCGCAGTGGACATACCAAGCGATGGTACACGAAGTGATCGGCATACGCAACGGTCGCGTCAGCCTCGAGAATGCACCCGGTATCCGTTCCGACTTGCGCGAGATCGTCCTCTCCGTCGACCAGGACCCATTTTTCAGTGCGAATGTGTATGACAACTTTGGCGACCTAGGCGCCAGCATCAAAAAGTATGTGCTCGACTACCAGGCGAGGACGAGCAGCAATAGTAAGATCGAGACGGTCGCGGACATGAAGAAGTTTGTCGAGGAGTTCCCAGAGTTCCGCAAGCTTGGTGGAAATGTCAGCAAGCATGTGGCGCTGCTTGGAGAGCTAAGCAGAAGGGTCGAAGAAGAGCGTATGCTCGAGGTCAGCGAGCTGGAACAGAGTCTAGCCAGTCAGGAATCACATACCACCGACTTGCAGGTGAGCTGCTGACCACGGTGCTGGTCTTCTGCCTGCTTGGGTTTTACTAATCATCTCTCTTTGGCTGGGTTCGCAGAACGTTCAGCGAATGATCGAATCGCCCGACATTCAGCAAGAAGCCAAAGTTCGTCTGGCCATCTTGTATGCGCTGAGATATCAGCGCAACTCCTACAACCAGATTGGAAACGTCGTTAAGCAGCTCTTGCACATTGGCGTACCGGAATCACGAGCAGCAGTGGGTCTTTACTCGAGAAATGGGATTTTCCAACTTTAAACACTGACCGACACAGCTTTTCTTGGTCGTGATTAGCTCGTTAATGTGATGCTCAACATTGCTGGCGCAGAACAAAGACAGGACGACCTGTTCGCCAACGAAGGACTCTTCTCTCGCGGGAAGAGCGCGCTCAAGGGGTTGAAGGGTGTCGAGAACGTGTACACACAACATTCTCCGCACTTGGCAGAGACAATCGAGAACCTCATGAAAGGCCGTCTGAGGGATACTAGCTACCCTTTCGTGGGGCAAGCACCAGCTCCATTATTGCAGAGGTGAGAGTGGTTCGCGCCTGCAGAATCTCTGGAGGGAAGGCAAAACCCTGACTTGTGCCCACTCGTGCGATCCTTCGCCAAAGGTATCAAGACGTCATCATATTCATCATCGGAGGCTCTACCTATGAAGGTTCGTCGCACGGACTGGGCGATATGACAGAACCTGTCTCGCATATTGAAATTATTCCCGTTACGCCTTCTGTCGCATTTGCAGAGGCTCGATCGATAGCGCTGATAAATGCGCAAGGTCCCTCTGGACCAGGAATGGGCGCGCGGTTTCTGCTCGGCGGCACGTCGGTGCACAATTCACAGACTTTCCTCGATATGGTCCAAGACGCCGCGTCTCGCTTCCCCGCGAGCGTCACTCGCCGTCCCACAACCGCCCCTGGCGCCGGCACTGGCGCAAGGGGCTTGAGCGTAGGACCAGTTTCGCACAACGCGGCTGGTTCAGCAGGCGGGGCGAGCGCGGCAGGCCCAGCTGCACTACTAGATTCGGAAATCCTTGGCGAGGCGGCAGACGGTGCGAAAAATTTGGCGCGCGGCCTGTTCGACACTGTCCGCAGAGGCGTGGAAGGCATCGCGCTCCAATAACATGCTTCTTCCATACCATTCATCGGAAGAGAAACGCTTCTGTGTGGACTGCGCTCTTCACGTGGTGTTGCGCTATATACCGACTGCTACTCCCTACGTGGATGGTGCGGTGTTTGCGGCCTTCTGTTCATGCGATTACGAATGGGGTTTCTCCCCCTTTTGTTCGCTACCCATCGCCTTCAAAAACATCATCATCGCGGGTGACGCTTGTATATGCTACATGAATGATGACTCTCATCGGACGCGGATCCCCGCTCTCGCCTTGAGAACGGCAGATCTCGCTGCCTGGCAGAAGGCCGTGGCAGCCGCACGGTCAGCTAGAGCTTGCATACGCGCACGAGCTCGGATGTTAAGACTCCTATGCCCGAGGGCGTGCCCATCAACGTGTCCATTGCCATTGACAACCTGTTGTGGCCGGTGCTGTTGTGAGGCAACAAAAAAAGCCTGGACAGCTTGCACGGCTGCTTCGCCTGTGCCCACCACAGATGTGGAAACTGTCACGTCGGTGCAGAATTGATGCAATGCAGCCGACAGCGCTTCTTCGCCGCCAAACTGAGGTCTGGAGAGCGCGATGAGCTGCGACTGGACGGTCAGGATGAACTCGTCGAGCAGGGATGTGCTGACAGGTTCGAACAATAGCGTCTTGAGTAGCTCGAAGAGGATATGCTGCATGGGCGCCTGCATTGCAGTCACTGCCGAGGAGGCGGATGGTGTGAGCTGAGCAGTGGCGCTCGCAAGCGCCTTAGCGCTCGTCAGCGCATTTAAGACAGCCTCTGCCGTATCGGCCTTCAGTGCCTTGCACAGTGCAGCTGCAACGCTGCCGAGGAGATCCGCAGCTGATGTGGCCGATGCAGGCGATGCGGTGAGCGAAACGATGCGCTTGGCGCACGCGCGCGTCACATCAGCACATGCTGCAGAGAAGCTGAATGCGAGCGATGGCGTCTTGAGAGCATCGTCCGAGACGAGGGGCGCGAGTGATACGAATGCAAACAGACATAAATCCTCGGACCGTTCAGGCGACAAGCTCGGCCCGGCTAGTGCGACTTCTGGTGCTGGAATTAGCGCTGGCTCTTGCTGATCCTGCTGATCCTGCTGCAAGACCGAGGCTGCTAAGATAGGCAGCAGGTCGAGTCCGCGCCTGAGACCCTCGAAAGGCTCATCCGCCTCGACTGAGCCTCTACCGAGGAGGCCGAGCGTTTCGCGATCGGCTCGCAGAATATCCAAATAGTGCCAAAGCGCCTCGTTGAACTGTCTGCTGATCAGAGTGTCGTCGGCCGGGTCGAAGGAAAAGTCCAGCGCGCTCGCGAGGCTGTCGTAGATGCGTAGAACAAGCAGAACGATGTCGGCGCGGCCGGCATACGTTCTGCAGAGCTGGTTGAGCGCATGGAAGAACTGCGCTTGGAACGCAAAGATAACGCGCGAGGAGCGCGGCTGGATCGCGCGCGCGAGGCCTTCGAGCATATCGAGCAGTTTCTGCACCTCGACGATTGTCTCTGCGCTCTGGGCGTTGCGCGCAAGCTGGCTCAGTTCGGACCCGCCTTGGACTAGCGCCTCGAAGCGACCGTGAATGTACGATGTGACTTGGCCGAAGTAGCTCTCGGCCGTCGCTTGCGCCTGCGCCTGCGCGACGAAGAGCAGCCCGACGAGCGCCGCGAGCAGGTCGCCGTGCGTACCTGCGGGGAGCACCGGCATGGCGTTGATGGCAGCGGTGAGTAGCGCGCGCAGCTCCTGTTGCTCGATGAGGATGGAAGGGATGGTCTCGGACAACTGGAATCCCTTGAGCGTCGCTGCGACTTCTTTGACGACATCGGCTTCGGCTGTCCACGTCTCCAAGACACGTGCCAAGGCCGAGGTAACGCTGTTGAGTGCCATCACGCCTGTTTCACTGCGGCTCACACTGCCGGCACTGTGGGAAGCGGAAAATGGCCCATCGGAGGAGAGGACGTAGGAAGTGGCCCAGCGCCCAATGAACCAGACGTATGTCTCCATCACCTGCGGGCTAATGACTTGAACGGGCATATGTGCAAAGCGCGAAAAGTTCTCGATGCCAACATCGCCCAGGAAGCCCTCTAGGAGCAGCGCCTCGTCTGCATCCGCGCTGGCAGCATTGGCGAGGGACGTGAGCTCGATCGGCGGCGTGGGCGTCTCGCCGCTGTTGCTATCTGCGACGACGTGCCCGGCGATAAGCAGCAGCCAGTGGATCTGCTCCCACAGCGCCGCTGCCTCTGCCTCCGCGCTCGCAGTCTGTGCACGCGCGGCGTCGCCCTGCCCGACGGCAGCCGAAAGACGCAGGCGCAACTCGTCGCGCAGCAGGCGCACGCTCTGCGCGGCGTTGATGCGCGCCAGCAGGCCGATGCTGATCAGCTGGTCTGAATAAAGCTCACGGTCCTTCTGCGCCTCGTCGCCCTGCTCAGAAAACAGGTCGTCGTCGTGGTCTTCGACGCTGATACGCGCGGCGGCGAGGCGCCCGCGGATGTACGGCTGCACCAGCTCGTCCTGTAGGCCCACTTGCACAGCAGCCCACAGTGTATGCAGCGCTTGTGCGTCCACGCCAATGCCGGAGAGCGCTAATTGGCCGCGTATGGACCCAACGAGGGTGTGCCAGCAGCCGAGCAGCGCGTCCGTCGCATCCTCCGCCAGGGCCTGCAGGTCATCCTCCTCCTGTGTCTGGCGGCTGCGCTCGAACGCAAAGGAGAAAACAGCGTGGTTGAGCTGGGCGAGCGCATCGAGCAGGTCCAGCAGCTGCTGCTGTTGCGATGCTGTTCCTTCTGGCGCCGGTGCTGGCCCTTGCAGATGGAGGACGGAGCAGAGGGCGGATGCGCCGTTGGTGGGCGAGGCAAAAGTCCGCCGCGCGAGCTGCGCGAGAAAGAGCAGGCCGTTGCCGTGCGCGACGAGCGTGCCGCGCGGCGCATGCTCGCGGATGAGCGCCTTGAGCAGGTACAGCTGCGTTTCTAGGCGGCACTGGAGCATGCGGCGACGCACGTCGTACTGCTGCTCCTGATCATGCGGTTGGCGCGAAGAGTGATGATGATGGTGATGATGGGACGAAGAAGCAGAGGAAAGGAAGGGCAGGTTGTCGGCAAGGGAAAATGCAAGGAGGAGACACTGCCTCGCGCGGTGCAACGCGATGGAATTCACGCTGGTTGGCTGGCGCGAATCTAGCGCAGCTGCGTGCCTGTATGCAGCAGCGACGAGGAGTAGCAAGTCGGGCGACAGGAGCGTGTCAAGCAGCTCCTGCTGTTGCTGTTGCTGTAGTGCATCTACTGGCAGCGAGCTGCCAGCGGTGCCGTCAGAGGACGACGCAATGATGCGCGCCAGCGAATCGGAGCGCAGGAAGGACCAGCCGAGCAGGCCTTCGAGCGTGGCGAGGCAGGCGCTAAACACGGTTTGACTCCTTGCGTCGGCGGCAGCGCCGGTTTGCCCGTCGCTATGATGCGCACTGCCGCCACTGCGATGCTCATGTATGTCGACGAGCTGCTTGACGTTGTGCAGAATGAGCGAGAGTGCATTCCGATACACGCCGCGCTGGAAGGCGGCCTTGCAAAGCAAGTGCTGCACGGCGGTCAGGCCGGTGTGCGCCGAGGAGCTATGTTCGGCTGCGGCCTCTCTCCCTTGGCCTCTACTGCTTCGATCACTATCGTGCCACCCATCGCCACCACTGTCGCCGTCGTCATCACCCGCCCCGCGATCGCCGAGATGCACATGCGTCAAGCCGAACTCCTCGAGCAGCGCGCGGAGCAGGGCCGCACCGACGTGCCGGTCGGCCCAGAAGGCTGCCTCGCTGTCTTGGCTGTTACCGTCACTCGCATAGGGGGAGAGTAGGAGGCGGTGCAGGAGGTTCTGCGCAGGCTGCAGGTGCCGCGCTGCGACGGCGTGCAGCTGATGATCGCTCTCTGTGTCTGCTGTCGTTGCCGGGTGCGATGAGGAGGACACCACATCGATCTCCTCCGCAAGCGCCTTTTTGCTGACGGCCGCTACGGTCTGCAGCGCGCGTGCACGGACGTACGCCGGCCACTGCTTGGCGAGTGGGCCTGCCGCACTGCCTGCGTTGCTGCTGTTGCTACTAGCAGTCGCAGATGCGCGGTACGCGTCGACGTCGACGGCGTGGGAGCGCTGCACGGTGATGTGGGTGAGAAAGTCGCGCAGGGCAGCAAAGCTGGGGATGTACTCGGACAGCGGAGCGGCTGGCGTGCTTCGACCGTTCTGCGCCAGGTGCGGCTGCCGGTTAGGCGTGAGGTGCGGAAGGGCGTGGAGGACCATGTTGAAGGACTGAAACGTGGTGAATGCATCTTGGCTATGCTCTGCGTGCAGCGCGGAGAAGGGGAATGAGAGGGAGGAAGAGGAGAAGGAGAAGGAGAAGGAGAAGGAGAAGGAGGAAGACACACCAATAAAAAACACGGCATAGTCGAGCGCATTGTCGGCGCTGCGGACTTGGAGGAAGATGGCCTCGCCGTGTGCACGTGTGGAGGGGTCTGGACTGGTGAAGGCAACGCTGGCGTGGAGGACCGTTTGCAGGGCCTGCTGCAGGTGCTCGGTCGGGGGGATCATCGCTGCGAGGGTCGGTGGGTGTTCTATGCTATGTTCCCAGGAGCGCGGGCCAGTCGTCTCGGCTCGACCACTGCCTCGCTCGCCTCGCACTCGAACAAAGCGTAGGTGTGGGCGTAGGCAAGGGCGGGGTGGTGGTTGGTCTGCTATGCCATCGATGACGACGACGACAACAACAACACTACAGCCTGCCGCTGCCACCGTCCCTGAACCGTGGCGTCAGGAGCCGAGCCGAGTGGAGGGTTGCTCTTGCACAACCCTTCCACTTTTTTCACGGCTGAGGCTCTTCTTGTCCTTCACCGGGGCCGCTGCCAGTGGCGATGCTTACGTAATGGCGGGTGAGGGGGATTGCAAGTCAAGAGCGAGTTGGTTCCACAGTGTTTGAGTCGGGGCTGCGTCAGAGTGTCATTAACCCGCTCCACCCCTTGGCATGAGGTGGAGCGGGCGGTGGCGTGGCGTCAGGTTCGGGTTCAGTTTGTGCTTGTGCCTGTGCTTGGCACATGCAAACACCCACACAGCTGGAGTGATTGATTTGATTGATTCCCTTTGCTGTTGCTGGTTCCGCCCTAATCCCCGCTCCCCCCTCTCCCCTCGGAGGCGCCCCTAACATCCATCACACTCTCGACTCTCCCCTCGCCCCGTTCACTTAGAGTCCAGTCAGTCACACATGCTCGCCATACACACACAACTAATCCACACTTGGCACTTGCCTGTCCGTCCCGCTTGCTGCTCAGCTGACCCCAGCATTGCAGCGAGGATCGGAAGCACACTCAGCACTACATTACACACGCTCTCGCACCCGGCACAGCCAGGAGCAGGCCTCCCTTTCCTCTCTCTCTCTCTCTCTCTCTCTCT